CCTACAGGCTGTATGTTTTCTATTGTTTACTAATTTAAAGAATTATTTAAATCTCTTCTCATAAATAGAAAAAAGACAGAAGAGAGTTTAATTATTAAATAATTTAATGAAAAAAATTATTACCTTGAAGAATAGAAAAATTATATTTAATTCGATAATTTAATTTGCATCTCTTTATAAATTGATGTATATAATAAATTCAATACATAATCAATACTAATTAATTTTAAACTAAAATAATTTCCTAAAATTTCAATTGAATGCAATAATTCATTTTTATTTTTCCATGATTCAAATTTTGAATAAAATGCTTAAATACATTATAATTTCTTAGAATAATTAATTTATCTTAATTTTTCTATTTTTCAGTGAATTAGATTTATAAAATTTGTGATTTGATTCGATAAGAATTGAGATTTATTAATATTTCTCTAGAATAATAATAATAATAATAATAATAATAAATCAACTTAAATTATATGAGATAGCTTGCTATTGCAAAGATTTCAAAACTAAATTTTCATAATCTTCTAAAGTAACTCTTCCATCTCCATCAGAATCAGTCATGTGTATCCAACTTCTCACATCATCAGCTGTTGGCTCATATTTTATTCCTAATCTAGGATATTAATATACCCATTTATCTATAGGTTTCCCTAATAATTTCATAGACTTCATCCTCTGTGATATAGCCTGATCCATCTGCGTCAAGTTTTTTGAATAATGTTCTTGCTACTTCTAAACGCTCTTCAATATAATTTGGTTATCTAATCTATTTTAAAAAATATTACTTATTCACTGATTATTATTACTTAAAATTATATGGAGTACCACAAAACTTTTTTAAACAATATTATTCAATATCCTACAAAGTTAATCGATTTTAACCAGCTTCTAAGAAATAAGATTATGATAATAAATTTACTGTTAATTGCTCTCATAAATCCATTAGTTTCATTAACTTTAGGCTTTGTAATAATATTTTACGATCTATACGCATCTGTAAACATAGATCCAATATCAACAACATCGATATACCCTTTATTACTAACTATTGAGATTATTAAAAGTATTTTTACGATCATATGTTGAGAATATTTTTCTAGCAAGCATTCTGCATCCATCAACATCTAAAATTCCGCCATATGGTGTAGAAGGCATGTTATAAGGATTTGTCATACTATTCAGAGTATTCATAATTAACGAACTATTTATGTTATTTTATTAATAATTTAAATAAATTGTAGTTCTACTTTTTAAAAACATTCATAGATATAATAATATTCACAAATCTTCAATAGTATTTGGTTCACCATTTACAGTTTTAATATATGCCATAATGAAAATTAATAAAAATACTCCAACTACATATGATGTTCTTTTTAAAATAGTTTTAGAGCTTTAAATAATATTAGAATATCTTTTTGGTGCTTATTGATTCGAATGCTCTACCTTTTCTTAATATAAAAATTATGATTGACCAATTTACTCTTTCGTTGGAGACTGAGACTTAGTTTTAATGATTTACTCTCCTAATTGATGATCACTTTTTTAAATAATGGAATTGTCATTAAAGAATAAGTTTATTTTATCTACTTGCTATTTATACTTAATCTCTTCTTCAGTATATTTTGAAACTTCAGAGACTGAAATAAAGGATTTTATTTTATTTTTTGCTTTCTTAAAGGTTTTAATTGCTTTCATAGATTTCATCATTTTTTCTGAAATTGAAACACTCTATTTCATGCTTTTACCTTAACAGCCTTCTACCTCTTCATATGATATAGTAAACCCTTCAGCAGCCTTTTGAAAAATATTTAGAATTTCATTAGTTTTAATAAAGTATACCTTTTAATCAATCGTCACTTCTTCTCCATTAAAACATTCAGTTTTATTTTACCTCTAATTCAACTAAACTAATTTTAATAAGGGGAATAAATTATCAATTTGTTTATATTGGTTTTTAATTGTACCATTTTTGCATTCTTAACTGATATTTCTGACTTAATAATGCTATTTAAAAGAATCTTTTCGTTTGCCACTTCTATTTGAGTTTGAGTTTAATTTTAATTTTATCTATCTTCCAAGACCAGGATATGATGTTTGAGATTTCTAAGAAATAATTGAATCCAACATTGGATTAGGTAATTCATCATCTTCCTCTGTTAATTACTATTTTGGAATTGGACTGATAAGAATTTAGGGTTGAGTAGAACTCTTCATGAATGAGTAGTTTATATAAATAAATATTATACTATAATTTACATGAATATATAATATAATTTGATTTTGATAGATTATTACAGTCTTGAGACCAAATTATCTTTTTACAATGAATTGCGAAAATATACTAACCAAGAATAATTATGGTAACTAGAATGGTTTTAAAGCCGTTTCAACTTAAAAAATATTTCAACATCTATGAAAATTAATTAATAGTAATGATAAATTCAATATTCATACAAAACCACAGAGGAAAATAATATTTTGGAAATCATAACTCAATTAATATTATATTTACAGAGGCTATATAACGAAGCCAATTAAAAGAGTTCTAATTTTGGAGGTTATTAGGGATAGAAATAGACAGGTTAAATAGAATGTCTTTAAAATTTTATAAGAGATTAGACACAATAGAAGGAATTATTGCAGACCTCTTGATTATATTAATTGACATCTAAGTGTAAATTTGTAGATAATATTGAATTCGCAATTATATAATTAATAAATAATATTTAATTCAATGATAGAAGCATCAGATATCTATAATTCAATAAAAGCAAACATTCGGGAATAGCAAGCAACATTTGATTTATTAAAATAGGCTGCAGATAATAGTGATGATAAACTTACTGATTGCATTTTATTAGTTCAAGAACATCATAATCTTAATGAAGATTTCTTAATTGAATTATTATCTAAATTAGAAGAATAATTTGTTGATGCTTCTACTCTATTGAAAATATTTTAGAAGGGACTGGATAATCTATATTGTATAATATTTATAATTAAATGGAGATATTAAATTGGGAAAAGAATTAGCAGCTTACATTGTTAAAAACAAATTTCAAAGGAAGAAAGGAGAACTTTTATTTGAAAAGCTTTTAGTACAATTTTGTTTTGATTTTGAAGAGGCTCAATATTTTTTTTAATCTTACCTTAATTTTGAAAATTAATTACTAGAAGGTGGAAATGAAAAAGAGAAGTATATATAAATGAATAATATATAGAATATAAGTGAGAAATCAAATAAGTCAAATCTTTTAAAGAGTATTTAAAATTTCAATGTAAGGTTTAGATAAATTTTGGCTTCAATATGAGTAATTGGAAACAAATAAATAGAATTTAGAAAAAGCATAAAAAAATTATTAAGGCACAATATAAAAGATTTAATAATTGGATAATTTAGAACAGCAATTCAAAAATGTTTGCAAAAGTTAAGACGAATAAGAAATTCTAAACTTCTTTAAATAATTGGAATAGGTATTAGATGAAAAATTAATTGAATTCCCAAAATTCATAAATTTTTATGAAAAGTATTTTTACTTAAGACAAAAGTCCGAAAACTTTTAGTTTTCTGACTCACTTTTGATTCCTCTACAAGAAAAATTTATATAAATTTTGAGATTACAATAGAATCCTCATGTTTTATAGAAATAACTTAAGAATTTAATTAGATTTTAAGCGTAACCTTTCCAAGTCTATATATTGTATTTAAGAACTTTAGAATAATTAAATAGGGATGATGAAGAATTTGAGTAAGATTTTCTATTTGCATAAAATTATGTTTAAAATGAAGATTTATTTAAGTTTTCGCTTGAATTTATTTATCGATATACTAGATAATATTTAACTTTGACAGAAAAATTAGATGAAAGATAGACAACAATAAGAGAATTGTTCAATTAATTGGCAGAAAAGAAATCATATTCTGATTAATAAAAAGCTAAGATTTATAATGAGTTAGCAAAAGTTGAATGTTATTTATTTGATAACAAATTAAATTCAAGAGCAGCATTTGAAAAATGTGTGTAATTGGTTTGGGACAATAATTCTTACTGGAAAGATTACTATTATTCTTAAATCAGCTTACCAATACTTAATATTTAATAAAGAGATAGGTTAAGAGGTATATTAAAGAGAGCTGTTGAATTATGCTTGGAAGATAAGATTACAGCATCAGAAGATTTGCTTAACTTTGAAACGCTATTTGGCAATGTTGAGGAAGTATAGAAGGCGGAAGAGAAATTATAAAGTGTTCTAGAAAACATAGAAGATAATGATGAGTTGATATAAGAAGAAGAAGAAGAATAATAGGAGCATTAATAAGAAGAGAAAAAAGGATAGAAAAATAATAATAGAAAATAAAGTAAAGAGCTAAATGAAGAAGAGAAGGCTCCAAAGGTCTTTACTGATAGTTCAAAGACTATATTCATAAAGTATTTGCCAAAAGAATTAACAGCCAATGAAGTAATTGCTTTGATTCCTAATTGCGGGGCATTAGAATGTAGAATAGTCAAAGATAAAAACTAGGTTTCAAAAGGCTTTGCTTACATAGATTTTACAAGTGATGAAGATGCTCAATAAGCAGTTAACATACTTAATAATAAGATGGTCGGTGGGGAAAAACTATATGCTGCAATTTCTAAACCTCCAAAATTGTATTAGGATGATAAGTTAACATTATATTTAGACAATTTACCATATAGCATTACAGAATAATAATTAGCAGCAAAGGCTGGAGAAGGAGTTAAATAGATCAGAATAGTGAAAGATTCGAAAGGAAAGCCTAGGGGATATGCATATATAGAATATAATCAAGAAGAGGACAAATAAAATGGATTAGAACTTTTAAATTAAGACCCTTACATAGATGGAAGGAAATATTTTGTAAAGTTTTCAGATTCTCTTGAAAAAATCAAATAAAATTATTAGAATAACTCTATTATTATTAAAAATTTACCTTTTAAAGTTAGAGAAATTGAAAGTAAATATTCGGTATTAATTTTTAGTTAGATAAATCTTTGATGGGATGAATATTACATAAATCGAGATTCCAAAAAATGAATAAGGAAAGCCTAAGGGATTTGCTTTTGTTGAATTTGAGAAATAAAAACATTTGAAGCTGGCTTTGGATTTAAATGGCGTTGAATTTAAAGGCAGAAGACTAGAGATTTAGAAAAAAGAGAAGAAAATGATGAGGAAAAAGGAAGAATAGATTGAAATTGAAGAGGTACAAGATTTTAAACCAAAATCTAATTCAGATTTTAAGAGTTTGTTTAAGAAATGAATCAAAACATATATATTATTGTAAAATTGAAAAAGAATAAAAAAGGTCATCAATTATAAAGTAGATCATCATCTTCTAAGTCTCTTCCTATAATTTTACTTCTATTAGAATGAAATTAATTACTCAAAAAGATTAGAATTCAAACATTATTTAGAAGGCGGTGTTCTTTATTCATCTTTTCCAAAATTGAACTACAAAACACTTCTTCCGACCTATATTTCAATTCCATTCAATTCGTTTATTAATGGTATAACTTTTTATTGCATTAACATCAAGGATCCAAATTTCGATTTATTGTCAGTTAAATACACCTCTCCCTCGTTTAATTTAAGAGTTCCATGATTTCTACTAACAGAAATATCATTAATTCTAATTTCAGTTTCATTAGCTCTACCAATTTATAACTCTTTGTTTTTTGCTACTTTTTCATCGCTATTACTATCAAAAGTAACTATGTAAACTCCATTGCATTAAGCCCAAGAAGAATCTTAATTTGTTTTGTCTACTCTCATATCCTTAAAGATGTCTAAATAATAATTACCTAGCGCTTTTAAATAATTTCCATCAACACATAAGGTTGATCTGTTGGTTTGCTTAACTCAACCAAATCAACAATGTGTTGATCACTCTTGAAAACAGGAGGATAATTAAACTTGCATATTTCACACTCTAAGTTTTTCCACATGTAGATCATACAATGATTACTATGTTTTGTTTAAAATTTCAGTTTTAACCACTTCTTTAAACAATTTAGATGGATATATTTGATGGATCCTGTGCATTTACATGGGTTTATTAAAGGATTTTATACATTATCTTAGCTGCTGCAACATACTCTGCATGAAATAGCATCTGATTAGCTAGATCTTGATGAATCTAAATCACATCTATATTGTTTAATAAATTAATAATATACATTTATTTCCTTTAATTTAACTGAATTTCCCTAATTTTTAATTTAACTCTTCCCAATTTAATCACATCCCCTTATTTTAGTTTTATTCCACTATTACTAAACATTGATTAGATGGATCTAACTACCAACCATAATCTACTGCCTTTCTCTAATAATTTAGTATTGGTTCTCTGGCTTTGATTTAATTTGTAATTATGTTGATCTATTTTTTTTATCCAATCATTTGATTGTTAAAATTCTTCACCTTCCAACTAATCCAAGTTTTCAGACTATTAAAAATCCCTATTGCCTTCTCCTATATACTTTGTTGTTAATTCTTGTTTATCATCTTCTAAATTCTATTTGCATTCTCCCCTTTTATTGATAATTGTAAAAATTCCATTAATTTTTTCGATTCTGAATAGTATTTGATGCTATTTGATCACACATTTATTCCAGTCAATGTCATCATCAATCCATTGCACTTCGTTATTATTTTTTATTAAATATCCTCCTTATCTTATCTTATTATTATAAATCCGCATACCTCAATATTTTATTCTTTTAAGTGAGTTTGGCTCTCATAATCGAACAAAGAGAAGGATTCTTGTTACCAAGTTTTAATTTTAATGAACAATTCTTTTGCAAAATCTTCTTTCCTATTGCTTTGAAATTCATCTTCTATGATAATCTCGTGATGATTATTGTTGTAAGACCCTTAGTCAGAATCAAAGTATTTCCTACATTGACAATTGCCCATTTATAATTTTATAAAGCAAAAATATTAATAACTAAAGAAGAAATAACTTATTCATAATATGTTCTTTTTATTTTATTTAAAAAATTATAGATTATTAGTGAAGAGATAGAGAGTATGAATATAATATATCTAATCGCTAACATTATTTGAATTATATATAATAAATTACCCTATTCTTTTATTTTCAATACTTATATTAAGAAAGAAATAAAATTATTAAATATTCATGGACTTGCATAAATTTTAGCATTATATTTTGGAACTTGATTTCAATAAAATACTAGAATCATCAAAGCTTAATCAACTGGAAGTGCCATAAGATGAATAAATCGAGTCTGATTATTTGTGTAAAATACCTATATCATTTGGCGATGAAAATGAATATTAAAAGATTTGGAAACCCCTTTTCTATGAAGAAGTAAAAGCCAATATCGTTAAATCATTCCAAACAGAAGTATATGATAATCATGATTTTTTAGACATACCCTGATGTAGAATATAAGTTTGATAAGCATAAAAAAGATGAGTTCACAAAATTAGATTTCCAACTCATTGGATAAAAAGATCAATTAAATTTTAGAGATCTCGTCTTAATATCATGCAGCCCTTATAAATAGGGTGATCAATGTTTATTGGGACTTATAGAAAATAATTAAGATATTATTAGGGTAAATGTTTAGAATAATTTTGAACCAATTAGAGCCCTATTTGAATAAAACATGATAATAAATTAACAAAACCCTGCCCAAAAGTCTCTGAAAAACTTTTTTATAAGAAAGGTGACAGGTTTATCAACATTAGAAAGGGAATTTAGAGCACTTCATAAATTTGGGGAATTGATGCTTAAATCAATACTTTTGTCATTAGAAGCTTAACCAAAAGTCAACTCTTATTTCACAATCCCATATAAACTTGACTAAAAATTGCACTCTATTTATAATTCGAGTTAATATGAGGCAATATAGTAAACATTAAAAACTCATGGAATCACTTTAATCTAAGGACCTCCAGGGACAGGTAAGACTAAAACTGTTCTTGGCACTCTCAGTGTGTTATTGCAATCTAAATAAGAAAGACCCGAGTTAAATTTAGTATAAAAAACAAGCTTGGAAATAGAATAGGAATTTAATCAAGAATATCCACAGCCTTGGAAATCTGCAAATTTTGATGATTGGAGAGATCATATCTTTGATGATGTGGAATAGGATATTTCAAATTATTTTACTAATAGACTTTCAGATTTCTAGAAAGAAAAACCAACACCAATCTACAAAAGTGATTATTCTTAAGCTAAAATTCCTAATAAGATTTTGGTATGCGGTCCTTCCAATGCCTCTGTAGATGAAATAATTAGGAAAGTACTTGAAGAAGGACTTTTGGATGAGACTGGTCAGAGAGCTGATGTACCTATAGTAAGAATAGGTGAAAATTTTGACCCGACCTTATCGAGGGTTTCATTAGAATGTTTGGTATAATAAAGAGTGTATGAATAATAAAATTAAGATACTGATAAAGTGAAAAAAGAAATTCTAAATTAAGCTAAAGTAATATTTGGAACTCTGTCATCAAGTGGTTCTAATGTGCTTGCATTGTCTGAACTGAAATTTGACACAGTCATCATTGATGAAGCAGCTTAAGCAGTAGAAATCTCAACTTTGATCCCTTTGCAATATGGATGCAGAAGATTAATTTTAATAGGTGATCCTAATTAATTACCTGCCACTATATTTAGTTCCATTTGTGGAAAATACAAATACGATTAAAGTTTATTTGAAAGACTATAAAAACAAGGAGCAAGTGTTCATTTACTAAAAGTATGTTTTAATCTTTATAATAGACTTAATATCGTATGCATGCTAAAATCTCTAAATTCATTTCAACAACATTTTACGGCAGTGAATTAAATGATTATGAACATTTGGAAAGATTGATAGGAACACCAAAATTCTATGATTATTATACATATAGTCCTGTTGTCGTATTACATGTTAAAGGTTATGAGAGTTTTACTAGAAATTCCTATTGCAATGAGATGGAAGCTAAAGTAGTCACAGAGCTCTATAAAGATATGAAAAATAAATTCCCTACTTTTAATATGAATAATTTAGGTATTGTAAGTCCATACAGTCAGTAAGTATGGTTGATTTCAAAATAACTAAAAAAAATGAATGAAGAAAACGTTGAAGTCAAAACAGTTGATGGTTTCTAAGGAAGAGAAAAAGATGTTATCATATTTTCAAGTGTTAGATCAAAGTTTATTAGTGAAAATCAAAAAAACCCAAAAAAGGGAGTGGGATTTCTAAGTGATGCGAGAAGAATGAATGTGAGTTTATCGAGATGCAGATAAACCTTAATAGTTGTATGTGATATCTATAAAATATCATGCAATGAAAGATGGAGAAGTCTAATCAACTATAGCATTTAATTAGGCTCATGCTACAGAGTAGGAACAGAGGATATATCTGAATGGTTTTAGTCATTCGACTAAGATCCTCTTAAATATTCTATCGTTAACGAAATCACTTTTAAGAAAAAGGAAAAGCCTGAATAGGTGAAAAAATGAAAATGTATAATATATTATAGATTAATATTTATTCAACTTCAGCTTATATATAGATGATCTATATACTTCTTTAAAGTATTCCAAAATCTAATCTAGAAACAGTATTTCTACTTCTAATAAAAATTGATTATTATATTAAAAACTTTGTGCTATCGAAAAAAGATCTTTAAAGGATTTCATCACAATTTCTTAATAGGAATTCTTCATATATTATGTAAAACTTTCTAACTTATTCCAATTCAGATTGCAAATTAAAATATAATAATATCTTTACAAATATACATGGATTAAGCAAAAGACAATATTACCTAATTGGCTTACTTGTATAATTTAGGCCTATTTAAATATAATAAGGCTTATAATAGAATCACTCCACTCAAATGTGAATTTTATTCAACATTTTATCAAAATTTGGTCAAGGCCTTTTTACACAAAAACATTTCGATTTCTTTTAATTTATGCAGAAGTGAGAAGGATGTATAATAAATTTTTCAATAAATTCATTTTTTGTATCAAAATCAAATTTACTCTAGGCTAACATAATAAATATAAAATATATGAATAATTAGGATAAAATTGGATTTATATTATCTATTGACAAAGATTGGTAGAATATTGTAGAAAAATGCTCAAGCATTGATAATAACATAAAAAATATGCAAACTAGATTAACATTTACAATAGGTCAAATGAATAAGGAAATAGGGAATAGGCATATAATACCTGCATTTTAAGTTGAAGAAGAATCAATCAAGGAAGAGACTCGTCTTCCTTCATAGGGTGAATCTCCACTTAAAAAGCCTACCAATTTGGTAAAGCAAGCTCAAATTTTAGCCCCTGTCTATTCAACAATAAGCGAGCGTTTTTAAATTTGTAAATTTTTGGGAAAAGGCAAGTTTAGTGATGTATATCAAGCTTAGGATAAATAAACTAAGGTAATTGTTGCTTTGAAGGTTATTCCAAAAGCAATACTATAGAAATATGGCATGGAAAAATAATTATCAAATGAAATTAAATTATAAGGCTATATGGACCATCCTAATATCCTCAAGCTTTATGGATACTTCTAAGAATGGTCTAAAGTAGTCTTAATATTAGAATATGCTACTGATGGGGAATTATTTAAATTATTGAAGAAACAACCTAAAAAAAAGTTCACAGAATAAACAGTTTCAGGCTATATAAGGTAAATCATTGAGGGTATTGGGTATATGCATAGCAAAAACATTATTCATCGAGATATCAAACCAGAAAATATTCTAATTACACATTCCTTATTGAAAATTGCAGATATGGGTTTATCAACATATAACCCCACTAATTAAGTCAGACAATCGTTTTGTGGCACTGTAGATTACATGTCTCCAGAAATTGCAGCAGGTAGAGATTATGATCACACTGTTGATATTTGGGCTATTGGTATTTTAGCTTATGAACTTTGCACAGGGGAAACTCCTTTTTATGAAAAGAAAAAAGAAGATACAATGAATAAAATAATCTATAGTAATTTTGAATTTCCCAATTACTTGAGTGAAGAGTTTAAGACCTTTGTTAAAATTTTGGTTCAAAAGGATCCTAAAAAACGACCATCTATATATCAAATTATGTAACATCAATGGATTTAAAAGTATGAAAAAGAAAGCACAATTTTCAATAGAGATTTATTGAATTCAATGGTTAAATTACTAAAATGATTGATTAGATCTTTGATTTATAAATAATACTCAAAAGTAATTTGGCATTAAAGTGATCATTACTAAAAGTAAATTATAAAATTAAATAATTAATATGTAAATGATTGAAAAATGAACTTCATTCTATCAAGAGTGACACTCATACATGTAGTGATTTTGCATTTGATTTCATTTTATTTATGCATTTTTATTGGGAATTTCGTTATTATGAGAAAGAAGGAGAGGGTCCCTTTTTATTTTAAGATGATGTTTTGCTGTCTTTCTATTTCTGTTTCAAATTTATTGTTAAATTATATGATCCTAATGGTTATGCCTTTTAAAATTTCGAGTTTGAATGATTTTACTACTAATTTTTTTATTTATTTGTTCCAAATTCCAATGCTTCAATGTCTTTATTAATTTTGCTGGATGTATTCGATTTGTATTCCTATATGGTCGAAATAGATAATGATCTATCCAAATTTGATTTGCTTTCGTTGTTTTGAGTAATAACTCTTCCGCTGGAGTTGTTATTATTGTTTTTTACAAGTCCATAATATTATGGATTTTCAAGGTTTACATGCTTCTCTAAAGATTCTAATTTCATGTATTTATTTTAATCTTTGATGCCTTTTTAGAATAACTATTGCAAATTCTTGATTAATGCCTTTTTATTTTATTTGGGTGATTGCAATTTCTCTTTACTAATCCCTGTGAATATTAATTAATTTTAATCTTCCTCAGATATATATATCTTTAAACAAAGCTTATCGGATTCCAGCTTTTCAATCATTTTCAAATTTCTCTTCACTGGAGGTTCCATCTTTGGAACTTAAGATTAAGGTTGTGGAATGTCAACTACACTATTCTTCTACTATTATAATTTAAAGTTTCCAGTTGAAAACATCCTATCGAAATTTGGACTTTCACTTAATTTTCTATCTGTGATCAATCCAATTTCTAATCGTTTTTTATCTCCCTTGCAGCTTGACCTCAGAGATGAATTAGGAAGTCCAGGGGAGTTTATTCTTCTATATGAAAGTGATTCTTTGTTTCCTTCTATGTTCTAAATATTTCTGGTCTGATTTCTGAGTAATTGGCAAACTTGATCCATTTTTTACTAAATAAATTCGTTAATAATTAATGGATTAAGACGGATTTAATTTCTAAACCCTAGAATCTATATTAAATAGAATTGGGGCTTCAAATTGTAATTTAATAGCATTAAGATTAGATTAGTAACTAGCCCTGTTTGATAAAAAGCTTTTTCTGGACACGCAAACATCAGACATCTTATATCAAGAGAAAGATTATTTATATCATCTAATCACAAAGAAGAAGAATCTTGAAATCAATCAAATATAGAAACCTGCATAACCCATTCCGTTAGAATTCACCAAGTTTAAACAGCTAAATGACTACCTAAAGCCAACAGCTTGGACTTTAGAAATAATTGGACCTTCACTAAGTTTTAAGTCCCAAATATTAAGAGACATGGCTGAGACAATGTCTTAAAAAAATATCTAAATTCTCTATATTAGCATTCACGAGGAATATTCAAACTAAAAATTTAAAGTTATCAAAATGAGATAACCAAAAGAATTATTTATTTTACTTTCTATTCTAATAGAGAGTCAAGAATAACGTAATAATTCAGCTATGATTAACAGATTATAACCTAATAATAATTGATGGACTGAGTTCTCTATTGTACCAAACAGCACAAATGAATGTCATTGAAAATTAATTGTAAGAACTTCAATAGCTCTTGGCCTTACTCAAAGAAAAAAAAGGAGTCCAAGTAGTTATCTCATCAATTGCAAAAATGAGAGAAAATTACACTAGTTATAATTAAACTTAGGATTGTAATTTAATAATTTAAATAAGTAGAATTTATAAGTCAAGATAAAATCTTTTAAAAAACTATATTAAATAATCCTTGGCAATGTATATGGTAAGCTCAGCTGAGTATATAGAGAATGGTAGAAACCAAATATGATTACAATGAAAATTTGAATAAAAACACTCTAAAATTTTAGTATTTTTGCTTTTATGATGGAATCATTAAACCTGAGATTGGTATTCTATTATGATTATTTATATTTTATTCTTATATTTTCTAAAACACTGTACTATAAGAAAATTATATTAATTAAATTATTTTCATAATTCATAAAATATACAATATATTCATAATGAAGGAAACTTTGACCACCAAATGAAAGGATCTCCATTTGAAATTAAAAAAATCAACTTAACAAATATTTTATCTTATAATCATTTTTTACATTTAATAAGCCTATGTTTAACTTTCATCGAATCTATTAGTTTTAAAAGATCTTTATTGTTCAATTTGTAGTAATCTTTGCTAATTTGTTTAATTGAATCTTTATGAAAATGACTCTATGGTAGTAAACTTGATTAAAAATGAGAATGAGTATGAGGCGAAAATGAAGTTTAGGTTATCGACTTAGCATTTGATGACTGAAACGACTTTCGATTTAAAATGCTCAAAGGTTTAAGATAAACTTCTAATTTGGGATTGGTATCCTTTAACATTTTTGTCATATATTAGGTTATTTGACTTTTTCTTGGCTCTTTACCATGACTTAAAATTTAAGGATAGAAAGGATCATGAAAATCAGAAGCTGTTTTTACTCTTTAAGGATTTAATAATTATGGTACCTTTGTGACTGATGTGATTATGGGATTAGAAGGACTGGTTGAGGTTGTAGATGGGCTGGAACAATTGGTTAAGGCTTTCTTAGAGTCGTCAAATTTCGAACAGCCTTTAGAAGATGCATTCTCTTTCTGAACTTCTTAATTGCTTCCATTTTATATGTGAGGATGAAGATTATTGCATTAATTACAGCTTTAAATCTCTTTAATATTCTTTTTCGTTTCTGCCATCTTTTGATTTTATATACTAATACCTTGATTCATTAAAAGGATATTGTTTTTTAATCATCTCGAAATATTTGCTGCCTTTGCCACAGTCAGAACAATTGCAGCTTTGATTTAAAATCTAATATTCCTTATCTAACATCTCTTTATTCTAATACAAAAGAGTTTTTTTCTTTTGAATCCTTTCAGCTTATGTGTTATCTTTTATAGTTCTAACGTGTTTAAGCTCATAGAAGTCAAGTGGGGACAGTGAAGTTTCTGACATTTTTAATAAATTAAATCTTAAAATATAAGTCTGCAAGTCTCATTAAAAATATAAGAAATATTTAGAAATTTCCATGTAATTTTGGAGACAACATTCTGTTAATTGTCTATCCATTTCCATCTCTTTATTTAATTCTTATATAATTAATATATAATGAATGCATTTGATCATAAATTCTAAAATCATTTAATTAAAAATTAACAAACAAAACTATGGACTCCACTAAAGACAGAGTTGAAGGAACTAGAGCAACTGTTATTGAAATTATCGGAAGAACAGGTAACAAAATTTATAATAAATTGTGTAGGATCTAGAGGTGGTATTACATAAGTTAAAGTTTAATTGGTTGGATAATAAAGAACATTAATTAGAAATGTTATGGGTCCAGTTAGAAAGGGAGACACCTTAGAGCTTATGGAATGCGAAAGAGAAGCTAGAAGATTAAGATGATTGGATGAATTATGTACATTAAAATTGCAAATTTAATCGTTATTGCTAGCTATGCTTATTCGTCATAATTAAAAGTTTTATCACTTATATATATTCAAATAACACTATAAATACACTGCTAGAATCATGAGATAGCAATTTTATATTTTGATATCGTGATTCTAAATTTGATTTCTCATCCCTATTCCCATCAAATATCTATCATACTCATCTTATTTGTTCAAAATTGGAGATTACTTCAAATATTAAATTAAGAAAATGTATTTATTAAAACTGAATTAATTGAAGGTATTAACAAATTTATATAATTAAATGATATAACAAAACTCTAGCCTAAAATGATTATAATTAATCATTGCCAAGATCAATACTGATTATGATGGAAATTTATTTAATATAATTATAATGAAGAATAATTTTTATAAGATCAATATAATCCCTCATCTAATTTAAGAAATTTTTGATGCTAGTATAAAATGATTATTTTCCAATTAATAATCCTTAGAGCTTAGCTAAGTGTTTTTACCTGTAAATAATTAATGTTTAGAAATATGAATAGATCAATGTATATATTGGAATGTAAATCCAACTTACATAATTAAATTGAAATTAGAAAGCTTTAATATTCAAGTTTAGACACTTAAAGTTTGATATAAAATTAAGAAGCCAATTATAAATGAATATTTAGTAACATTATCTCTGAAGGGTTCGTTGAACTTAATCATTATTTTTATTTTGAGCATCATGCTTAATGAATGTAAATCTAACTTAAAGATACAACAATCAGATAAATAAATTACGCGTATAATTTAATTAAATTAATTAATGTTTTTCATGGGTGTAATGTTACTGTAATGCTGTTATTCGCTTGAATTACAATATGTAAATAATGATCAAGCATTATGTCTTGATGGATCACGAGGTGTAAGGCTTTTATTAGATATTCTAGTCCTTTTATTTTCAGAAAGGATACAAGGAAGGTAAAAATAAATTTTTGATCCATTTTGAAGGAGGAGAGTACTAACATATTTATTTAATATAGTCTTATATTAGGAAGCAGTGAAGATGAATATTTTAGAAATGCGATTCTTAAGTAAATTTTACTCTTATTAAGACAGGGGACATAATATGGAAGTTCATTGAATAGAGCTCTGTCATTTGATTTCGATGGTTTATTATCTTAAAATTAAAGTTAAAATATCAACTTTTATAATTGGAACATCATATATATAAATTCTTGCGATGGGACTGGTTAAGAAATTGTTGATTATTTTTAGGTCATTAAGGCTATAGATAAGATGTTGTTAATTACTAATAAAAGAAGATCTATTTTCGTGGTGAATTAATCATCAAAAGTGTTATTGCAGAGTACAGTACTCAATTGTAAAGTTCCGAAGTCATTATTTTGTCTGGATGCTCAATTGGGGCAGTCGCTGCTTTATAATGGTCCTAACATATTACTTAAATAATACCAATTAGTGTGTCATTACTTTGTATTGCCGATTCTGGAATACTTATTGATATGCACTCTATAGATGGTAGTGAACTGTTAAAATAATCATTAAAAATAATGAACTACATAGTTAATGTTGAATCTGAAGTTCCTATTGACAGTTGCGCTAAAAATTATCCAAATTAAAGCTGGAAGTGTTTTTATTTTTAAAATTTGTTAAACCATATTACTAACCCAGTCTTTATAATTTAATCTTTGTATGATGCTGCGTTCCTCTAAGATTATTTAAAAATAGAGTGCATTAAAGATATGACTTTAAGTTACTGTTCATCAATTGAGAAAGACTATATTGACTTTGCTTATTCTTAATTTTAATCAACAATCAAGAACAAAACATAAGCCAATAGAAGGATGGGATCATTTGCTCCAAGTTGTATCTCTAATTGGTATTCTTAGATTTTTATTAAAATTTGTTTTTAGCCTTTTTCTGAATTCTGCCTCGTTTTCTATTAATTGGTCAATTCCTGAGAAATCTGGCAAAACTATATCCTAAACTNTATTCAAGTTTAGACACTTAAAGTTTGATATAAAATTAAGAAGCCAATTATAAATGAATATTTAGTAACATTATCTCTGAAGGGTTCGTTGAACTTAATCATTATTTTTATTTTGAGCATCATGCTTAATGAATGTAAATCTAACTTAAAGATACAACAATCAGATAAATAAATTACGCGTATAATTTAATTAAATTAATTAATGTTTTTCATGGGTGTAATGTTACTGTAATGCTGTTATTCGCTTGAATTACAATATGTAAATAATGATCAAGCATTATGTCTTGATGGATCACGAGGTGTAAGGCTTTTATTAGATATTCTAGTCCTTTTATTTTCAGAAAGGATACAAGGAAGGTAAAAATAAATTTTTGATCCATTTTGAAGGAGGAGAGTACTAACATATTTATTTAATATAGTCTTATATTAGGAAGCAGTGAAGATGAATATTTTAGAAATGCGATTCTTAAGTAAATTTTACTCTTATTAAGACAGGGGACATAATATGGAAGTTCATTGAATAGAGCTCTGTCATTTGATTTCGATGGTTTATTATCTTAAAATTAAAGTTAAAATATCAACTTTTATAATTGGAACATCATATATATAAATTCTTGCGATGGGACTGGTTAAGAAATTGTTGATTATTTTTAGGTCATTAAGGCTATAGATAAGATGTTGTTAATTACTAATAAAAGAAGATCTATTTTCGTGGTGAATTAATCATCAAAAGTGTTATTGCAGAGTACAGTACTCAATTGTAAAGTTCCGAAGTCATTATTTTGTCTGGATGCTCAATTGGGGCAGTCGCTGCTTTATAATGGTCCTAACATATTACTTAAATAATACCAATTAGTGTGTCATTACTTTGTATTGCCGATTCTGGAATACTTATTGATATGCACTCTATAGATGGTAGTGAACTGTTAAAATAATCATTAAAAATAATGAACTACATAGTTAATGTTGAATCTGAAGTTCCTATTGACAGTTGCGCTAAAAATTATCCAAATTAAAGCTGGAAGTGTTTTTATTTTTAAAATTTGTTAAACCATATTACTAACCCAGTCTTTATAATTTAATCTTTGTATGATGCTGCGTTCCTCTAAGATTATTTAAAAATAGAGTGCATTAAAGATATGACTTTAAGTTACTGTTCATCAATTGAGAAAGACTATATTGACTTTGCTTATTCTTAATTTTAATCAACAATCAAGAACAAAACATAAGCCAATAGAAGGATGGGATCATTTGCTCCAAGTTGTATCTCTAATTGGTATTCTTAGATTTTTATTAAAATTTGTTTTTAGCCTTTTTCTGAATTCTGCCTCGTTTTCTATTAATTGGTCAATTCCTGAGAAATCTGGCAAAACTATATCCTAAACTTTAAGCAAATGGATAGAAGTTCAACAAAGAAATAAAGGAGATGAAGATTAAGTGGTTCTGATTGACAATGTTTATTGGCCTAATAACTAGCCTTGTGCCAAGTTAGCTTCTAAATCAATTGCCAATAGATATGCAAATATATTGTACTTTTTGTTTATAATACTAAATTTTTGATGCACATATAAAACAATATTATTATAAAGGATGAAAAATTAAACTATGATTTTATGGGGGGTTCGTGTTCATGCAAACAAACTCTTTGATTTATTTTATTATTTTATTGATTTAATTCGATAAATCTCAATTTTCTAATAATTGGTTCTCAATACTTATATTATTTAATTAATGTCTCACTCATCCAGTAGAATCGTTGTTTCAATACTCACTTTGAATTCACTATTACAAATATATGAAAATCAACCCTTTGAATTTAATGATTCTAACTTGATGATGTAACATCCTTCACTAGCTTCAATAATTCCCACTAATAAAGTAATTGATTCTGATATCTATCTAGATTATAAATTTGACAGTTGGAATATTAATAATATTCTTAATAGATTGGAAGAATAAACTTAATATAATTTCTTCATTGTTCTTTGGGATATCAGTTATAATGTAAAATTTCAAGTAAATTTATAATTAAACTAGCTATCTACTACCAAAAACACTCAATATAATACAAATTTATTTGTAGTTATTAATTATCATCAAGTACATTTACTTTTAGACGAAAAAAATCTAATTTAGAGTTAAATCCCTTGAAAAAAATAATGAAACAGCAACTATTATTTCTAATAATATACACACAAAGAAAAAAATTACTAAAATTCCTAAAAAGGCTGAAAAATTAAAAATAAAACTAGAAAATACGACAGCTAACGAAATAAAGGCCAAAATTGTATAGTAATAAATGAGTATCGAACAAAATATAGCAAAAAATGAATAAACATAAGAATAATCAAATTAATTTATTCCAGAGTAACATGTTAGTGAGGCAGAATTGGAAACCGAGAATTAATGTGAAATTAACCATTCAGATCTTTCATAGATATCTTAAATAAAAGAAGAGCAAAGTATATCTTTAAAATACTTAGAACTACAAATATAATTGAAATTCAATGGCAAAAATGAGCAATTTTGTTGTAATTTTGATACTTTTGAAACAATATCTCAAATTCTTTCTAGTTCATTTACAGATAATTAGATAATATAAATAAAAATCCACATACTACTTAATTTCTATGATGAAAACCAAGATGGCAATTGTAGATTATGGTGTATCAAAAAATTATTAGCTTTTTAATTTTGAATATAGATTTATTAAAATTCTTATGCATTTTAGATAAAAAAACAACAGAACTTAATTTTATTAATTTTAATCTTAACATTTTATTTCATTACATCATTTTCTTTTTTAAAGGAAGGAGTTAATAAAACATTCTTATAATTCCATATGTAAATGACTTTCTACTTCCATTCTAACCCATAAACAATAGATTTAATAAGCCATTTTAAATCAAAATAAAAATTAAATAATTTAATTATCAGGATGGCCATTACTATAATCTGAGTATTGATGCTAGTTAGTATTAGAAGAGGATCTATCTTTAATCCTTCTCGATTTAGATTCAAAGGACTTCGATAATGTTTAATTTGAAATATTAGCAATTGAATACCTTCCTAAATTTGAATAAAGAATGATAAATACTGGCATTTTGAGAAATATTTTTGCTATATCGTTCGTATTCAGAACTATGCCTAAGTTATTATTTTTTATTATATGAAGTTTTGGCTGATTATATCCTATCATACAGTTTCTTTAATGAATATATATATTTACAATATTTTCGAAATCTATGGACAAATTTTGGCTTCTTCTTGTTGATAACCTGCTAGAATTCAATTTGAATTTCTATCTCAATTTTGACTTATTTAATTCTCCTTATTTTAAATCAATATTAACAATCTTGCTAATTAGTATAGAATTGCATTGATTTATCTCTTTTTACCTCTAAATCATAAGTAAATAATAATAAAGCATACTCATATTTATTTTAGTGTCTAGAGCAGACTGACAAAAAATAAGGTTTATATGGACTATTAGTTTTAACAATAGATTTTGCATTTCTAACGCTGTTTAAATGTTAGTCATAGGACTAAAGAGTTATTAATAATTAATACTTTCATTTAGGATTTAACCTAACAAATTTTACTTGCAGGTGTGAAGTTCCACATTTTTATATAATTTTATTATTGAAAAATAAATTAAACCTAAAAAAATGTTATAGTAAGGTTTTTGCGTAATTGTTGAGATGTATAAATTAAAAATATTGAATAGAACAAAATGAATAAGGCTCAATCATATTACATTTTACAATAATAAGTCTTTGATATCATACAAGGAATCAAAATGCTAATTCTATTGTTCTAAGCTTTTCTTCATCATTAAGAGGGTGTCATTTATCAATAATCGTTCTTTTTGTTCTACTAATTTTTATTCTTCTTATGTCTGTTAAGTATCTTAGTGATTGTTTTGAGTTATTTATTCATCATTCACTTTAATCTAATCGTTGAAATGATTTAGAATTTGTGTTTATTGAACAGGCAATTCAAATTTGGTTTGATTTTCAATCTTACTATTAATTCCACCATTAGCTTCCTAATGTTTTTAATCATTCAAAATATTGTCAATCGTAAGTTTGTCACTTTATTAATGTTGATGTTACTCATTGGGAGTATCGACAGTTTATTGCTTGGTTTGCAGTGCTAATTATCCTTGAGCTTCAGTAAATTAAACGGAATCGAATACCTTTTTAGGCAATTCTACTTTGACTCCTTTTTTTTCAAGTTAGCCACTCAATTTTGCAACAATGAAATGGAATCTATTTTCAATTGACTCCTCTTGAATACTTAAATCCGAAGCAATATCATTAAACTTAGCAGAATTCAAGAAATTAGAAATAATCCGAGTGTCTCTTTCAATATCCCAGAAGATAGTAGGTGCTTATTATTAGATGAAGGCAATTTCAGACCATCTTTTTTAAAGTGACGGTCTGTCTCTATGGGGAAATCTTTATTAAATCTTAACCCAATTTCCTTTATGTTTGCGATATGCAAAAATTAAGAGGGAATCTTCTTTTGGTGTCCATGTTAGATCGACTTCTTCTTCTTCATCTTCGAATTCTTCTGGTTCCCTTATCATTGTGTACCTTCTTGAACATTCGATGTGATCCTTGGTTTTTATCTTATCTGAGATGAGTTTCCAATCTTCTGTCTTGAAGCGTTCGACCAACTACAACAAAAGTACATCTTCACCAATAGTCCAATATGAATTAATCTTCTTTTTTTCAATTCTGTGATCAAAGTCCTTCCCATTCATTAATGGATATTTAGGATTGAACTTGTCCTATATGTTGTGATATTGTTTTCCGTATTTGTCATCCAACATAGAACCATTCTATTTGTAAGGATTGAAATGATCATTTCCCTCTTTTCTTTATTTGTTATTAAATGATTGGATGAAATTATTGACTTCATAGTCATCTGAATCTGAATCACTCATCATTTCTCTTTTATTATTTATGGTTCAATTTATGAAAAAATCATAGTAATAATAGACAAATAATATCTGGATTTCTAAATATTATATAAAAAATTAAATAATAATTTACAAATCATAATATTCATCATTAATTCATATACCTCGATATTCTGTTCAATAATTGATACCCAAGAATGTAATTGCCAGAATTCCACATAAAACTCAAAAAAGGTAAAGCCAAGTACCATGGTTTGTCATCAGCTATAGTTAAGATTTTAAACGGTATGTCCTTCCACAATTGTCTTGACAAGTTTAAATTCAAATAGATTTCTTCTTTCTGTCCCTTCAACATTATTGATTTAGGAGTCAATAGTCTAGAATATACAATAGAGATCATACCTCGAAACTATTGTCAGAATTGTCCCCATGCCTATGCTTATTTGCCATGCTGACATTGGGATTCCTTTCTGATTTCTTAGGAAGTACAAACAGAGTGGCAAATAAAATATATGATGAAAGGAGGTCAGCAATCTCAACTTTGTAGTTGATGGCCATGTCAAATACCTACATATTGAATTCATTCAAATACTTTGCCACTCCAATTGGCCAGACTTTAAATAGAGAAAATGCCAATAAATCCACATACCACAACACTTAATCGATTGACACTAATATCATGCTGGCTGCCAATATCAATGGTTTATTTCTAATTACTCATCAATTATACTTCCAAAATGCATATGCAGAACTAATTAAACTTAAATTGCAAGCCCACATCAATTCATAAAATATTGTGAATTTCGCTTAACCAAATCTAGCAATTACTATAAGCAACACATAGAATAGGAATCCTAATGCAATTAAGTTTCTTGTTTGTTGTGATTCTTAAAACTAATTTAAAATTTCAATTACATCTTCTATTCCTTCTTTATTTTAACTTTCCAGTTTTATGCTTCCACACATGTAACTCACTGAACTTATCAGAAAGCAAAATAATGGATGCACAAGCTTGCCATATTTTGGATCCCTGGGATTCGAATGTGAAAATATAAATTTACCGATGAATCTCAATGTTGAAATTGCAGCCATCAATTTAATTAATATATGAATAATATATTAATATCGTCATTCTTTAGCATAATTGCATTTTTTACACAATTAATCACAAGTTAATTCATTCAGTAAGCATCCTCAAAATATGCTATAAATACATACGAATTACATCACTTAACATCTCACTTAAATTAAATTCACCATCCAATATTGTTTAGGCAAAAAACGCAATAATTTTTAAATTATATTCAATGAGTTTCCTTATTACCGATTATTATTTTTTTTAAAAAACAAAATCGGATGATCAATTTATGGTTAGTCATCAATATTTTTTAGTAATTATAGAAAGTTAGCTTAGTTTTATGAGACGTTTGAAAATGTTCTTCTATTATCCACCTTTATTAGTTTAAATTTCATAATGAAATAAGAGGTATCACAACTAAAATTCATTTGATGCTACACTCAGTATTCAAATTAGAATCAAGCATAGAGAGCTTATAAATGAAAATAACATATTTTATTAAATTAGATCATTGAATATCGGTAGAAATTTCTAATAATGACTCAATTGGTATATAAAATACTCATTAGAATCCTAATTTGTCTAGCAGTAAGGTGTCAGTTGACAATTTATATGAATAGATTATGTAATGCATAATTTTCCTATTGATTATCGCAATTAATAACCAAGGGTATATACTTTAAATTAAATATGGGATACTTTCATTCAGAACCCTGTCGCCTCAGATTTGGCCTCAGTTGAAGAATTAATAAAAGAGTTTGGTCTAAACTTAACATTACTTTTCAACTTAACCTTTTGTTAGCTATTTTAAATTTAGAATTATTTGAACTAGAACAGTAATTAAATATTTAAATAGTTAGCAATGTTGAAGATTGTCACAATATTTTCGTGTCTTATGGAAATTTTGTTAGCAAAGAATGTGTTCATTGATTTTTGAATTAATATTAAATAAATATAATGGACTAAGCCCAATCTTTTGAACCAGACAATAAACCTTCTGTGAATCAAGTGCATTCGAATATCTGCGACAACAATGAACTTTAAAAAAATAGTAGCCAAACAAGAAGAGCTTGGTCACTCAAAGAAGACAATTAACTCAAATAGGCCATAAAAATACATAGCACCAATTGGCTATTAGTTGCATAGGCATTACAAAATCGTAATCCATCCCAATGTGCATAGAGATGGAAAAGAATCAAACCATATAATGTATTTATTTTATGTAAAATCCAAGTACAATATTCGCAAACCTTGGACTGATAAGGAAGACCAGCTACTATTGAAGTTGGTCCAGGTGCATAAGAAAAATTGGGTTTAAATAGCCAAATGCATACCTAATCGCACTAGTAAGTAAGTTAGAGAAAGATTTGTAAATAAATTGAATCCAGAGATAAATTCAGAACCTTTTACAAAAGAAGAAGATATGATTATAGTTGAGGGCTATAAAAACTTTGGGTCCAAGTGGTGCAAGATATCCAAATTATTACAAGGAAGGCCTGTATGAAAAATGGTTATTTCTAGGAAAACATAATAAAAAATAGATATTATTCGTACATTCGAAAGCGTTATTTCAATATTGAGAATCCCTATTACGTGATTCCCAAAACTAATAATGAGTTATAGAAATCCATTCAGGAGGAAACAACAAATAATAAACAGAGGAGAACTGCCAAAAGGACAATAGACAAACTAAAAATACGTAAAAGATATACAGTAATATATTAATTTATAAAAGAAATTGTCAAATATTGAGTAGGATGAATATAAGATGAAAAATAACAATGAGGATGAAGATGAATATTTGGAAAAAGAAAAAGTTAGGCTATAAATGACATCAATTGACGAAAATAACAAACACCACTTCAGTAAATTCATTTCCTAACGTAGGTAAATTACAAGCAAAAGGTAACTTGGAATCGTTGCAGAATCAATAAATTGTAAAGGAAGAGCTCTCACACAACTAAAGTCAAGTGAAGTAAGAAGCAGATTAAGATTAAGTTGCTAAATTGGATCAACTATAGGAGAGTCTAAATCTTTCACAGAACTGCTATGCTCCCTATCCATTAATTTATAGCACAGCACAACCATACAAAATGATGTACTATTTCCCTACTCAAATGCCTGTGCCCTTTATTCCTCAGTATTACATAAATGCTCCATATGTCTAATATGGGTTGTAAAGCTAGGAAACTTTGTTATCTAGATCATAAGAGATATAATAAAAAAGTCAGTAATTATGATGAAATTCAACTTTTCCAAATCAACAGTAATAATATTTAATAATTCAATAATTGTTGGTTCCCATTCTAATCATTCTTTGCAAAGATTATTATAAATTTATAAGTTCTTAAAAGTACCCGGAAGAAACCTTCTTAACTTCTTATGAGGATAGCGAAGAAAAATGTGAAGTCATTCTAACGATATCTGTTAATGGAATTTTCTCTAAGTTTTTATTTGTAAACTAAGGAGATAGGTGTCTTGATTAATTTTATCTAGGAGTTGCACTGTAGATGTTTTAGAACTAACTAAGATCTCTGCTACTCCCTTTGTTCTTAACTGTCAATGCAGGAGTATAGTGTTATTCAAAGAGTCCTTGTTTTGCTTCATTGATATACTTGTAAAATCCTGGTTATTCTCCAAGGACTTTATTGCTGATTGCCTTGTTTTACAGTTTCAATTGAACTTCTAAATTAGTATCCCAACTCTTAAATCTCTCCAACCTCTATTGTGATTTTTATGGAGATTCTTTGTATCCGGAGCCCAAAGTATTCACTCTTGAGGGTTTACTAAAGGAGTTATCAAAAAACGAATCCACCTTATACTATCTCTAAGGGCCTTTATCGGCTTAGTATAGTTTGTTCAAGGCTGCTGCTTTAGATTATGGTTCAAATCGTTTTGAACTACTATTAAATATGAAAATATATGTTACAATATTTCATCGAAATTCAATCCTCCTGGAATTTTGCTAGTTGGTGTTCTCCTTTAACTTAATGGATCACTAAATATTAAGATTTCTTACAGGGTTGGTCTATCAGGTTTTCCCCATTTTCCTAAATAGAGACTTGGCTTTTCTTGAGGTTCAACGAATGGTTCTCGATGTAAAATGTTATTTCTAACTTCCCTTCTGAACTCTGCCAATTCACGCTTATTCAATTATGTAGTGACTTAAAATGTACTAAACCCAAGATTGTCATTTGACTTTTGGTATCTTGATTAATTGACCTTACATAAATCATAATAGGATTACTGGAGAATATCTTGATTGATTATGCATATGAATTTGAATAGTTAACAATTTAATTAATATTAAAAATTATTGTTAATTTACATATAAATTTCTATTTTTTCAATACAATTATGAAAACTCAAAAACATGAATGATCATCAACCCATCTACTGTCTGTACTCTAGTCATCTTGGCATTTGATAATTCTACATTATTCTTCAATTTCAACAAGACATCTTAAACACTCACATTTGATATTTGTACATCATCATTCAAAATTTTACTATCATCACCCAAAACCTTATAAATCCAATTGATTAATAATTCTACTGTCCATTCATCATACTGATAAAATAATCTTCGAAACATTTAAACCAATAAAATTAGAGATGAAAATTCAATGGAATCCTGTTCATTAAATATTGATTTGCAAATTGTAAGCCAAGCTGCATATGTAATCTCATCCTCTAAATACTTATAGCAACATTCCATAATTAAATTTCCAATCGTATATTCCTTATTTTTGTATGTTACTTTAGTTGATATCTATGTTATGCTTTATATTCTTAGATAGATTTCATACAAATATCTCATTGAGAATTCAAACACAGGTCTTCCATATAGGGCATATTCTTCAGTTTTGAAGTTTGGGTAAAACCTCAATTTTGTTTTAGTTTCAACTCCTGGGTCATCAGGAGTAGGGAATGGCTTATATTGTTCAGGTTAATTCGATAGGTTTTACTTTTCTTAAGAAGTCAAGATATTAATGATTTCTTCATTCAATAGTTCAGTATTAAATAAAAGATCTGCTTCAGGAATGTCAATATTAAAGAGAGCGTTGATCAGATCAACAAATATTTTGGCAATTAACTTATTCTTTGATACTTCTTCCAATTATTTTATGGATTTCAAAATGAGATGAGAAGCTATCTTTAAAGCATTTGCATCTTGAAAACTATAAAAATAAAGAGGAGCTTAAAGCAATTAAAATTTCTATTTGAAAATTTTAAAGGTTTCTTGATACTAAAGGAGCCATTAGGGCTATTTATCGGATGGATATATTAGGAAGGGTGGGTTCTCATTTAATTATAGTTGTTCATACTTCAAATTACTTTAGCTTTGAATATATCGAGGTGTCAAACATTTAGTGAATTCTTTCAACTTTAATATGTATTATTAATCAATTGATAGATAGAAACATCTTTTCTCTTCTTCCAATTAGGCTTCAATCTGTCTTTTCTTTTGTCTTAATAAATCTAATTATTTCTGGATAGATTATTCAAAATCCAAATTTTGATCCCTTGTGAGTTTACGATAAGCAAGGTAGGAATCAAACTTTTGTGTTTTGTATAATTTCAAAATTCTTTGCAATTGCTAAATTTCAATATCAATAAAATATCTTTTATCTTCGAAATCAAATAAGTCACCATGAAACTCAGTTTTACATTTAACTTAATCGTCTTCCCTCCTGTTTTATTTAGAATAGGGAATAGATTTATAGAATCTATTTAAAACATCTTGAAATTCAGTTTTAAATTTCTACTCTTCATTAAAATACACATAAGATGTTTCACCTAATCGAGGTAGAGTAGCAATATCAACTTGTGTATGCACTCCTCTCATAGTAGAGAATTGCTCTAGATTTTTTCTCATTAATTTGATAATGCTTTTGGATGGTGATTCTTACTATTGTTTTAATTACTCTTTTGAATCTGAACAATCTTACCATTAATCCAAAGAATCAATATAGTCACCTGCATCATTTTCTTGAGATATTTCTTCAGATGCAGATGATGATTACTATGGATAATATTCTTCTGAATCTTCATCATCATCATCCTCAATTTAACCTTGAGCAAAATATTAATTGTTTTTCCAAAACTAATTGGATTCCTCTTCATTGGTGTGTTACCTTGGTCTTCTTTGCCTTTTTTATGGCTCTTCATTTTGTTGACTCTTTTCCTCTTTGCTCATTGAATATTTGTTAATTTTATTATTAAATCAATTAATTAATATCAATTAAATTAATCTATTATCTCTATAAATTCAATATTAAATCCTATAAATTCTATATAAGTTTTTATGAAAATTCTTAATTAAGCCTTACATTTCAATTTTATGCTATTTACAATAATTGCAATAAACTATTCGAAAATTAATAACTATATCACTGTTCAGAAAAATTGAACTCACCCTCCATCCCTTATTATCATAATGAGATCCATAATTATTACATTTGTGGTATTATACTTGTAACTTGATAATTGTTACCTAATTTATAACATTCTTTATTTGAACAAGATTAACTTAAGCTATTTTACTTGAAGAACTAAAATATAGAAAATATTTTGAAAATAAATAAAATAGTCTAAATTAAATAAGAGAATTAGATATTTAATCTTCATTTGATATTTTTGATTCTAGCATCATTATTAATATTTCATTGTATCAATTACTAAGTTTATTTTATGAAAAATATTACTTAAATAGTATATTCAATAAGAATGTTAATTGAATTCAAATAAATGGCTGACAAATATTCAAAGAATCTATCCTTCCTTAATTCAATTACAATAACATATAATAAGTATTTAGTTTTGATTGTAGAATCCTAGCCTTCATCTCCAATATTTAATATTAAACTTCTAACTTTAGAGTCTAATTATGAATATGTTAGAGGAGAATTCATAATGGTATCTAGTATTTTATTAAGCAATTTTAATTTAATGTATTAATAAATCATTTTTTAGCTTTTGCGAAACCAACTTAGTCATTGTCTCTATCATATATGCTGTAATATTTTCTAAGGAAGACGTCTCCTAATATCCAAGCAGGTCCTTGAGGTTATTAAATATCTAAAGGCATGAATGCTGCTATACAATCCCAGTTATTAACTTCAATTAATGCCTCTATAAGAATTAAATTAGAAATTACATAAGTCATCTCCTTCATTAACTTCTGTCAATTAGGCAGCATCAAAATTAGTAGGTTTGACATATTCTTCAGGTTCCAATGTATAATCAACATCGTCAATCTTAAATGTAATTGTAGGTAAAGTATTGATTTCATGGCAATGAGATTTAACATTTAAGGTTCTCAACAAGGTACCCAAATCATCAAAGGGTCCACTCATAATTGATGTTCCAGTATCAACAATAAGTCTGCAAGATCCATGACACAAACCAATATCTTTGTTATCTACTAAAATATTATCAGCTTTAATCATCCAATAATATTTATCAATAACATCATGATAATGAATGTCTCCATCTACGTGAGCTGGGTTGTAACCTCCCAAAGTAAATTCACTATGAGCAATGTCATTTGCATCTTTGGCAAAATAAAATGAAAATTGGTTTCTCTCCAAGACTCTCTAATCCATAAGGTTATCAAAAACTGGATTGAAATTCTTAGGTGCCATTTTTGGATAAGCCAATCCGAGAATACCATCAAAGTCAAGATCTCTAAAGATTGCTCCGTTTTCGCTTGTTATCTCAGCCAAGTTTTATCTCGGTAATGTAACCTCACCAAAATAAACAGTATCAGCATTCACAACCCCTTTCAAATCACCACTTCCAAATTCAACATTCAATTCTTAATTCAAAGGCAAAAACGAGTGACTATCCTCATGGTTATATTATTTGTGTCTCATGCAGCCTTCCTCTTAACATCTATTTGAATCAATCCATAAGTTAGCACTTCCTGTATCTAAGACAACTTTGAATGTGTTTCCAGGTTATCCTATTCCTAGGTCAGCAGTGTATTGAATATTTTTGTAATTATGCATTCTCATATATTCAGGGCCTGATTGCTAAGTTTAGGCAAAGGAGGAATCACTTAATTTATCTTGATTCATAGCAACTAGTTTATAAAAGTCTTATTTATCTTAGACCTTGGTTTCTCTTTCTTGTAATTGAATATGAATTACCTTCTTTTTTTCCGGTTCTAAGAATTTCTAGTCATTTTGGCTTATAATCAACAATTCAAAATTACATATTAACTGCAACTGACAAGCAAATTATTACATTTAAGAATAAGAACGACTTGTTCATTTGTAAAAACGATTTTTTAATAAAATAATAAAAATAACAAGTTAATTCGCAATGTGTTTTTCTCAATTTTAATTAACTAAAACAGAATCTAAATTAAAGTACTTATGATTCATACTCAAATTTATAATAGATCTGTTTAAATGTAAGATTTAATTTTATTTATTCAAGCAAAAAGAATAATCATTATTAATCCAACTAATTCAAATGCTATAAATAGATGTAGGCAACAGTAGGATGACGAATTCAGAACCTTTTTCAATTTTCCATTCACATTGATCATTTCCTTATTTGTTTTATCCATATCATTGCCGATTTAAATAAGCAATCTATTTTATTCATCCACAGTATTCCAAATGATCTTACCTTTCCATTTAAGAGTATCCAATTAATCTAAACAAACGTCGAGTTTCTCATCTTACTCTTTTTGCAATTGTTTCTAATTATAATGCAATTATTTTTTATCCATTTGTTATAATGTCTCTGTGTCCTTATATTGCTTACCCCCATTAGACCTATCATTAAATAATTAATCCTTTTAAGATCTCAAAGACTTGTCAAAATTTTGTTTTAATTCCGCAGCTACATTCTACAATTCCAATAATGTATTTTTTCTTGTTTCTCCTTCTTTCTACAATATTTCTTGATTTCGGTTTTGCCTCCCAATAAGTGATTTTAACAATTCTATTTCTATTTCTTTAAATATATATTTAAATCCAAATACCTAGTTTAGAGATGCCTTATCTAATATCTGCATCAATAATTCCAACTGGTTGATTGACATTTATCTTTTATTCTCTTTTCTGTATGTCAGATCTTATTTATTAGATCAATTTCTAAATTCTTACTATATCACTTCTATATGAATCAGTCATTGAATTTTATATTGTATATTATTTAATACTCATACAAGAACAATTCCTATTTCTTCTGGTTTAAGCATATTACTCTCCAATTTCCAATTGTAAAGATAATAATTCAATTATCCGTCACCTGGACAGAACATTAATTCCTAGCATTATCAATAGCAGATACTTTCAAAAACTTTTCATTTTCCATAATATCCAAAGCATTGAACACATCATAACCCTCATTTTTTGCTAGGATCAATGCATCATACATTAATTAAACTATTGGAGTTTAAGTAGCCACATTATAATACGAGTAGGCAGCCTTTGATGATATCGAAATGATATAATACTCTTAAATGTGTGTGTTTTGGATTTTTAATCACCTAACTTGGAAGATTATAAAAAGATAAAAAATCAGTAACCACTCCTTATTCTTTCTCAACAACGTATGTGCTTATTACATCCTTTCTTGGTAAAAACCAATGCTTGACTTCATCTTCAGTATATTTAAAGTACAATTTGAATTATCTAAAATAAAAAGATTTAAATTACTTCAAATATTCATTTAATAATTTGGTAACTTGAGCTACATCTTTTTTTTTCATAGGTCTCAACCCTTAGGTTTTTGGCTCTTCAGGCAATTTGTAGAGCTTTTATTATCTTGCAATTGTTTGTCTTGCAGAAAGAGATGAAAATCCAACTTCGATTAATTTCTTGGCATTCAAGCTTCTGTGATAGTATCTTGTTTAGGAAATTGGAGTAGGTACAACAATTCCAGCTGTATAGACTGCTTACCACATGTTTTTAATGTGGACTCTTCTTGTAATTTCCTTGATCAAAACTGGAGCCAATCTGTTTGCTCTGATTTTTTTGTGAACACACAAGAAGTTGATTTCTGTCATCTTTACTTTTGTTTACTAATTCTCAATATGTAATGTAACTGGAATTCCTGTAATAAATCCAACCAACTTTTGATTTACCTTAACCCCGACAATCCAATCAGGGTGTTGTCCTGGAGGCAACAATGCCCATCTCAGGAATTCAATCGAGTAATCAAATCTAAACATGTTATCATCATCTTCAACGTAGTTCTCTTTCAATAATGTATACACCTAAATTAAGGAAATAGGAATACTTGTTGGGCTTGTTCATCATTCCTCAAATCGACATTACACCATTCAAATTTGGAGATTAAATTATATGGATCCTTTCTAACATCAGCTAAAATTCCCTCTTAAATAGGACCAGGCTTTAAGGATTCCAATTCATTAATATTTGGCATGGGCTGTGTTTCCCAAAATTAATGTGGTTTATTTAATTTATCCAACAATTATTGATTGTATTGGGTTTACTTCTATACAACATTGAGTTGCTGTTATTATTGTTGCTATTATTTTTCTTCGCCTTACACTTCTATTTCCTCATCGCTGGATTCCTATTATTTTTCCTATTGTTGCATTATTTATAAAAATTTAAATATAATTTAATCATATCACTCGCAATTTATATGATAAAATTTAACGAAGAAATAATAACTTATTACTGAGATATATCTAAATATTAAATAAAATGAAGTAATTTAACTAATACACTGAGACAGAATTGATTACAAACGAAGTATAGAATATTAATAATTACATTATCTCAAAAATGGGTATCATCTAAAATTTAATGCTGAATGGATTATGTAAACATGATTCTTAAGGTAAAAGTAATATATAATATGACCTTTATGTAATTATTTTAGTTATATATTTCATTCTGTATTAAAATTCAATGGGTTGTCACTCATAATTAAGACATTTACTTTATTATATATTTTATTGATCAATAATTTTCTATTGAAGAAATTCATCTTTTTACTTTTAATTGAGATTTAAAATTTTTTCACTTTGCTTCATTTGATTATTATTATTTCTATTCTTATGCAACTCTAATGGGATGTAAACCATAGTTTTTTCTTTCCTTGAGGAACACAATTAATCAAAGTATTCTAATTAAGATCTAAAGGTTTAGTTCGCTTTTTTATTTTATTGTAATTCCTTATTTACTGTTCTGGAATCCCAAAATAGTTATCTTTATTTCTGGATGGATCTCTAAGATGATTATTATTGCTAAATGTGGACTTCTAAAGAAGTTGCCAAATTGCTTCCAGTTATCTATTTCATTTTAGTTGTGTACTAAACAATCGAATTTTCCTCTTGACTTTAAATCTACTCTAGCATTTTAGCGTAGTTATTTGGTGAGTTGACTTGCTACTCTACAGTTTCTTCAAGGTCGAATAATGACATATTTGAATCTTCGGATGCCACTCTTAAGGCTTGAGGAGGGAAAAGATCAGCTTTAATTTTTTGTTATTCCAAACCAAATTATGGGACAGTAGGAACTTCAAGGCTGGAATACTCAAAATTAAGATCATGATCAACATAATTCATTCCAAAACTATATTGGTGGGTTTGAGTTATGACATTCTGCTAAGATTGAAAACCTACAGATTGAACATCTGTAGTGCATTGTTTACATTCGTTTCCCATTATCCCTTTCGTGAATTAATAAATATATAAGATTATATCAAATATGAGGATTTATATTTAGATTTCATCATACATTTTTATACTGTTTTATTTGTAAAAAGAATTTTCTAATTACTCAAAATAATTAAATAACTTATTATATTAAATTATAATTCAGTGGTTTGCCGTCATGTTTCTTCAGAATGAATTGCTCATCTCCTTAGATGTGGATCACTGAAATAACCGATGAATTCTTCTCCTCAAAATCAGAGGGGTCTATAAAAATGTGACCTTCAAACACAGCAAAAGTTTAACATTTGATCTCCTTGCACACTATTGAATTTTGAGTCTCGAAATGCTTAACTAAGATATTTAATCACTCAAATTTACTTTGCTATAAGGAAAACGAAACAAAGGTGATCAGATGGGACAATAATGATCCATCAGCCCCAGCCACTCTGATTTATAATTCAATTTATTAAACTTTGCCATTTTGATTTCTCAATCTTTGAGGATCCACAATCTGGAGTACGACATCTTAAATTTAATTTAGGTAGTGCTTTTCGATTCTGACCTTATCTATATTACTTAATTCCTCCTGATTATCCATAATAATTGACAATCCTTAGTCTCATTACATACTAATACTAATGCACTAATTTAGATCCACTTCCTTTAACTCTATCTCTCGAATCACATGTTTGACTGAAATAAAGCAATCCGCATACTAATAGTTAGTTAATCCTTCTCCAAATTCAACAACAATCTACCTGGGCTAGTTAAATTATCTCCCGTCTATTCTAACATTTTTCTCCAAAAATCTTTTCATATAATCTGAAGGAAACATCTCTCGGAATATGTCTGCGTCCATTAATTAATAATTAATTATATTTCTTATTAAAAATAACCAAAAAATTATCCAATTATTATCTAACTCTTCAGATGGTCAAAAATCATTAATAGCCTATGATGATGATGTATCAATAATATGATCCATTCATATTTTATAAGTACTTATAATCGCTATTGATAAAACGTATATTTAATAATATATTTTATTTCTAAACTCTAATTGCTAAATGAGACATTCTGGATTCGTCTAAATATCACCCGCTCCCTTAATGCCCTTGTAATATAAAATTAATGGCTAGAAACTATTCGGTTTAATCGGTACCACTTGTCGCAACAACACCTATGTATTAATCTCTGATCCAGGTCTAATAACCATAACCATAAATTGTGAGAGTACTAATTCAATCTAAATGTTCGAATAGCAAAGGCCTATTCATGTGGTCGATTTGGAATAGTACGATGACATTTGGAGAAAAAAAGTTGAAGACCTTGAAAAGCAATTAAGAGAACTCTAAAAACAAAAACCATAGCCAGTCATTTAGGCTCCAGGTTATTTTAAATGTTATTTCCAAGAGCCTGTGATCGAATTACGCGCTGGTGCAGACACTGAAGATTTGGAAAGACAGATCTCTCAACTCCAACTAGAATTGTATAAAACTAAAGAAGATTATGAAGATTTATTCTAAAAGTACAATGACAATCTTAGCGAATTGGAAAAATTGAAATGTAATATCTAAATAATGTTATTTAAGAGTAATTGAAAAGTCTTGTCTGTACTGATAATACTGTTGAGTTAAAAAGGAAAATCGAATAACAAGATAAAGAAATCGAGAGATTGAAGGCTTTGCTTGCTTCCCAAGTTCCTGTTGGTATAAATCACTCAATAGCAATTCAATAGCAAATGACGATTCCGAATAGTTGAAGCTGTATTAAAAGAGGATATCTGATTTAGAGAGTTAATTACAAGACTCAATTTTATAAGTGGAAAGATATAGACAGGAGAATTCTCAACTCCTATCCTAATTGAACTTCTTTAAGGATTAAATCCACGAGAAGGATGAAAAGATAAAGGAATTAGAAGGCTAAATTGAAGAACTCAATAATGAAATGGATGGCATGCAGGATGAATAGGAGGAGATTATTGAGCAAAGGGTTGAAACTATTAAAAAGGAATTGAAGAGTTGGAAGGATAAATTTTTGGCTTTAAATGCTCAATTTCACGATTAATAGGAAAAATTAATGTTAACTGAAGCTGAGTTGGATCACATTAAAAAATAAGGAGGTGCTGGAACTAAGGTAAATTCAATAGACATCTTAATTATTAGGGTAGCTAAGTAATAACTACGACGACTACAACAAAATAATCTAAATGAATATTAGTACATTATCTAAATAAATATATCAGATGGTTTATAATTACCGTAATAAATATATATATATGGTCTTTGATGGGTTGAAAATTATTTAGAAATTTCTAGCTCCCAACATTATTTATTATGGAGTAATAAAATTTTTATTTCATATAAGCATTTATGACTAATATTTCTTGATTCCTAAAATCATGTTAAAGTGTAGAGGATCAATCTATGCTCACAGACCTCAAATTGGATGATGCTGTAGGTTAATTCTCGACGAAAAATAAAATGCCAATTATCCTCATCATGCAATCAGTAGATGTATGATTATATTACGTGATGTCATAATATATTAAATAAACTTCCTTGATCAAAGTCATTACTAAAATATATAATCAAATTAGTTATAGTAATGTTGAACATACTTTTCTCAATAGTATTTTTATTACGGATTGCTAATTCAGAATGGAGGCTTATTGAGAGTGCATTTTATTAAGAGAGTTTGTCAAACACCTAAGGTTGGGAATTTAAGAAAACCTGCACAGACAACTCAGTAGAAGGATCCTCAATAAGACAATGCTAAACAAATCAGTTGGATTTCATGCGCTTAAAAGAGGATCGGACAAGAATTGAGAAGGAATTTTATTATCCTCATTTTCAGCTTCGAATCATCACTGATGCATATTACATTCGAGCCAAGCCAAGCTCTAACTCAGAGTTTAAAATATCATTAATCGACTCAGGAGGAACTACTACGATATTTTCTAGACTATATTAAGAATCAACTTTATAGAGGTATGACAAAGTATGTAAAAACGACTGTCCAGGCAGTAATTGCGGAGGATTAGACGAAACAAGAGTAGAAATTAAAACCATTATTTTGAATGCAATAAATCACTAGAAATCAGTGTTTGATGTTTCATATTGTTATATATACCAAGACAATTCGATGAGGGTTGGATTAAGAAATATATTGATATATGCAAATACCTGTCATTTCACATGTGCATCTTGTTCAGGAAGCACTATAAATGATTGCTTAACCTGCTATTAAGGTGTATTACAAGGAGGAATCTGTAAGTGTGATGAATCCAATTCATACGTTTAATTATTGACAGGTTGCGTGTAGGAATGTCCTAGAGATTATTATCTAGCAGATGATTCTAAATACTGTTAATTTGATTCGAGTAAGATTTCAAATTTAATTAGGAATCAAATCAAAAATCAGTTATTTTACTTCCACTACTATCAGTAATGGCAACTTGCCACTTTACGATCCATGGGTGTATGTGTCTGATCCATTTTACCCCTCTAATACAAACAAGCTAGCTTAATGTGGTAGTGATGATGTGATAGGCAGGTTTTCAAATTATGAAATGATGTATTTAAAATTGGCTCAACATAAAGCATTATCATTCTTAAGAATAAGAGCATCCTTCTATTTATTTGGTTGGCAGACTGGTTCCTCATTGCGAATAACAGTAGATTCCTATTCATAAGGTATAATTTTGAAGACTGCTACCAATTACACCATTTAGAATGCAAGGTTAAATAAGTTTAGTAGTTCCAGTTGCTCAGGAAATAGCTACGACCTATTGAGAATTGAAGCAGTCCTTAAGACATACACAACTACTCCTACTATTAAGTTTCAGGCAATTCCTATTCTATAGAGTGAATAATGGGCATTCAAAAATGTTACAATTGATTATGGTCTATGCTAAAGTAACTGTACATCATGTGAAACGTACTCTAGGTGTTTGATCTGTGATTCAGGATTCAATTTGTACAGAGGTACATGTGTAGATCAATGTCCAATTCACTCCACTTTGTTAGCCAATGGTACTTGTTAAGATTATGAGGACATTATTCAAAGTAATTTCTATACATATATTGTCATTAGATAGTAGATATTTGATAAAAGCATTTTATGATATGAACACTACATTTGAAGAAGTGTCATCGATAATCGATAATTTTACTGATTTAGCTGGAACCATCAAAACTTCATTTACAGGGTCGATTTATTCTTTTGTACCTGAAAAATCAGTCTTAGGAGGTGTTTTAGTGTGGCAAGTAGGAAAGTTTCAAAAAACATTTACCTCGTTAAAACCACATTATAAGATAAGCTATCGACTTAACGTTACCTATGGAGATGAGATGACTGGATGGTTTTCCTATAAGTTCCATTCCTATCAATCTCCACAAATAACTAATCCTAATACAGGGACCAATAATTACATAGGAGATGTTAAGAGAGAGACTACTGTTTATTATTAATCCTTAGAGCAAACTCATTCCTCCTCCTAATTAGACATAGTCTTGGCAGGAAATACGAATTAGGGTTCTCCAGAAGATGCATTTATCTATGTATCAGATTATTTTGTAGTTGTTCACTATGTACTTTTATCATATAAATAAGTGTGCTCCTTTTTGTAATGTATGTCATGGTCCAGCCATCTCAGATTGTGATTCTGGATACACTGGATATAGTTTAACTAGATCTTGTAACACAAATCAATACTTAAGTTTCAACAGTGCCACTTAAGTTTATTCGTGTTAATCTTGCACTTAGTTAGGATGCTTAGAATGTTAAAGTGATTCAGTTTGTACAAAATGTGAATTCTCTAATACTAATAAATTTGTATTAGACTAAGGAGAATGCTAATGTTATCCCTCAGCATATTTGTCAGGCACAAATTGCATGTGTAATTATATATAGTTATTATTTAAGAATGTAATAGATATTGTGAAACTTGTTTCGGATCTCTTAATACAGAATGCTATACTTGTGTTTCTGAATATTATAGATCAATCAAGAAGTATTAATGTTTATGTATTGATGGGTATTATGATGATGGATATAATTTACAATGTCACCCTATTTGTGGAGATCAAATAGTTGTAGATGGAGAAGATTGTGATGATGGCAATAATAATCCATTTGATGGTTGTCATTAGTGTAAATTTGCTTGTCAAGAGAGCTGTAAAGATTGTGCCAATGGAGAATGCTATGACTGTAAAGACCATTACATTCTAATTGAATCTATCCATAAATGTATTAATAATTGTGGAGATTCAATTATTATTGGAAATGAAGAATGTGATGACGGTAATATTTATCCATATGACGGTTGTTATGAATGTAAATTTGAATGTTATGAACACTGTACTAACTGTGTATTTGGGATTTGTTATCAATGTGATGAAAATAATGGTTGGTATTTGACTGGAGTTGATTGTGAACCTATTTGTGGAGATGGAATTCTGGTTCCAGGAGTTGAACAATGCGAAGATTCAAATTATGATCCATTTGATAGATGTGATATGTGCCAATTAGCCTGTTCAGAATATTGTAAGTAATGTTCCAATGGAATTTGTGTTTAATGCATTACTGGATTTAAATATGTATCTGCCACTAAACAATGCATACCTATTTGTGGAGATTTTTCAGTTGTTGCGTATGAAGAATGTGATGATAATAATTTTGTAGAATTCGATGGATGTTATTAATGTTAATTTAAATGCTAGACTTCTTGCACTGATTGTAGATATGGAAAATGTTATGAATGCAATACTCTTGGATGGGAGTTAAATTTATCAGAATATAAATGCGACATTATATTGGATGATGGTCTGTTTAAATCAACAACAGAATATTGTGATGATGGCAATACGAATCCTATGGATGGATGCTATTAATAGTATTATGAATGTTAGGATTCATGTTCTGTTTGCTAAAAAGGTTATTGTATTTACTGTAAGTAAAACTGGTATTTAAATTTATCTGATAATCTTTGCTATCCTATATGCGGCGATAAAGTTATTGTTGGAAATGAATAATGTGATGATAAAAATACATTAATGCATGATTCTTGCAATAAATGTGTATTTCAATGTGATCCTAATTGTTCATTGTGCGATTTTGGATATTGTTAACAATGTGAAATAGGATACGCATTAGTTAATAATATATGTGTTGAGATCTGTGGAGATGGTTTAGTTGTTGGTAATGAAGAATGCGATGAGAATGAATAAATCTTAGATTCCTTTTGTTCAAATTGTAGATATAATTGTGGATCCAGTTGTTCGTTATGCACAAGAGGAGGATGCCAATAATGTAAAATTGGGTATTTAATGGATAACTATGAATGCTAACCTATTTGTGGTGATAGAATAATAGTTGAATAAGAATAATGTGATGATGGGAATGATTAACCATTCGATGGTTGTCACAATTGCTAATTTCAATGTTAAGAAGAATGTTCAGATTGTAAATTCAATCATTGTTACGATTGTATGATTGGATATGTTAATAAAGATTTTAGTTGCATTGAAAATTGTGGTAACTCCTTATCTACTAAGAATGAAAAATGTGATGATGGGAACTTAGAGGCATTCGATGGATGTTACAATTGCAATTACTCTTGTGATGAGGAATGTGAAATATGTCAAGAAGGGATGTGTTTCAAATGTAGTAAAATTGGATGGTAGATCAGCAATGTAACTTTTAGATGTGAACCGGTTTGTGGAGATAAGATTGTTGTAGGTAATGAATTTTGCGATGATGGAAATGAAATTAGATATGATGGTTGTTTTGAATGCTATTATGAATGCGAATAACCATGTACTGATTGTGTTAAAGGAGTATGCTAGGAATGTAATACATTGGGATGGTTGCTAGAAGATTTTAAGTGTGTTCCAATTTGTGGAGATTTAATAATAGTTGATATAGAATAATGTGATGATGGTAATGATATTCCATATGATGGATGCTTTGAATGTGAATACCAATGTTAATTAGAGTGCACTAATTGTAACAAAGGTATTTGTGAGGAATGCAATACCAATGGTTGGGTACTGTTAGATTAACGTTGTTCAACTAAGTGTGGTGATGGAATAACTGTGAAACCATACGAATTATGTGATGATGGGAATTCAGTTCCATTTGATGGCTGCTTTGATTGTGACTTCTAATGTTAAGAAATTTGCGGTGAATGTGTTGAAGGCAAATGCTATAGATGTGATGAATTAGGATGGGTTATTGAGAACTACCTCTGTGTTCCTTATTGTGGAGATGGATTGATTGTAGGGAATGAATAATGTGATAGTGGAAAGAATGTAGATAGCTTTTGTAAAGATTGCAATTTAGTTTGTGATTAGTATTGTGTTGATTGTATTGAAGGAATATGTAATCTTTGTGATCAAGGAAGACAACTATAAAATAATTATTGTGTATTGTTATGCGGAGATGGAATTCTTGTTGAAGAAGACTGTGATGATGGCAATCTTGAAAATCAAGATGGCTGTTCAGAGAGGTGCAAAGTTGAAACTGATTGGGTATGTCTAAATACATAATTTCTAACCAGCACATGTATTTATTCTATTGCTCCAGATATGAAACTCGACAGTCTCAATCAGAATCCAGAAAATGTTGAAACGGTTTCTATTACATTTAATTAGCCTATGATGCTTAAATATAATGAAAATTACACTGCTGATCATTATTTCGAAGGCAACATAACAAATCTCTTATTTGAATAATATGAAGTTACTTTTGAGTTTAGAGTGCCTCCTTAATTTGGCTAAGTGGAAGATATTGAAGCCATAGCAACAGTTAAATTTTATGAAAATGTTGATGATCCTATTCTTATTGTTACACTTAACTCAAGTGCCATAGTCACTCAATATTATACTATTATTACAGATAACGAAAAAGAAATTAGATTAAAAACTCCACTTGTGCTTTCCTAATCTTAATTAGATAATTCAGAAAATGCTAAGTCATTTTTAAGTATTGTTATCTACTTTTTGATAACTTTATCTGCTTTTTGTGTTATAACAGGATCTTTTGAAATCTTTTGGAACTTGATGGATTTGCTTCAATATCTATCGTATATAAAGTACATCAACATCCCATTTCCCACAAATCTTAATATTTATTTTGAAGTTTTTAAATTAATTTCAATTTAACCATTAATGGAATTCACAGGAATCAGTACTCTCTTTGATTTTGCAGATGGAGAAGAGTAGTATGTTGTAGAAACTTCAAATAAATTTAAATTAGATCAAATTAATGGGTACTTCTATGTGAATTTCCAAAGTTCAATCTTTTGCTTTTTGGGTTTATTCTCTGGATATGTTATTGCCAAAGGTTTAGCATCATTTCTTTATTAATTAGGACCTTATCAACTTGCTAATTTTGGCTTTTATCCAATTAAATTCATCTATGTTTTCAGAAACCTCTTAAAAAAAAGCTATAAAGCATTTTACTTTAGTGCAATTATCAAAATGATTATGTCCAATTATTACGATATCAGTTTCTCTGTATTTATCTAATTAAACAATTTTAATACAGATAACACTGTACTCAAAATAAATTCTTACGCGGCTTTAGTTGTTTGTGCATTGTAACTACTATTTTTTACTTACATGTTCACTAAATAACTTTCATTTACAAAGAAAGTAACTACTAAAAATATAGAATAATATTCTGCTCTATTTGAAGGAGTATCAGATTCTCCTAACATCTGGATTACGTAATATAACACTATCTTGTTATTAAAGAAATAAGTTTTTATCTTCCTAATTGTGTATATGGGATAAAACGGTCCCTTATAAACAATCACAATTGGATTAGTTTAAACTGTGTTTCTCCTGTACGTATTTGTCTAGAAACCGCTTGAAAATATTTAAGAATACTATAAAACATTAGTTGCTGAGTCCTTGTTGGCTTTTAACACCTTATTATTTTTGGCTTATTCCTATCGAGTGTAGCTAGAATTGTCAATAGATGATTACATCCTGATTGGCTGGATTCATATTGCTAGTTTTAGTTTCATTCTGCTGTTTTCATTAATTTTCGACATCAAATCCCAAGCAACTACTCTGTATAGAAAGATTATCTAAATTATATAAGGAAAAAAACCAGAAGTTAAAGCTGGCACAGTTATATTTTATTGAATATAGATTTTAATTTGTACATATTAATTTAAATTCCATAATGGATATAATGTTTTAATTTAATGATTTATTTGATCCTATATCAATTTTATTTGTCTTTGTCCTAAATGACATCTTTTATCACTTATTTTACTTAATCATTCTACTTTTTCTCTTATTCATTTAGCTATTTTTAATTTTATTTTTAGTTATTCTTATTATCCTTTTTGTTATCTTTCTTTTAATAATCTGGAATATAAGCAAATTCATCATAAATTTCCCCATTCTTTCCTACAAGCATTTGCATAGCAAGATTCAATGAATTATTAAAAATAAATATATAAATTTGCATATATTTTAAAAAACTCATAAACTCATTTCTCTTATTATTCATTTTATATGGCTTCCTGAATAACTTTCGAGGCTTTTTACTATTATTTCAATAGCTGTTCTTAAGTTTTCTTTTCTTAAAATTCTGATTTATCTAGTTTTCTAGAATTTAATCCATTTTTTCCACTCTGCATTTTACTCATATAATATTAATTCAAATTATAGTAAATATTATTTTAATAGGAAATAATATAATTATATTTTTTAAAAAATTATACTTCTGATTCTCAAAATGATTAACAAATACATAAATCTAAATATATTTTCAATTTAATATAATTCTTAAATCATAGATATAGACTATTTTTAATTGACAATTTTCAAATTTAGTAATAATTGAACTATATTTTAATTGAATTCGGTAGCTGCTATGAAAGTTTACAACATTTTGGTTTATAGTCTAAATTCATTTTGGAAAACATATTCATTAAAGAATACAATAAGGTTCAATCTTTTATTTTCTAATTGGAGAAATCCGTTCTATAACAAATTTTCAGAGGAAGAATATTGTACTGGGTTCTTAGATGGAGAAAATTTAATAAATTTATCTATGGAGAATAAATTATTAGAACTAATAGTCTTAGATAAATAAGGAAGGAGTAGTGATATTAGATAGTTGCAATCCAAAATTGATATCAAAGATGAAGGAAAAGGTAAATGAAAAATTAGTTATGTTCTTTTGATAATTAAAACACGAATAAATTTATTTAAGTTTTTATTCAACTATATAAAACAAATGCTCACAATGAGAGAATTATAAGAGTTACGTCAACTAAATGACGACAGAAAGGCATTGACAGATAGATACGGGGTGGGTTTCAATCAACCACTTTCGGCTAGAAATGAATATATTGGCAAGTAGACTTTGAGTGCATGGGATCCAATTACAAATAAGCCTTAAACCCTTGTTATAAATAATGGATCTGATCCCATTGTTCTAGATCATAATGTACCCAGACAAGTAATCATACTTTATTGATATTCAGGAAATCACAAAGAATATTGTATTTTAGAAGGGTTTCCCTTTTTAAAGTAATTAAGCTACAAATAGGAATTATTAAAACTAAATTTAAGAAATGCCAACATCTATTTCAAAGATCCAAACTTCAATACCTATTCCATAAAATTACATGCACGAATATCATCATAGACAACGACCTTATTAACTCAAAAGTGTGGAGGAAATTTTAAGACCTTGGAAAGCAAAAGAAATAATGTGCAACAGAGAAATACAACATTTATAGGAACAACTTAACAGAGGGAATTATACAATGAGAGATAAAAGAACATTGAAAGTAGATAATGTGGGTAAAAAATTAGAGTTGGAAAATGATGTTCAAAAACTTGAAGCTATTTTAAAAAATAAAGATGAAGAAATTACTAGATTAAAAATTCGAAGTTAAGAATTAGAAGAGAAATTTATTGAAATAACTGAAGAAAATTCAACAGAACTTAATAAATATCAAAAGGAATTGGAAGAATGGAAAAAAAAGTTTAAAGAACTTAATAACTTATATCATGAATGTGAAGAAGAATGTACCATGAAAGAAACTGAAATAGAAAGTTTAAAAAAAAGAAAAATGTCAGTGATTAAAACATAAACAGTTTAAAAAGTTGGAAGTAAACCATAAANATATTTTAATTGAATTCGGTAGCTGCTATGAAAGTTTACAACATTTTGGTTTATAGTCTAAATTCATTTTGGAAAACATATTCATTAAAGAATACAATAAGGTTCAATCTTTTATTTTCTAATTGGAGAAATCCGTTCTATAACAAATTTTCAGAGGAAGAATATTGTACTGGGTTCTTAGATGGAGAAAATTTAATAAATTTATCTATGGAGAATAAATTATTAGAACTAATAGTCTTAGATAAATAAGGAAGGAGTAGTGATATTAGATAGTTGCAATCCAAAATTGATATCAAAGATGAAGGAAAAGGTAAATGAAAAATTAGTTATGTTCTTTTGATAATTAAAACACGAATAAATTTATTTAAGTTTTTATTCAACTATATAAAACAAATGCTCACAATGAGAGAATTATAAGAGTTACGTCAACTAAATGACGACAGAAAGGCATTGACAGATAGATACGGGGTGGGTTTCAATCAACCACTTTCGGCTAGAAATGAATATATTGGCAAGTAGACTTTGAGTGCATGGGATCCAATTACAAATAAGCCTTAAACCCTTGTTATAAATAATGGATCTGATCCCATTGTTCTAGATCATAATGTACCCAGACAAGTAATCATACTTTATTGATATTCAGGAAATCACAAAGAATATTGTATTTTAGAAGGGTTTCCCTTTTTAAAGTAATTAAGCTACAAATAGGAATTATTAAAACTAAATTTAAGAAATGCCAACATCTATTTCAAAGATCCAAACTTCAATACCTATTCCATAAAATTACATGCACGAATATCATCATAGACAACGACCTTATTAACTCAAAAGTGTGGAGGAAATTTTAAGACCTTGGAAAGCAAAAGAAATAATGTGCAACAGAGAAATACAACATTTATAGGAACAACTTAACAGAGGGAATTATACAATGAGAGATAAAAGAACATTGAAAGTAGATAATGTGGGTAAAAAATTAGAGTTGGAAAATGATGTTCAAAAACTTGAAGCTATTTTAAAAAATAAAGATGAAGAAATTACTAGATTAAAAATTCGAAGTTAAGAATTAGAAGAGAAATTTATTGAAATAACTGAAGAAAATTCAACAGAACTTAATAAATATCAAAAGGAATTGGAAGAATGGAAAAAAAAGTTTAAAGAACTTAATAACTTATATCATGAATGTGAAGAAGAATGTACCATGAAAGAAACTGAAATAGAAAGTTTAAAAAAAAGAAAAATGTCAGTGATTAAAACATAAACAGTTTAAAAAGTTGGAAGTAAACCATAAAAGAATATGGATAGTCCAAGAGCTATTATTTCTACTGTAAGCGACAAAGATTCAGATTATTATTGATGCAACAAATAAATTCAATGTATTTTATAATCTTAAAACACAATTTAAATCAGTATTTTATACTAATTGAATAGAATAATTATATTAATTCTTCACTATATAATCTGAACTATTGATTATCAATACCTGTTAAAAAAAAAATCATAAAAAAATGGCCAAGAATTTATTCAAATTATACATATCTATTATATTAGATCAACATTCTTGTTATGAAATTATGGATTTCTGAACACTTTTACAATTTATGAAAATGTTATTTTATCATTTTTAAATGGATCAAGAATTTCATATAATTTAGAATACTCTTCATTCTGTAAATTAGGCTTGATGCTTTCAGTCAATTTTTAGAATTATTACTATAAACTATCAAATGCAATAAATACTTGATTGAGAATTCCATCCTTATCATGGTCAACTGACTTAAATACGATACATAAATTGGCTAAGTATTATTGATGAAGACTCATAAAGTATTCAAGAATTAGTTTGATAAAGACAGAAAACTCATATTTTATAGGTTCCTTTTAAGCACTTGGTCTTCTCTGCTCTTTTTAATTGACCTTTTTAATTGGGCTTACACTGGCAGCAGCTTTAATTTAATGCATCTTTAATTAACTGAGTATAATTTCTTTTTCCTCTTCTGGAAGACAGCATTTCAAAATTTCAACGACTTCCTGTTGAGTTATTTATCCGGCTACTTTTTGTTTGACCATTTCCTTAATCTCTAATATGTGCTTGGTTTTATACTTAGCTTATAAAATTGTCTAACTCTTTAGATCAATAAAATTACCTAGATTATATACTCAATATTTTATTTGCGCTAAGATTGCATGAGTCTAAAATCTTCATCAATATTATTTTTAAGCATCAATGCGAATACAGCAACATCATTGTCTTCAGCAATATACTTTTAGATTGCATTAATAATGCAAGCAACCCATTCCAAGGCTAAATTCTACTAATGATAAATTTAAAATACTTTTAATCCATATTTACAATATAAATATGTGTACATATGTTGTTCAATAGTTTCTAAAGGTAACTTACTCTCATTCTGTCGAATATCGTGTTTGGTTTTGCTTTCGTAAATATCCTGAATGATATCTTTGAGTTATTTTAGAGTTAAGGGTCGAAATGATTAGGGTTAAACTAGAAGGTGAAATTCCGATAAGGTTTTGTATCTCTTTTTTTCAATGATGCTTGGACTTTCAGTTTGTTTATAACTGATATCAGACATGATATTGGAAGATTTTTCAACCTTTGATCTTCTGATTATCATTTCTAAGTATTTTTTGTTTTCTTATTGAAGTTATTCATTTTAACATTATAAATCTTCAAGTTCTTATTGAAAGGATTGCATATCAATGGATTTAGTAAAGATTACATTATCTTCTTACTCTATTGTTTGGCTTTACTTTTCAAGAAATCGTTGGTTGTCAGTCTGGGTTCCTTTAACTAGCATGACTACTTGTTGAGTTTAAAAATTAGAAAAGGAGTGCATATCCTAAAATGATTGATTGGCTGATTGAATTTATTTGGAACTACCTCTATTAGATCTCTGTATTTGTTATTGCTGAGCAAATTAATATTCTAATTAAGAAATAACATTATTCAGGTTTTCTTTTTCTTATTCCAATCTCTGAACACTGTTCTATAATGTTTTGACTTATAATTGTAATGGATGAAGTAACTCATATTGTTAGTCCTTCTATTATTAGAGTTTATTTTTGTCAATTAGGAGACGATCTCGTTCTTCTTTAAGAAGTTGAATTTCTTTAATTTAAGATTTAACAATATCACTATTTTAGATGAGTTAGTCAATTTCCTGATTCTCTTTTTAGATCTTTTTATAGTCTCTGAGATTGTATATGATATTGGTTAGGTCATTAAAAATATTGGAATGCTCATGTTACAATGTTTTTAAGACTTATTCAAGTTTATTGTTATTATTGCGAAAATAGTCAATTAGTTCTCTGAAACAGATTTCGTATAAATCATATTTTGCCTATGTAGAATATGTAGGAATTACTTTGAGTATGTGTGTATCAAGGAAGTGTTTGGAGTGAGTCTATTGGACTTTCGTGGAGAAATCAGTCATTACATCTTTGACATGGTCAGCCAATTGTGGAGAGTAGGACTTTTGTTGATTGGGATTATTTTCAATGTTACAAATTTGATTAAAAAGGTTCTTTTAACTTAATAAGATAATGATGTACTTCCACATTGTCCACGTCTTCCTAATTGAAAGTGACTTCGCTTTAGTAGGATTTTTCTGATCTTGCAGATTGCCTTTCTGAAGGTCTATCACTGTCGAGTTGATCAAAAAATTTGAGTCTTCTGTTGTTGAGGGTAATCAGATTGGGCAGCTGTTGGATCACATATTTTTCTTCGTTGTTGTCTCTCAATCCTATGTGGAGATGCAACAATTTTGGCATCGTTTTCAAAGCTTTGATTATGGGAATAATCTATAAATTGTATAAGTGATTACATCATCAAAGAGATTGTTGGATATGTCCAAAGTTTCAACGGTACTCAGGGTTGAGAGATCTTCAGGTAAGGTATGTAAACGATTACCATGCAAAATTAGCTTGATTGATGCATTATCATAATACTTCACGCAAATTGCTGCATTCTGCTAAATGAGGTAACAAGTCTTTTAAATTATCAATTTATTAAAACTCAAGGTCAACAGTCTGATTGCAATTTTTATTAGGTTTCTATCTCAATAGATCTACGTCAACATCAAACACATACTTGTTTTTAAGACAGATTCTGTTAACAATTGCATTCTCTTTTTGGAATCTTCAAAGTTGAATTTATCTGCCTCCGCAATGTGCAATGAAACAGCTAAGACTTCTTTGGCAATCTCCCTTTAATTCATTATATTAAAATATGTTATTATAACATTGCAAATTTTTTAAGTGAGTTCAATTCTATAGAGACTTGAATTCGAACATAATTAGTTAATCATTTTAGAAGTATAATAAATTTATTAAGATATTAAGATATTTAACAGGTTGTGAATTTAAGTGAAAATTATTTTGAATTTCTATAAATTAACAGATGGGAAATCATTGTCAACAATAATAACAACCAGAAGAAGATATTAGAATATACACACCAGGTAAAGCCATCGAACCTCCAGCCCAAAATGAACCTCAAGTACCTAAACCCCCCGAAGAACCTGTCAAACCTCAATAATCACCTATTGTAGGGGACAAACAGAAATAAGAAAGTGTGGAGAGAAGTGCAGTAGCAATACAATGTGCATTCAGAAATAAAGTCGCTCGCCAAAAAGTTAATGAAGAAAAATAAATGCTTGAAGAAGACAAGCCAAAGGATTGGACTCAGTTCACAGAAGAATTTAAAATTCCAACCTTGCCAGATGTTGCCTATAGAAAAATCAACAATTCGATCTCAAATGAATACCGAATGCTGTCTACTTATATAAAAGATGGAACCATCTATAAAGGTTAATGGAGAAGAGGTGTCTAATTTGGATATGGATAAATGTTGAAAAGCGATTAAACCTATTTAGAGGGACAATGGAAAAATGGAGTTTTAGAGGATGGTGCTGTCTATTTCCCTAATAAAGATCTCTATGTAAAATATCTTAATATTTTCAGCTAGGAACAGAGTCAATTGGTGTAAGGATATACCATAATGGAGTCCAATATTCTGGAGATTGCTTAGATCGATTGCCTCATGGAAAAGGAGTGGAGGAACATCCAGACGGCACTATCTATGATGGAGAATTTTTCAAGGGATAAAAACATGGCAAAGGCCTCATTAAATTTGCTGACAAATCAGAATATAATGGGGAATATGTACATGGGGAAATTGAAGGACAAGGCACATTCAAATGGCCAGATGGAACTCACTATGTTGGCTAATGGAAAAAGAGTATGATGAATGGAAGAGGCAAATTACATTTACCAGATGGAGTTGAGTACGAAGGTATAAAATTATATGATTGAAGGTGAATTTCATGATGATCTCATGGAAGGCTACGGAATAATGACATATCCTGACAAATCAAGATATGAGGGACACTTTAAAAATAATAAGAGGGAAGGAAAAGGCTCTGTCACTACTTGTGACAAAGTTATTACTGAATGTGATTGGGAGGATGGAAAACTAATGATCAATCCAGAATAATCCCATAAATGATATAATTATATTAAACAGATATAATTTCTTTAAAAAATAACTTAATTCAACAACAAGATTTGTTTTTTTGTTTTGTAGTTTCAACAGCAGGATCATTTAGTTAAACATATTTTCCCTCTATTTAAGGATCTATTTTCTGATTCCTTTCTTTGTCTTCTTATTTGGAATCATTTTATTATGATGCAAGATACTTTTGATACTCGCTTCCTACCCGAACCCCAAAACTCTATTAATAGTAATGATATTAACTTCATTTTTAGGGTCTATAATTCCTTTTTGTATTTTAAATAGAATGATTTCTGCCAATTTAGTGAACATCTATTGAGTTTGATTAATATGGAATAATACTTAATCTACATTGTAATTAGTCTTGGCACTTGTTTCCATAAACCCAATTTCATTGTCTTAGGCAAATTGTTTGGCTTCTTCAAATGAGACTTGACGTCTATGATAATAATAAGAAGAGCGTTACTCTTATTCTAGATCATTTTTGTTTCCTATTAACAAAAATGTGATTTGCTTATTGCCATTTTCTCTTGCATCATCAAGCCATTTCACAACATTTTCAAAAGAGTTTCTCCTAATTATGGTTAGATCTGAATTGATTACTTTGTGATGTCATAGACAATAATAGCAGCAGCAGAGGATCGATAATAAGATCTAGTGATTGATCGAAAGGACTCCTACCCTGCCTCAATAATAATATGATTTTAGATACTGTGTCCCAAATGGACAATTTGAGAGCAACATTTTAGATTCGTATGATTCTAGCTCCAAATTCAACTCCTATGGTGACATCGTGCTTTGACCTGAATCTTTTGTCTATAAATTGCATCAAAAGGCAACTCTTACCAACAGCTTAACAATTATCATCATTCTTTACCCATATCTCCTATGATTATGTATTTGAAGAGATACACGAAACTGGTATCGAATTTATCGTTCAAGTTGCCTGTTGATGACATTTTTATTAATAGTTGAGATAATATTAATAAATCTAAATAATAAAAATGAGTGATTAAGGTGATTAATAATACGATGATGAGGATCAGTATGGAGATGAAGAGGGAGACGAGGAGGAAATCGATTTCGAAAATATGACAGATGCATAGAAAAAATTATATATGGAGATGCATGGTAAATAACAGTTATCGATATCGATCTAGGATAATATTATTAAGAGGAGGAAGATGAAGAAGAAGGTGCAAATGAGGAAAATGAAGAAGAGGAAGGAGATTAATACTAAAATTAAATGAACTAAGGAATGGGAAGTTCATCCCAATTTCAACAAGATTATGCTGAAGAATCGAGACACAGTCCAGGAAGAAGAGAACAAAATGATGAATATGATCCAGACGAAATCCTAAGAAAAGTTAAAAGGGATTTATTAGAGAATGTGAATCGAATTAGAAGAGAGAAGAAACTGAATTAATTATATATAGAATTGATGCCTGCCATCGTAGCAGAAAGATATGCCTCTCACTTACTTGATAATGATCATAGCGATGCTGAATTTAAGAAATTGTAACAATTATTTGATTATTTAAATTAGAATCGAATTTTATAAGTATAATGAAAAGAAATTGGATGATCTCAAATTGATCTACATTGTCTCCAAATTCGAAGAAGACACTATACCTGATGCCTAAGTCATTTACGATTACTTCATGGAAATGGGTTATCTCTTCTTTGAAGTCGAAGACGACAGAAAAATATTGCTCTCAAATGAAATGAATCACATTTCCATAGGCGTGTCCTGTGATGACAACCAAGTTGCCATTGTGTACATTGTGAGTCATAAAGATTTGTGTGTTACTAAAATTGAAGACAGCAACGATGGAAGCATTTTGGTCCATGGAAAGATGCTTGAGGACTTAGTTGGTGTTTATGCCTTACAAATTTTGCCATTTACTAGTGATTCCGGTAAAGTGCCTGATAAAAATGAAAATAATAAGATAGGGCCTGAACATATTGAATTTGATAGATAAACGAAATGCTTCATTGCTAAAATTGGAAATCAGGGATAGCCATGCACATATGATATCAGATAATACATTGATTTGTATACTAGAAATACCCCAGAATCTATTCCTTACAAGAAAAGCACAAGAGAAAAGTTGAACTTAAAACATATTGAATTGAAACTCAGAATTCCAGTCATCTTCTACCCTGATCCAAGATACGCTCATGAAGAATAAGAAGCATAACAATCTCATTAATAAGAAGAATAAGCTTAATAAAATATACAAGATACTCCCATCCAATAATTAGATGAATAAAATAGCGATGATTAAAATAAAGATAATTTATCATAAGACGAAAATCAAAAACAAAAGGAAGATGAGTTTATTCACAAGTTCTAAATGCCCAAAGAATAATAACTATCCAATAAGGATATTAAAGAAGAATTGGAAATCGCTATTGCTGAAGCACAAAGACAACATGATGAACTCTATGATCACAATGTTAATTTACAATCTAAAATTAAATAAATTAGAAATAAATAGGAAGTTTATGCTGATAAAACTGGAGAAATGACCATGAATGAACACAAATATTTAAATACCTTAGCACATGTACATCAAATTAGACTTGATTTACAATAAACATAAGATAGATACAACTAAATGGCATAGGAATTGCAATCAAAATTAGATGAAAAATCAAAAAAATGTAATGAAATTAGATAGGCCTTTATGGATTTGAAAAGAGAAGTTGCACGCAAAGCTGCCTACTCTAGAACGGATAAACCTATACCAGAAGCCAGAATATCAGAGTGGGAAGAATAAGAATCAGCTAAAAATAAAACTTTATAAGAATTAAGACTTGACACATTAAGATTGAAAAATACCTTAGCCAAAAATTAAAAGTAATTAAAGAAGAAAGAAGAACTAGCAGAAGGATTACATCTAATTGATTTTGAATAATTAAAGATAGAAAATCAAACTCTAAATGAAAAAATTGAGGAAAGAAATGAAGATCTTCATAAATTGAAAAATAAGAATACCAAAACTGTTTAAATGTTAACTCATACTAGAGAAAAACTAGGCTATGTCAAAGCTAAGTTTTAGGATCAAGAAAAAATTAATTGTATTACTATTTATAATTAAATTTAGAAAAAAAAAAAGATGAACTTGAAGCACTACGTAAAAACTTAGGAGAATAAAAAGAATCCAAAGATAAGTTAAGAACTGAAAACCTTAAATTAAAGCAATAGACAGGGTATGTATACAATATTTATATAGAATTGTGAATCGTCCTGAATTAATTTAAGATTACAGCAATAGGAAGAAAAATATTGATTAATTAAAAGTTGAATTAGAACAATTAGAAGTATTGCTATTTATTTTATTTATTTTAGTAAAAATTAAAACACATGCAGAAAGTTATTGATGAATATTAGAATCATCTTAAGAAAAAGGAATAAGAATAATAAAATAAGTAAAAAGTTAGACTTATATGATGATTTAATATTATTAAACATCCACGATCTATTCTTGAGTTGATCTCTTCGACTTGCAAATATTTTGTTATACAAATATAGCATTTGTTAAAATAAAAGAGATCTGTCTTCTTTGATAAAAAGGGATGAAAATTAAATTCATCTCAGTTCTTCAATATACTTTTAGGAAGTTTACTAAAATATAAAAGCCCCCAGCATGGACAACAAATGGCCCAAGTCGTTAGGAGGTTTTTTATAAAGGTCTCCTAGCCATAATCAATAATAGTCATCGTGTGTTCTGGAGAGTGAAAAACATTACTATACACTCAAAGGAATTTAAATCAGAAAGTCTTCCATTAGGGACCTAGATTTTAAACTTCGTTTCAAGATTTTTTTTTTTTCAATTTACAAATTGAAATATAATTTATTCCTTTATTACTTCATATAAAAAAATCATGGTTTTTATTTGGCTGAAATATCTATTATTTTAATTATCTAAATGGCATCGATCAGAGATTACACTATTGCTTGTACTTTATTTTTTTAAAGAAGTTTACAATATATACGAGCGATTTAAGCAACGTCATACTAGATAGGTTGTGGACCCTGCGGCATGCAAACATATCGTCTATACTTTTGTTAAAAAAGGAAAACTTAAGGAAGGGCATAGGAGTGGACGATGTGGAAGGAAAAAAGATCATAAACGGGTGTACTGTTGTCGAGATTGCTTTTCACATTGGAAATGAATAGTAAATCCAAACAAAAATATATCAAAATTCTATAATTTATTATGTTCTATAAAGCTTATTCCATGACTTTATTGTATGGGAAAATTAGTTCTCATCAGCAATATACTTAGATCATCTTTATGGATAATTCTGATCATGTTGAAAATTTTAGTCTTAATTTTGGAATTACGAACCATGAGAAGAGTTATTACATTTTGGAAAATCAGACAAGAACGTATACAGTATACCTTTAGTTTAGTTGAGCCAGAATTAATAATATTTTTTAGATATTGTATATGATACTGATGAAAATATGATATATTAGACAAACTAATTGGTGTTGGAAAAAAATTTGGTGGAATTTTTTAGTCAAAAATAGACAAAGGGAGTAGATCTTGAATGTATCAATATTTAAATCATTGATGCCAATATGAGATACATAAAAAAAGTTGAAATGACAAAAATAAAAATTAGAATTAGAAGAAAAGGTTATGAATGCCTTAGAAAAGGAACAAAGTTTTCATTTCAAAGTATTTCATCAATCCATTCTTTTTCAATTTCCAGCCTCACCTTAAAACAATTATTTCTTATAATTTTTTGTCCCTTTTATGGTGTTTAATTCTAACAATATTCTTTATTATTTTCTTTTAGATCTAGGTTTAGAAAGTAAGATGAATTTTGATACATTTCCACCCCTTAAATATATTTCTCTAATTTTTTTATGAGATTTGATTTCATTTGTTCTAATAGAAAATAAAAAGAAAATTGTAAGAATTAAACACCGTAAAAGGGACAAAAAATCATAAGAAAATAATTGTTTTAAGGTGAGGCTAGAAATTGAAAAAGAATGTATTGATGAAATACTTTGAAATGAAAAGAATCAAGCAAGTGATCCTTAAAATAGATAAACATATAGTTGAATCTATTAGAGAAGAAGTAAGAAGGATGGAAAGAAGTGGAAAATTGCAAAGAAAAAATAGCACTAAAGGATAACTGTTAAAAAGAAAATGAATTACGGATCTGGCGGCAAAAATAAATTGCTTCTATTGCGTGAATAAGCAAAACATAAAAATCAATTTAAAGTTGATTTGGTAACAGGTTTCCATCGAAAATACTATCACTTTAGAAATACCTAAGCTGCATTTAGAGAATTGTGTTAATTTGAATATGGACAGGATATTATCAATTGATGAGCTAGTTATAGAATTTAAAAACAATCTATTAAAAATAGGTAAGTTAATAGAATATGTCAAAAATATTTGCTTGATTATATCTATCAGAATATATACATAACTTCTGGCTAATATGATTATAGTCATAACAATGATCAAGTTGAATAAATGTTTATAATTTTAAAAATTTAACAATTATACATTTCCAAAGTATTATAAAATTATGTATTTAAATTGAAGGTTATAAAAAGTTAATTGTGTTCTTAGAAAACCTATACTGTTTAACTTAAGAAACGTAGTTACTAAATTTATACAAAACGATTAGCATTTAATTCATTTTAAGTGGATTTTAGTAAAATGCACCATATGATTGAAAGAAAAAATGAAATATGGATCATAGATGTATAATAAGTTGTGTATTAAATAATTCAATTAAATGATTCTTGTCTATCTAAAATTGAGGATTACTCAATATTAAGGGTTTTTGTGAAGTAAATGGAATGCTGACAGTTACATAAAAAATTCAAATAAAATTTTAAACTTACATACTGAGATGCCAAAATTTTTATTTCGCTTCTGGAATTTTCTTATTTAAAGTGATGAAAAAAATGCTATCCTAGTTATAAACTAATTTCTTTGAAAGGAAGATTATAAATAAAAAACGGTATAGTTTTTCAATTCACTTTAAGGATTGATTAAATCATTAAATAGATGGAATTCTTGTCCCTAGTAATTTCTCATTACACTTCCTCATGTCCTTAATAATGGTGATGTTGAGATAAAGCCAATTCAATTCATACAATAAATTTCTTTTTCGAGTAACTCTAGTGAAATGAATATATTCAATTTGGGCACAATCTTTATAATGTAGATGAATTCTTATATCTATTCGTTTGGAATATTTATATATATATGAATTAAGGTCATACTATCGAAAGGGAACTATTTTTCATGCTCTAGTAATTAAATTCTATCAATAAGGGAATTTTTACAGAAAATTGTAACTTAAAAAAAAATGTTTTGAAAGTTCTAATACATTATTTAATCTAAAACAATCATCAATCAATGGTTCGTGGTACTCAGTCTTCATATTCGTAGCTTTAATCTTGACATTTCATAATTTCAAGATCTTTAAATTGTTCGTCCAAAGAGGTATTTAGATCTGTCTGGCTTTTGGCTGCCTTGTTTCTTATTTTGTTTTCTTTATCATAGCAATCTGTGTAATATTTGTCTAACTTTGAACTCAACTTATCCATTTCCTTAACTAAAATTATTATTGAATAATCGTAATTAAATTTGTATTTGAAGCAAAATTTCATTAAATTCGGTTAATTTCATTTAACTTTTCCATATTTTATAATTCATTTAATTTTATAATATTCAAAACAAAATAACCATACTTCATTATTCATACTTGACCTCAATTAAATCTTACATCAGATGCAGCTTTAATATATATAATATTATATGTACCATCATAAATAATTATTTTTCTTTAATTTTAATTAATTCTGCTGCTTACTTATGTTGAATCTTTAATTGCTCAATGTTCTTTGTAGCCACTTCAATATTTTTAACAACATTGCTAACATTCTCATAGCTGCTTATTTGTTTTGATAAATTTTCATAATGTTATCTATTAATTTTTATTTATTCTTCAATTTAATAAACACTTTTCAAATTTTCTATTTCTAAATCAGTTTATTTTATGCCTTCAACTAAGAAACTCAACATCTTAATTACTTATTGATTTATTTAATTCTTAATTTTGTTCTCTATCAAAATTTTATGCTTCCAGCTATCTAGATGCCTTTGCTATTTAAAATTCATAAACAGCTATTTCTTTTTAAAATTCAGTTGCTAATTATTGTCTTTTTATTTAGTCGATTAATTTACAATTTTTCTTCACTTAATGTTTCTTGTGGTGCTGTAATTTCAATATATTTTTTAAGGATGACTTTTAATTAAGCATCTTTATAAATCAATAAATCCTTTATTATCCTTTCTGTTGAATCTGGGTCTAATTTATAAGGTGGCTGCAATTCTCGATTCATTGTGTATATATAATTATATATATTTATTTATTAATTATTATATATTTCTAAATTTTAGACCTTATATAAAATTGCATCAATACTAGTATTAATGACTTAATTCCCTCTTTTTTATAAGATTCAACATTGGGAGCTGACATACTCCACATAATTTAGCTTTGTAAATCAAGATATAATAAAAAGTATTTAAATTTAATCATCTCAAATTGAATATTATTAAAATATATTCCATTTGCTCCTTAAATATGACTTAAATGGATGAAAACTTTTTCAAAATTCTAAATTTTAATATATTATCAACAAAATTTTATATTTCATTTTCCGAAATATGATAAAAATCCTTTTTTCTTCACTGTTTAATCATCTTCTTTAAGAGGACTTAAAGGAGCGTTTTAAGAATTTTAATTCTTTTTTTCTTTCTTTGCAATTTGAGTTTCTAGTTTCTTCAGCTTAGATTAAAAATACTCCTTTTCAGTCAATATTTAATTATATAATAAAGTGCTTTCTTATGCTTATTTTTCAGCTCTTTTTACTTCTGATTTTAAGAAATTTACTTCTTCAGCCCAACTTAACTTGGCAGTAATAAAATGAGTTTCAAGCTTATGTAATGATTATTTTAATTATTCTTAGTCTATTCTCAAATCTCTTTCTTGTGAATAATCAAGTTTTCCTTTTCTTAAATTCTAAATTTCTAATAATTGTGCTTTTATCTCTTATTATAAGACACCAACCAAATGTTCATAATTTTCGATTTCTTCTGCTAATTACCTAATTAAATAATAAGTATATTTTACTCATTTTCATGTTTAATAGTATGTAATTCTATTTTTAATTATTCAATTTCATGATATCTTCTTTTTGTATTTACACTTGTATTTGAGATTCTGGATGATGCAAACATATGTACTAAACCATTTTTAGACTAAGGTGTTTATGGAATTTATTGATGAAAACTATCTTCACTTTGTTAAGTATTGTGAGGTTTTTCCATTGAAATTTCTTCAGTTAGTAATTCACTTAAGAGATTTCCTCCTTATCCTTACTCTTCTTATTATGAAGGCAATCGTTCGCTAGGTAGATCAATCTTCTGCCTTTATAGTTATTCTTCGTAATAAAACTTAGTTTCCTACAATTATTATTCTAGATGATTAACTTATTATTCTAAATCATCAATCTATTATTAAGAGCTATTATTATATTGTCTAAGTTCATCCATATCTTAAATCTATTTTCTTATGTTATTCTCCAATTTAACATTTAATTTAACTTATTCATCTCTTTATTTTTAAAGAATTGTTTTCTCTCTCTGCAAATTAGTAAATTGTTTAAATGCATCCTCAGACTTTCTATCGCTTTTTAATACTTATTACAATGCAGATGATAATTTCTTTTACATCTCAGCGTGTCTGCCTTCATAAAAACTAACTTCCTTATACTTTTCATCCTTAACTTATTATAATAATTTTTCCTAATTAACTAATAGCTTATCTTAATTCTTTATTTTCTCCTCATATAGATTAATCTAATGTAGTAAGTCTTATTCTACAGATTTTGATTCATTTATTTGATGACTAATGCTGTCCAAGACACGTTCAGTAATTTCATGCTCTAATTTCATTAATCTTTCATCAAAATGCAACTAGTCTTATTCTATTTTCTAATTTAATTCCTATACTAATTATTTTAAATTTTAAATTTTAATATCCTTTTCATCATCTACATCAGAACTATGGACTTAATCATGGAAAGTCTCTTAGATTTATGTTGAACATTCAAGTTGACTTTTTAGATCTTGTATAACCTTCTCTTTTTCAACAATTAATGCAATTGCTGTTTCCTCCATTTTAACTAACTATTATTTTAATTCCTCTATTTCTTCATTGTCAGGCCTTCTTTTTAAACTCTAAATTTCTTTTTGCAATTTCAACTATAAATTTATTCAGATTTTAAACTTCATTAGCTTTATATTCTAACAACTTATTCTCAGCTTCTGACAACTTCTATTCAAGCTAAGTAGCAAATGATTGAATTTCACCTTATCCTATTGAACTAATTTAGGTGTTTATTTCATTCTCCAATTCGCTTGTTCTCTTCCTCTCCCTCTCAAGTTCATTTGTAAGCTTAAAATGAATATAAGAAATACTTCCAATATCTGTTGTTTAAATTGAAATTCTTAAACTCTTAATTATTTTTAGAGAGACTCAATTTCCACTTTTTACGCTTAAATTTTGCTCACAAGCTAGAGTTACCATGATTATTCTTACAAACATCTCTTCGTCGTCAGAATGGTTGTTGTTAGACATAGGTATATATTATTAATAAATTAAGATAATTTGCTTTTTATTATTGTTTGAATTACAGAAACTATAAAAATATATCAAAATCAATTTAAAGCCGAAAAACGAATAATGAATGAAGAACATTTAAGAATGATTATGAAGTAAAAGCAAAAGAGTTTGAAATTTATCATTAAACAGAAGAGAAGATTTGAAGTTAAATAGTGGAATGATCAATTTAATGTTCTCAGACTTTTAAGGATATTAAAATACATAAAAACTAGATTGAATTAAATAATTCTTTGATAGCATAGGACTTATTTAGACAAGATAATTTAGTTAGAATGTATAGCATTTCTTTACTCAATTATTATTATCTTTATTTCATAAAATGATACTTTTTTCTGTATAAAAATTAACATGATAAAAAAAAGGAATTTCTTATCTAAACGACCGCTCTTTCCAATAAAGAAATTCTTATAAGAATCTAAATATATTCAGCTATGATAATCGATATGCTTAAAAATTTAAATATTCAACATAAATAATAAATTTAAGTTTTTAAATGAGTCGACAAATATATGTTGGCAGATTGGGATAAAAAACTTCAAGGGAGGATTTACAGAAAGAGTTCTCGAGATATGGGAAAATCAAGGATATTGATTTACGAAGCACACATGCCTTTATTGAGTTCGAAGGTCGTGATGATGCTAAGAAAGCAATATCGTAAATGGATGGCAAGCGAATTGGTGGTGATCGTATCACTGTTAAATCAAGAGGTAGGACGACTTTGATAGATTGATGATAAGATAATCGACATTTAGGAGCAAATGGACCAACAGCCAGAGATGTGTGTTTCAATTGTGGGCGTAAAGGTCATTGGGCGAATGATTGCAAAGAAGGTTGGTGATAAAGTAGAGTTTAGGCGATTTACGTGACACATGTTACAGATGCTATCAGAAGGGCCACTTAAGGAAGGATTGTCCAAAGTCAAGGACTCCAAGTGTTGCAAGAAAGTAATTTATAAATTCAAGATCTTTATTGAAGGTCGAGAAGAGACACCAAAAAGAGAAGATCAACATCTTCTTCTAAGTCCTCAGATTCTTCATCGAAATCGAGAAGGAGAAGTAGAAACCAAAGGAAACCTCGCCACTAAAGAAGTGAGAGTCCTAAATCATCCAGTGGAAGTGCAAACGGTTCTCATTCATCAAGAAGTTCGAGGTATTTCCCTTAATTATAATAGCTAAAATGGTTGATATATACATATATATATATTTAGTATAATTTGCATCACAGATATTATAATTATTTATAATTCTATATGATAAAAAACACGATTATCCATAAATCAAAAACTAATGTAGAGAATGAATCTGAAAAACGAATCAAAGGCATCTTAGACCTAGAAGTAGTCGAGAAGCTCCAAAGTCTCAATACAATACAATCACGCAAATTTCCTAATCTAAAAAAAGAATTAAATGCTGGATGCATCATTTACAATTTTCCAATCAGACCATAAGATTATAAATACATTTATGACAACAAATAAATACCATCGAAGCTTTAAACAATCCAGTATGATAATGTAAGCTCATTGGATAATGCAAAATTGTAACGGCAATCTTCTTTTGACAATAATGACCAATCAATCATGGATAACTCTAAACCACTTAAATCTAAGAGTAAGAGATTTTCAATTAATCAATCTATATCCCAAATTTAAAGGTAGATCTTGGTGTTTAATAACAAAAATAATAGATTCTTTTAAACGAGTTTAAGACAGGAAAACAAGATAGCCCAATTACCTCCATTCTATTTGAGAAAGAAAGGTAAAATTTAATTTATTATAGCAAGTCAAAGCATGAGTTAAAACTAATCTCAAAATATAGAAACTAAGTAGATTGAACCAAGCAGAAGAGGCAAATCAGTCTCTCATATTATCTCATACGCATCAAGACCTTAAACAGGTTTACCAAGCAAAGAAAATAGATATTTGATTGAATGAATTTGTTTAAATGATATATCTAAAGAAATATTAAGTATAAATTAATATATTTAATTTCTTAATTGTAGAACAAATCAATTAGAATCTATTATTGATTCCATTAAATAACATTAATTTTTATTACTAATTGTTATTCTCTTTAATAAGTATGGGAAACTTATTTTATGAAAGAAGAATTGAATGATAAGTAAATGCTTGACTCTATAATAATAACAATATTATTCTAAAAATCACACTATAAATTTATCATAATGTAAAAACCATAATATACAATATTATCAAATGTTAACTAATCTATATTATATAAATTTGTAAATATGAAAACACTAATTTCTTTTTTGTTTATTATAGAAATAGTCTCAGGTTCAGAACAGTGTTAATGTTCCAATTTTATTCAACCCCAATATTGTTAATCATTTTAAGGGTGCAATTGGAATGGAAAAAATTGTTATCAACCTAATTGTACAGATATTGCTATTTAATCGAAATGTATTGTTCCTTAATGCGCTTGGTATTTGGATAAATGTCATGATGGTTAATAGTGCAATTATTATACAGATAAACAAATTTGCAATCAAATTTTTGGATGTGTCGCAAATGATGGATATTGTCTTCCCTATGAGGACTGCAATTATCCATCATAAGACAAATGTAATGGCATAACTCCCACAGGAATATAATGTTTTTGGAATTCATAAACTCAGAGTTGTCTTAAATTTTAAACTTGCAATAGATTATCTTTGGAAAATAATGATTGCAATTCTATACCCTATTGCATTTAAAAGAAGAAATAATGTGAGAGTTTGAGTAACTTGAAATGTTCTGATATGGAAAGTGTATATTCTATCATCAATAATAGTAATATGAATGCAACAGAATGGCATCTTATGAATGTTCATGGTAAAATGGAAATTGTCAATAAATTGCTTGTTCTACTTATACGACTCCGTCATCTTGCAGCTTAAATTCTTGCTTTTGGAATGGATAGACTTGCTTGTATTGTCCAGTAAGCATTTATAATAAATATAGATTGATAACTCTTATGGAAATATCCTAATTGCTTTAAATCTCCTTATTTCGATAGTATTAATTTGAAATATCAAATATACATAATTTATTTATTTATAATTTAAATTTGTGTTGTTAATTAACTCTCATTTTTGTATTTGTATTGAAAATTACAAGCATTTTTTGATGCATTAGCAAAGTCAACCAATTTTTAATGACATTTCTTAATTGTTAAAATTGTCAGTGAATTTGATTGTAAATAATCTTTTTAATTAAAAAAAATTTTGTGGTATGGAATAATTCTCCCCCTCATAAGCACTTAGTGCACTGATCGAGATCCATTAATAAGCAAAAAGTCTTTAAGATCCAGCTTTACAAAATATCCTAGTAAACTTAACACACTGGGTTTTTGCCATGTTGAATTTTTTAAACAATAGTATGAATTAACTATTACCATAATTATCTGCGCTAGAATAGAAATTCAACGTTTAAATTGAGTAAATCAATAATGACCTTTCTCAAAAACAGAATTAAAAGCTCACATTGCAACCTAAATAGAAAAGCAATATAATAGACATCTTGGAGGAATCATCTGGATTGCAGAATTGCAAATCCACTATTATTTAGAAAGCTTAAGATAACAACGATAACTTATGCATAGAAATTGTAAATGCTGGATACTTTTATCCTAAAATGGTTCAATATAAAAGAATGCGTAGCCTCTATTCATCTATCAAAAGAACTCACAAATATTTAATGTTATGAAAAAAAAAAATCAAAAAAATAAACCTTCAACACCTTCACTTCGAAATTCAAATCACCTACTAACCGTAAATAATGCTCAATCCCCAACAATATTTTCTAATTAACCCATTTAATAAGATCGCATCATATAATCAATTGAACAAAAAATTATAAAAGATTTGTAATCTTCCATTAAAAAACAAATTTCTGCTTTAAAACTTACTGTTCCTTAAATTCAGGATCCTATCAAATAGGTTCAATTTAAAACTCCTTGTAAGATGACATAATCTTAATAATAACCATTTAATTAGTTACCTGAAGAAGAGGAGGAGGAAGATGATTAGATATTTGTTTGCGGTGGAAAACTCCATTAATGCAAGAATATCTTCAATAACACTTAAGATTACGCATAACACATGAAAAAGTTTCATAAGAATAAAGTGCCTAAAGAAAGTTCCCACACATTAGATGGCTAAATGATTTAATGAGTGTAGCCCCTACACGGCTCCACCAGGACTAAGAATTAGACGCTGTCTTAAGATCCTGGCAATAATCATATTTAGTGTCTCAATTTTAACAATAAAAATAAAAACCCAATCAAATTAGTCACTTGGAATATTTCCTCTATGAAAGAAAGCACGCTAAAATAAGTTAAATTATGTGGCCCTCATTTTTTCTGTCTATAAGAAAGCCGCAATTCTAAGATTTCATCATCACCTAGTTATTAGATTTATATAAATCATCATTCAACCAGTGGGAGATCTGGTGGTATAATCACGGGTATTCACAATAGTTTTGCTTCTAAAGATATTAGTGATGTTCTTTAAATTCAAATATAAGTGGAATTTGACTATCTTATAATTAATGCTAGAAACGAATACTTTGATATTTTTCTGTCTAATTTCTACTTTAACAAAAGTCTACATTCTATAAATCAAAGATTTAGCTAGGTAATTGGTTGAGATAATTCATTCTAAATATTAAGCCTAACCAGTAAATTATTATTTGCTGTGACTTTATACAAGCTAAACCCCTTTTAATTTTCTAATACCAGCTCTTCCACAGCACTTAATTACATTTTAGAGAAAAAAATTGAACAAAATGATAGAAACTAGAACTGATCATGTTTTATTACATCCCTATGTCTAATCTAAGAATAATATCTCCTTTAATTAATTATCAGACCATTCCCTAATAGAGATTGAGCTTAACCTTCAACAAAAAGTCAACTAATAATTCTATTTCTATATATTCAATAAAAAACGAGCTCAAAACTTAAATAACTTGGCTTCTAGCAAATTTTCTGATTTTACCTGTTTCTATAAATTTATATAAAACAATCTCATGAATTCCAAAGTTATCCAGAAAAATAAAAAGCAACTTATACAAAAATTAAAAATTAATCCCACCCATAATAATTAAGATATATTTTAACATATGGCTGACTTATTCTCTAGAGATAAAGTAACATTCTTCCAAACTCTAAAAAAAATAACTATATTAAACCCTTTTAAAAAAGATGGTAGCATTTTTTCATATTTCATTGATGACTCTAATTAACTACAATTTGGAGATGTTGCAATTAGAAATTGTCTTACCTAACTTAGTATCATATCAAATGGTCAAAAATTTCGCCCTTTAAAACTTCCTTCTTTACCCCCTTTAAATAAGCTTGATATAATCGAGCTTTAAAGAAGGATGTCACGAAATAAAGCAATTAGTTTTGATGGTGTATTTGACAATTTTATTAGGAATTGTATAAATTTCCATATTTTTTGTGATATATGGAAATAATCTACAATTGAAACCAACTACGCATGTTGTAAAGCAAGACTAGTACCTTCAAACAAGGTTTTCCCCGATATCCCTACTAAAACTTAGTTTCGACCTAAATTCTAAGTCCCCTCTTTAAGTTGCTTGAATTAAGATTTCTCCCAAAACTATAACAATATTTGTCCACTCGCTTAACTAAAGGTCAAGCAGGATTCATTCCTGGTTCATCTACTCAAATAAATATCATTAGAGTCTATACAAATCTCCATTATATTTGCCCATAAATGAATATTACATTTTACTTCTAAAACGGTGTTCCTCAAGGATCTCCACTGTCTCCTGCACTTTTTAATATATATCTTGAAGATTTTCTAGCTCCATTAGAACAAAATTGTAATTTTAACTATACTTCTTATGAATTTGCAGACGACATTGTAATTATTATCGCTCATAGAAATATTCAATCCTTTTTATAAAAGTTGGTTTTAATTTCTGAAGAATACGAGCTCAGATTAAACTAGAAAAAATGTGGAATCTTTTTCATCCAAAATCATAAGCGCTGTTAATATAACATATATAAGGCTTTCCTATTGTGAAATCTTATAAATACCTCGGAATAATTATATTGAACAGTGGAAAAATAAATCTATAGCTTGATAAAGTAGAATAAACTCTAAAATTTTTAGGTGGAAAGTTGTTATGGGTTTCTTAAAAACTTAACTGGAAGCACAAATATTAATTATTCTAAACTTTTCTTCTTCCACACATACTCTATATTTGTCCTTCAATCCCAACCTAGAAATACAAAAACATACTTCAACGCTTATAAAAATTATATAAATCTAGCTTTAAGAAGATTTGTGGATTTCCTAAATGCTTACCTAACGAATTTTTAGATCTGATATTACCCCCTCTAGAACTTCTTATAGCAAAGCATACAAATAAGGTTATCAGTAGGATTAACAACGGAAACTTTGGTTAAACTATTTTTATCAATAATTATTTTAACGAGATAGAAGAAATGAATTAGAATTCAATTTACAAATTTCTCCCCAATAATTTTAATTAGCTGTTCTACCTATACCCAAATATCTGTAGGACCCACTAATGTAATCTTTCATACCGTCATATAATAAATTTCCATTCCAATTTCCATATTTCAGAGTTTTTAATAAATTTAAGAGGCATCTCCAATAATAATTAGTAAATACAATAACCAAAAAATTAATGTAATAGATTGGAAAAAATAATTGCAAAGCTTTTAACTGACTGATTGATTTATTTTTTTATGTTAAATAGAATAATAATAATTTTGCATTTCCTATATTGTAGAATCTAATTGATTAAAATCATGACTAAATTTTTAGTTAAGTCATTTTAGATTCACTCATTTTTTTTAACTATATTTTCTCCTCTAGCTTCTCTCAAATATTTGTTAAGTGAGAATTATTCATAACATTCTTGAAAAGCATTCATCTAAATTTCCAACAGCCTAATAAAAAAATAATTTCTAAAATAATATTTTTAAAAATTTCCGATTGTCTAAAAAAGATACAATTCCAGACAGAAAGAAGGCAGTCCCCCATTAGGGCGCTTAATAATCNAAAGTTGGTTTTAATTTCTGAAGAATATGAACTTAGATTAAACTAGAAAAAATGTGGAATCTTTTTCATCCAAAATCATAAGCGCTGTTAATATAACAATATATAAGGATTTCCTATTGTGAAATCTTATAAATACCTCGGAATAAATATATTGAACAATGGAAAAATAAGTCTATAGCTTGATAAAGTAGAATAAACTCTAAAATTTTTAAGTGGAAAGTTGCTATGGGTTTCTTAAAAACTTAATTGGAAGCAGAAATATTAATTATTCTAAACTTTTCTCCTTCCACACATACTCTATATTTGTCCTTCAATCCCAACCTAGAAATACAAAAACATATTTCAACGCTTATAAAAATTATATAAATCTAGCTTTAAAAAGGTTTGTGGATTTCCTAAATGCTTACCTAACGAATTTTTAGATTTGATATTACCCCCTCTAGAACTTCTTATAGCAAAGCATACAAATAAGGTTATCAGTAGGATGAACAACGGAAACTTTGGTTAAACTACTTTTATCAATAATTACTTTAACGAGATAGAAGAAATGAATTAAAATTCAATATACAAATTTCTCCCCAATAATTTTAATTAGCTGTTCTACCTGTACCCTAAAATCTGTAGGACCCACTAATGTAATCTTTCATACCGCCATATAATAAATTTCCATTCCAATTTCCATATTTCAGAGTTTTTAATAAATCTAAGAGGCATCTTCAATAATAATTAGTAAATACAATAACCAAAAAACTAATGTAATAGATTGGAAAAAATAATTGCAAAGCTTTTAACTGAATGATTGAGTTATTTTTATGTTAAATAGAATAATAATAATAATAATTTGATTGTACATTTTATCTAATTGTGCAAAGAATCAAAAAATTATTTCTAATATTTTTGATACATCTATAAAATTTGATTGATATATTTTATGTTTATCATTATTTGAATTTTTTATTTAAATTTGGTTTTATATCAAAATATAACTAAAACAGGTACGATATTGTATGGTACTTAATGATTTCTAACAATTAAAGAATAGAAATCTTGATGAAATTTATTTTTGTTAATTATAAAATATATTAAAAAAACTCATAACTCTTTTTTTTTAGACTATAAAGCAGCATTTGAAGCCAATTTATCTGCTATTTCATTCTAATTTCTTGAAATATGAGTGTATCTAACCATTTTAAATAATTATGCATAATCTGAGATTGCTGCTCTAATGTCTTCTAAATGTTGCTGCTTAAAATTAATCTTATTATTCATTCCATCAATTATAAGCTAATAATTAATGATCTCAATACTTTACTATCCCCAAAACATTCTAAATAATTAATTCCTAAGTTCAGAGTATATCTTATTCCAAAAAACAATGCCAAAAATTCAGCTACATTATTAGTTTGCTTTCCTAAAGGTTAAGCGATTTCTTTTATTTATTGCATTTTATCAAATAATGCTACCCCAACCCCTGCAGGACCAGGATTAGATTTACTTGCACCATCAAAATAAAGCGTGTATAGATTCTCAGGTTGAATTGGAATAATTTCTAAAGTACTTTTTGGATAATGAATTAAGAGATTCGCAAATTTTTAATCTAATATCTCCAATTTCTCTAATCTCTAGGTAGTAATAGATAAATTTTTATGTTTTCCATCAAAATCATCCATAATATCGTATTTAATTTAATACTTTTAAAATTAGTTATTAACTTATTTCATCTAATTGTTGTCTAGTTAACAATTTGATATCTTTGTATTTTCAGCTTAATTAGTCTATTCGACATTATTTTATGATTATTATTATTCAACACTAATCTCCTTAATTTCTCCATCCTTTTCACTAAGCAATTATAGGGAGATGATACCTTCTTTCTTTTATTAATTTGATATCAGATATCATCATTTATTATAATTGTTGAACTTGCTTCAATTCTATTAATTATTGAACTTAGTTTGCAAATTATTATGCTTTTTCAAATTCTTTAAAATAAATTAATTTGTAGCCATCTGGTTTTTCTAGTTTTTTAATAGCATATCTTTCTAACTAAAATACTCGAGGTTTCAAAGAGTAGTCTAAGAAAACAATTGCTGATTTTAATTTCATTTAAAATATAATATAATTACTACTACAAATAAATTTAATAAATGTAGAGAGAAATAAGCAACTTAAGAATTAATTTAAAAAGATGAATTCTAATTTAAGCAAAAAAGATATTGACTGAATACTTATGTGATATTTGGAAAATGATCTTATTAAATATCAAAATGTCTTATTGGTCTCATCTCCCTCAATTATCTCAATAATTGCATTAAATACATACCTTCTTCTTATTAATACCCATCTTCTCCTTCTTCTCTTTCTTCTCTATCCTCTCCCTCTCCTTCTCCTTCTTCTTCTAATTGATTAGGGTCAATTCCGAACAAATGTAGATTTTACTAAAATAGATATCATAATACACTAAAAATTTCTCTGAATTAATCGTTTTCATTGGCTAATTTTTCATTCTCTTCCATAATCACTTATTTTTCATCCAACATGTGTTGATACAATTACTTGAAATTTTCAATTAGTTCTTCTAGCTTCTTAATTTCATTATCCTTCTATTATATTTCTTATACGATATCCTCTTTCTCTGGATTCTAATCATCTCTTTGATTTCCCTCCCCATTTTATAATGAAGTCTACAATTAATCAATTATTTGATCCTTCATATTTATGTCATTTGCCATTTCTTCCATTTTGGCTTAGATTTCTTCTAGATTATAATTTTAAAACTCTTAAGCGATTTCATCAATTTACTATTACTTCTCCAGAATCACTTATTCTAATTCTTACATTTAGATTTCATATTATTTTTTTTATTAATCTAATTTTTTTTGTGTTTATGCTTCTGCATTCTTTAACTGGTCTTTTAGTTTCTTGACATCAGCTGTAAGTGTTTGTGTTTTCTTCTTTTCTTCATCGCCTTCTTTTTTTAAATCATTCAGCTTTTTCTCCAAATCTTATTAAGATTGTTTTCTTTATATATCAATAGATAAGTATACATTTTTTTTTCAACTTCCCTATTCATTTAATTCAAATAATCTTAAGTTTGTTTTAACTCTCTTTATAATTGTTAACTCTATTCTCTCTCTTCTTTTAATTAATTAATGAGAGATTAATTTTTTGAATCCTAAAATCTAAGCTTAAATGAATTACTGAATTTTTTTAAGAACTATTTTGATAGTCATCCTCTTTGGGTTCATTTTTTACTTTATTATTCTACCTTTGACTAGAAAAATTGATTTCTTTTTGTGGTTATTGTTGTGCTACTCTAACAACATTTTGAATTGGCTTCTAAGCATATTGAGGTGGTTCTTATTTAATTGTAACTGGAGCTTTCGACGATTGTTATTGTTAAGGCTATTATTTTTTTGATTGAATTTGCTAATCATTTTTGTTCCCTAGATTGATCGCACTTGAATGTTGTGGAGCTTTAGAATACATTTCTATTTTTAATGAGATTTCAATACTCACCTTAGTAAGGAATGATTTCTTTTTTGTGCTATTACTCAATTGGCCCTTATTTATTATGGACTGCTAGATCGCAATTGTAACACAATCTGACCGTTTATCCTAATTTACACTATTGACATTTGATTGTTGCAGGTCTTTAATTACAGTGTATGCACTTAACAAAGAGTGTACTCATAAAATTTGAATTAATAAAAATAATGATATTTATTTTGTTATAAACAGTTTTAGCAAAACAACTTACTAATCTTACAACTCACGTTCTATTCAATAAAATATCTGAGTCTGAATAAGTCAACATAGTAGTGACATAGTAATTAAACATTAGAGACTACCCATAAGCAAAGTACGTGATTGATGCTAAATTGGAATCAGAATAAAAGGGAAGCTCTTGTTTTGTCAAATAAGGATCAATACAATTCGGAGATTACTCATAATATAGTTAAAAAATATTCGAATTGCCTAACATAGAAAGTAACGATCCAGAATTACTACTAAACATCCCTGTTTTGTTGAATATGGTACATATTAAAAAAGCTTTTGCCATAGTGACAAGCAATAATCAACTATTACTCTATAAAGTCAATAAAAACACATCTAACATCGTGGGACATGAAATTCAATTGGAAGCCAACCACTCCTTTCAACATCTACGTTAATGGGCAAAAATAATTGAACCACCACAAATTATATACACTGATTAAACACAATACATTTATTTGATCTATAGAAATTAAATACTTGGAGGAAAGGTGAACTATGACAATTTAGGCTCATTTGTTCTGAGAAATATTACGAATTAGGGATTTGAAAATGATAACAATTATTTAGGTCAAGTCAAGGTGTTTGGTTGGCATGTGTTTGTTCCAGTAGGAGTTGAGGGATTAGACATTTATCAATATGAAGAAAATGGGGAACTCACTATCATAGGGAATATGAATTCGACTACTTTTTACAATAAAATAAATAATGTTAAGATAGTTGATGTGGCATTCGGAGGATATGAAAATGAAAAGTACATGTATGTCCTTGATCAATTAAGAGGGATCACAAGATTTATTATCACATCTAATTCATCTGGATTTGCAGCCTAATTAGATACTGATTTAGGTTTTATAGATATATCTCATGGCACTACTTTAGCAGAACATAATAACAGTTTTATCTTAGTTTTATAAGAAAGAGGAGTTATCAACACTCTAGTTGAAATAGGTCTATATCAAAATGACTGGTTTAAAGTGAAGGTTCATTATTTGACAGGTATCTATTCAGAAATAGATATCTTACCTGAATTCACTATTTTAAGAGGAAAGGATGAACACAGAATAATTAGAACTGGCATTTACGAGAAATTTGAACCAACCTTTGTTTTCACATAAAAGGATAATTTATATTAGGAGAGACAGAATTCCTTTTATGAAGAGTATGTCTTTATACCAAGTCTAATAACCATGGATTTCTATGATGTAGACAAAGGAGCTCTTAACATTACAAACAACTTTAATTATAATATTACAAACTCATTCTTGATCGGCATTACTTCTTAATCAATTGTGTATATGCCATATATAATTGAAAATCCTTACATCAGATGCAACCCAAGAACTAATAGATCTATAGGAAGATCTTTTGATTATAAATTAAGCATTAATGCAACTCATTGTCCATAAAAGGAAAAGCTGACAGGCATTCCTCCTTAATTAATTTTATGCTAATACGTAGATTAATTCAATCTTAAAATAATAAATGGGGATGGCTTCATTTATAATACAGAAACCTTGGCCTCCATCATGATGGGATTCATAGTGCTCTTAATAATATTGTCTATATTGTTGGCTTACTTATATTCAAGATATAGAGTAAAGAAAACTGCCTTATAAAATGATATATAAGGGTTTGGCGAAACTATTAATCGAGAAGGATATGACATGGGTCAATAGTATTCGTAATCGTGATGTGAAATAACACTTATTTTATTTTAATACATATATTTTATTTATCATTCAGTAAAATCAAAATTTTCAATTTATTTTTACATAACCTGTTCTGTTTCTTAACTTTGATTTTCAAATACATTATCTTTTTGCTATTTTTCTAATCCATCATTTTAATTGATCAATTGTTATTCTTCTTAATTCTCTTTGAGTTAAATTTACTCTTCATTTTACTCTCCTATTTACTCATTATCTTAATCACCCTCTTACTTTTTATCTTAATCTCCTTTTTACTCCTTACCTTAATCTCCTTTTTACTCTTTATCTTAATCACCTTCTTACTCTTTATCTTAATCTCCTTTTTACTCCTTACCTTAATCTCCTTTTTACTCTTTATCTTAATCACCTTCTTACTCTTTATCTTAATCTCCTTTTTCCTCTTTATCTTAATCTCCTTCTTACTCTTTATCTTAATCACTCACTTACTCTAATTGTTACTCTCCTTCTTCTTAATCTACTTTTTCTTTGTCCTTTTCTTCCTACTCCTAATTATATTAAACTACTGGTTCTTTATTTTCAACGCCATCCTAAATAAATTATTTATCTTCTCTTGACTCCTAAACTGGATTTTATTTTATAATTTTTTCAGGATTCTCACTAATTTCTTAAGTTTATTATTATTGCTGCTAATATTGCTATTATTAAAGTAAGATTTATTATTACTGAAAAATCTACTATTATTGTTGTAGTTATTATTATAGTTATTACCTTTCCTATTGTAATTATTACATTTGTTCTTAGTCTCTTTATTATTATCGTAATTGTTGCTGTTATTGTAATAATTACTATCCTAACAAAGCCTGTTCCTCCCATTCTGTCAATTAAAAGTCTTACTGTCTTCCACTATTGACGTAGAATAAGAATGTGAAGTTTGAAATATTAAATTATGTTAAGAAACTAAATATCCTGCTCAAGATCTATTATGGCTATTCTAATTCAATTGGAACCTCTGCTCTGCAGATTGGGCATTGTTATTGAGCTTTCAACCATCCAAACAAACATTTTAAATGGAATTTATGTTGGCAAGGCAAAGATCTAGCTAAGATCAATTCTTCATGACATATTATGCATATTTCATCCTCTTGAATATCCAAAACCCTTGGAAACAAGGAATCTAAATGTTGCTGGATTCTTTTATATTTTATTAACTAGTCTATATTCTTTTTGAGGGATGACAATGAACCTAAAAGTATATTAATTATATACTTTGTAAATCTGAAAATATTTAGAAAAGCCAAAGATGTAAAAATATATGAAAGTTTATTGTCCTAAAATAGTTAACTATCAATTATGAACAATTTAGCAATTTTACTATTTAATAAAGAATGTCTGGAATTAGTTCTTAATAAAATTAAGGTTCTGTTAATTATTCTATGTTGTTGTTTATAAAGTAAGTATATTTTTATTGTAATTTCTTACAAATCAATATTAATTGAGAATACTCAATGAAAGTTTGAACTCCTCCGTAGAATAATAAGCTTAGGGCGTAAATACCAACTTTATGGAGCATCAAAATACCAAAAAATGTAATCAGGAAGTTCATTGCTAATATTATTAAAGAAAAGATGTATATCTATTAAAATTGATACACTCTATTGAAGTTCTGCGATGTTAGTGTGGACAATATCTTTTTAATGATGTTTACCGAATGTATATAATATANTCTTACTCTTTATCTTAATCTCCTTTTTACTCCTTACCTTAATCTCCTTTTTACTCTTTATCTTAATCACCTTCTTACTCTTTATCTTAATCTCCTTTTTCCTCTTTATCTTAATCTCCTTCTTACTCTTTATCTTAATCACTCACTTACTCTAATTGTTACTCTCCTTCTTCTTAATCTACTTTTTCTTTGTCCTTTTCTTCCTACTCCTAATTATATTAAACTACTGGTTCTTTATTTTCAACGCCATCCTAAATAAATTATTTATCTTCTCTTGACTCCTAAACTGGATTTTATTTTATAATTTTTTCAGGATTCTCACTAATTTCTTAAGTTTATTATTATTGCTGCTAATATTGCTATTATTAAAGTAAGATTTATTATTACTGAAAAATCTACTATTATTGTTGTAGTTATTATTATAGTTATTACCTTTCCTATTGTAATTATTACATTTGTTCTTAGTCTCTTTATTATTATCGTAATTGTTGCTGTTATTGTAATAATTACTATCCTAACAAAGCCTGTTCCTCCCATTCTGTCAATTAAAAGTCTTACTGTCTTCCACTATTGACGTAGAATAAGAATGTGAAGTTTGAAATATTAAATTATGTTAAGAAACTAAATATCCTGCTCAAGATCTATTATGGCTATTCTAATTCAATTGGAACCTCTGCTCTGCAGATTGGGCATTGTTATTGAGCTTTCAACCATCCAAACAAACATTTTAAATGGAATTTATGTTGGCAAGGCAAAGATCTAGCTAAGATCAATTCTTCATGACATATTATGCATATTTCATCCTCTTGAATATCCAAAACCCTTGGAAACAAGGAATCTAAATGTTGCTGGATTCTTTTATATTTTATTAACTAGTCTATATTCTTTTTGAGGGATGACAATGAACCTAAAAGTATATTAATTATATACTTTGTAAATCTGAAAATATTTAGAAAAGCCAAAGATGTAAAAATATATGAAAGTTTATTGTCCTAAAATAGTTAACTATCAATTATGAACAATTTAGCAATTTTACTATTTAATAAAGAATGTCTGGAATTAGTTCTTAATAAAATTAAGGTTCTGTTAATTATTCTATGTTGTTGTTTATAAAGTAAGTATATTTTTATTGTAATTTCTTACAAATCAATATTAATTGAGAATACTCAATGAAAGTTTGAACTCCTCCGTAGAATAATAAGCTTAGGGCGTAAATACCAACTTTATGGAGCATCAAAATACCAAAAAATGTAATCAGGAAGTTCATTGCTAATATTATTAAAGAAAAGATGTATATCTATTAAAATTGATACACTCTATTGAAGTTCTGCGATGTTAGTGTGGACAATATCTTTTTAATGATGTTTACCGAATGTATATAATATACTCTATAAGTAGAGTATTGAAATATGTAACAAAACCAAATGGCTAGATCCAATTTATTGTTTATCAAGTCATTATCAGTCATAAATATTAATGTTAATTATAGTATTGGGTTGCACTCATGGATAAGCGTATTCAGTTTTCCCTTGGTCTCATTCAATCCCATAAATCCAATCCATATCAATAGAATGATGTACCATGTTAATGATACAAAACAAAATGACCCGCTTATTAAAACAACTCTAGCACATCTATTGTAGGCTAACCATTCAAGTATATATAAGCTATGTCTTTTGCTCATGTCAGGGATCTGTAAAAAGGAACTCACAAAAAAACAACTCACGGCTATCACAAATAATTTGGCTATGTTTTCTGGGTCTTTTATAAACTTTTAAAATGCTATCAAAGAAACAATGATGTATTTTTTAAATATTTAGAATGCTTGTTTAGATTTTTATATTCTAGCTCTTTTCCTTTCTTATTTTCTTTCCTGAGCATTTTTTAGTCCCTTAATTCTTCTTGGTTGGGTAAATTCTAATTCTAATCCATTAAAATCATCTCCTTCATATTCTATATGTAAAGGTATTAATTACAAATTTATTGGAATGGTTCATTTGTCTATTAAACTATTTTTGTCACTTCATCTATCATTTTTTTTAATTCCTCTTAATCTTCAATTACTTCAGATCTTCTCAGAGCAGCTATTTTCTATTTTATTAGTTCAAAGTTCTCCTAGAGTTATAAATGAAGCCTTTAGTTTTCTTCGCCCTAATTTCCTGCTTATTTTGTTATATATTCATTTAGGTTTTCTTGAATTTGTTAGACATGATCACAGAATTGTTAAAATTCTTCATTATTTCTAATATCTTCAATCTTATTTTCCTAAATTTCTTATTCTTCTTAATTCATTTAATATTTATAATAATAATATTTGTAAAACCTAATCTGCCATATGTGAAGCAAATCAATTCAAAAGAAGAGGATAGGCACTGCCAAATATATTGGGTAATTTAAAATTATTTATACTTTAATATCAAAATATAGATGTAACATAAGTTTCTGCTCCCTTCTAATACATGTACTTTTCGATTGCATCTAGTCCCTCCTCCTTCTACATCTTCTTTTATAAATACATAAGGGGAGTAAACTTTTTTTTGTCAATTGCATTTATGTCTGCACCATTCTCGATTAAAACTCTGATTCATAAATTTGATAACATACTTTATAAAATCAATAATGCCGTATTTACAAGCCAAATGGAGTGGTGTTCTAAATTTATCATCAGTGCCTTCATCAGGTTTAACATTCCCCTCTTTCAATAATAACTCTAGGACTTCGATAGGTGGATCATGCTTTAAAAATCTGCTGGTTTGTAATAAAGTTATTAGAATTTTGTTATCTGTAACTTAATAGCTATTGTTGATGAAATATCGTATTATCTCCTCATATCGATATAAAACAGCCTATTCAAATGATTCATCAATGAATATTCTTAAGAAGGGGATCATTCCTGCATTTTGATTAAAAAAATTAGTCAAAGATTGGATGTCGTCTTCATTCACAAATTGTTTCAATTGCAGACTCAAACCTATAATAGTCCTGAAGAATTCTTCATCGCATTTTGATTGCTCTAATAAGGCCTTTGATTAATCGTAAGTCATTGGAAATCTAAATATGAGTGATTTGGAATTCATTGGAATAATTATTAATTATTAATTAATATTAAGATTGTGATTTTAAATTGCTATTCATTAATTTGTGTTTAAAATAATATAAATTTGTATTGAGAATGAACCTAACCCAATAATTCGATTATGAAAAATCAATATTTAATATGATCTGTTTAAGGAAGCATTTTCTTAAAGATATCACATACTATTTGTTCTTATTTGATGAATACTTAATTTTAGCTTAAGTAAATAGATAAATTTATTTTTAAAGGAGCTAAATTCCTAATAACCAAAGTATATTTTTAAGTTAAATCTTGATACAAAAGTATATTGGCATTAAGAAAAATCCATTTATTAACAGATTGGATTGGAATACAGAGGTGAAGTTAAATACTTCAATGGAGATAACGAGGGACTGAAGCAATTAAAGATCTTGTTAAGGAATAAGGTGATGTATCGAAATGTAAGTGAGTACTACTTGCTCATTAAACAATTGGGAAGGGGAGGCTCTTCAAGAGTAAAAGTAATTTTCTAGTAAAAGGTCTATTTAGTGACTGATAAATGTACAAATTAGTAGTTTGCATCTAAAAATGTAGAGAAACGATATTTGAAAGAAGATGGTGGATTTGTACTTATATATCTGAGATTAGGAAGCCTTATTTAATGAAATACAATTGATGGCAACGCTGAAACATGAAAACATAGTGAAATTAGAAGAAGTGTATGAAGGAGAGAACACGTTTTGTCTCATATTGGAATACATGAAAGGAACTTCGCTTCATGACATGATAACTAAAGGAATTATACAGCTAGGTTGGGATGAGATAAAAGTGATAATGATGGTAATTTTATAGATAAATAAAGTAAATATTAACTGGAGTGGTATATATGCATTCCTTAAACATTATGCACCGAGATTTGAAGCCAGAAAACATAATGTTCAAGAATTAAAATGAGATAACTGGATTAAGAATTGTTGATTTTGGATTGGCAACAAGTACAAAAGTATCTAACTATACATTTCCTAAATGTGGAACTCCTGGATATGTGGCACCTGAAATAGCAAACATGAAAGATAATTCAATAAAATACGACAAAATTTGTGACATGTTTAGTGTGGGTTGCATATTTTATAAATTGTAGTTTATTTATAAATATAACTAGAATTACATCCAAAGATTTGTTTCCAGGAAATGACTATCATGAGATCTTAAAATTGAATAAAAAGTGTAAACTCAATTTCGATACACTCAGTATCTATTAAACACCTTTAACAGCCTTAGATTTGATCTATTAAATGCTTTAGATTGATCCCAAAAATAGGATTTCTGCATAATAAGCTTTAGAACACCCATTTTTTAAAAGTGCTTATCAAGATAGAAAGGCTAAATTTTAATCATAAAAAAAGAAATTAAATAATACCTCTAAGCCTTGGCAAACTCTAACATTTAAATTAGAAAAGTCTGATCAATTGTAATTGCCTGAGACCAAGTAAATCTCAAAGCAAAAGGAAGAAGATGTTGTGGAGGATGAAAAAGCAACTATCAAACTGCCATCCATAAATAGTCCCAGATTTGTTCAATAAGCAAAAACTAAAAATCTAGCCTTAGCAGAAGGCTCTCCAACAGAATTACACAAGAAAAGTGCTCTAAAGAAGTTTTCTACATAAGAATTCGAGCATCTGACTCCAGATACTTAATCTCCTGATTCAGGGAGAATGAATTTCAGCAATAGTCCAAGATTCATCTAACCAGATGTAATAAAGAAGAATTTTACGTGTTCTAAATATAATTAAAAATAACAAGCAATTTACGAAGTAGATGATGAATAAAAACTGTGACTGAATTTTTACCATGAAAAGAGTTTTTTATTTTAATTACAATTAATATTTTTGCTATAATTTTAGTATAATATAGAAGAACAAAGATGTATGCAATACAAGTATTCGCACCTAATAATTATTATAAGACTCCAAGAATTACAAATGATAATTTAATGGATTCGGTCTCAGAAATTAGATTCGGAAATAATGATATATTCGCCACTGGAGCATGGGATGGCTATATACGCTTTTATTAAATTCTTGCTCAACATGGCATTCAGACTTAAATAGCTCTTGACTTTAAAAGCGTCATAGATTGCTAAGAACCGTAAGTTCATATTCTTATATTTAGAGTACTTTCAATTAGTTGGAAAAGAGACATGACAATGATATTTGCGGCTTTGGCTGATAATACAGTTAGAGTGTACGATATAAAAACAGGTCAGAATATAATATTGGGATATCATGATGATTGCCCAGCAAGATAAGTATTTTGGAATGAGGACTTGTAGTCATTGGTTTCTTTGGGCTTTGATAAGAAGTTAAGATTGTGGTCACTTAAGTAGAATACAATGGGAATGAAGCCATCACCTATTTATGAACTAAATTTAACGAGTATTCCTACAGTAGGTGAATAAGATCAAAATGAAAGGATGTTTGCTTACGCTGACGTAGATTGCAAAATTAAATGGTTTTCATGGGATAAAATTAGAGGCAATTTAAATAACACTGTATCTAGAAATATTTTCGAAGTAGAAGATTCTAAATTGGGGAATCGATCATAAATTAGCGCATTAGCTATATCTCATAATTCTAAGTAAATGGGATATTGTTCAGTTGATGGAAGAGGAGCAGTGGTGGAATTGACCGATAGATTAGAAGCCCTCAATAGAATTGTATATAAGTGTCACAAAAGAGAAGAAGATTCAAAATAGTCATTTAAATCAGAAAAAATTAATACATATTACGTTGTTAATTCATTTCAATTTAACAGTCGATCTTATGACTGGGTTAGCACAAGTTCTTCAGACAGTACCATTATATTTTGGGATTTAAAAAAGAAGAATAAAATTACCACCATCCCATTTGATGCTCCTGTTATTGCTAGTCAAGTGTCTCCAGATGGTTATTTTTTGGCCTATGCTACTGGGTATGACTGGGGATAAGGTCTGGATGGAATAGATAATAGGTTTTCCAATAATGTTGGTGCAATATTTATAGAAAAACAATAACTGTTTTATGTTTGATAAACCTAACTTATTATATGATAATTATTTTTTAATATCTCCAATTCACCTATTCATATCCAATTACCAAATAATAATTCTTAAAAGTTTGGCTTTCGATCATTGAACATTATTCTATCATCCTAAGCAATAATCCATTAGTTGAAATTATTTCTTTCTTCCTTTACATACTTCTTTTACTGTTAAGGTGTCAGAACTTTCTATATTAATTTTATCAATTTATGTACTTTGTCTATTTTTATGAAATTTCATGTTGGAATTAAAGTTCTTGTGAATATAAATTTTATCATTCTTTTCTGATACTTGATGTTCTCAATCATCAAATTTTTTGTATTTTGATTGGTTTTACATTAATTTAATAAACTTTTCCAATTATGGGATCATCTTTTTGTTTTCAAGCTTCTTAAAAATCAAGAGACGAACTTAAATTAATAACTAACAAAAAATACAAATTAAACGGTCCTCCTCATTTATTCAAACCTACTCCTATAGTAAATATCTTAATATTTGATGAACAAATCGAAAAGGAGGAATCACTAGAAATTGATACTTTAGAACAACCAAGCAATCCTATAAATGATCAATAATTTTCCTACATTGCTCAACAATCAGAAGAAATTGATAGCTCATAATCGAAACCTTGGATAAAGAAGACGTATGCTCTTGAAACTATTAATGTATCTAACATTAAAAGTGATGAAAATTATAATAATGCACACTAATATAAAAATTCAGAAAAAGAACGCTATACATAGGGAGGAAGAGCCAAAAACTAGAAAGAAGCTCAGATTATTTCTATATAGCAGGGATCAAATATAAGTGTAAGTTCTGAGAAAAAGTAACCTAAGATTAATACCCAAATTAGGATTAAATGATAACAGATTACAATTGATCTAAAATTTATGAGAGTATTATTTTTTACCTCTTACAAATTCAATTCCTAAGACTTTATATAAACAAATCAGACTGTTAAATCGGATTTATTAATAAATAAAATTATAAAATGATTAAAAACTTTTGAAATTACTTTTTTTAATAGTTATCTGAACAATAATATGCTTAAAAATAAGGATAACTGAATTAGATTATTTTATTGATTCTAAAGATTAATACTTTCTAATGTTATTAGAAACCATTTCACGGTAAAATATTTCACTTTAATAATTATTAATATCAATATACCTTTAATTAGAAAATACATTTAAAATAACTAATTTATATTTTTTATACAATATTTTTGATACTTTAATATATTTTATCGAATTAAGTTTATAATTCATAAATAATATTGATAAAACATATGAGTGCTATTTAAAATGCTTCTTAAGAAATTAGAATTAATAACCTTTAGACTGATTTAAAGCAATTGTCAACAAATACAAATTTATATATGCTTTATTCAAAAGATGAAATCGCTACGTTAAACGAAAAGATAAATCAAATAATTAGTCAACAAACTCAGAACACTTCTGTATATAATGATTCTATTGTTAGAGCATAAACACTATCCAGGAGAAGTTGAATCAAAGAGTGGAAGAAATCTTTATGGAGCATGAAGCAAGTCTTATTAATAAAATAAAAGGAATTGAAGAGTAAAAATTATTGTAACATGAGGAAGAAATAAAAAAGAGAGAAGAAATGTTCAATAAATTTATGTAGATGGATTAATTAGTTGATAAATTGGATAAAAAATTTGAATTAAAGGCCAACGATAAGTTTATAGTAAGTACTATACAGAACAATTTAATTAATAATCAATTGCTTCAATAAACATTGGTTGAAAAGGCTATTAAATTAATTGATGATCTACTAAAACAAAAAATAGAAGAGATTCAAAAATGGACAGATGAAAAAGTTCAATAACAATATTACTAAATATAAAACTTTTCAACTTATCTTCGAAAGTCAGAAAGGGTAGTTGAAGAGCTTTAAAGTGCTATTACACTTACTAAAAATTCTACCATAGAATTTGAAAAGTAGTTTACCTAGTAGATCAATGAAATTTCTTTAAAAAACTAAATTTTTAAGGAAACCATTTAAATGCAAACTAAAGGGTAATGTATCCTAATCATTTTAGAATAACAATTCAGAATACTCAATTGAAGTAATAATTTGAATAACTAGAATAATCTATATAAAGTGAGTTCTATAAAATACAGCAGAAGTAAGAAAATATTTAATCTTAACTTCAATCTGGCCTTGATTCCATGAATAGTTATATACAATTTTGTTTGAATAGCTCAGAATCAAAAATTTTCACTTAATGTAGATAAGAAGATTAGGATATGATGGAAAAACTTACAAGCTAATTTGAGAAATAATTTAATCTCATTCAAGATAAGACAACATTTTTAGAATAGGAAATAAATAATAAGGCAGAAGCTTGTAATTAGACTAAAGAAAAATTAAATAATTTTTTAAAAAGTTAATAGGTTCATTAACGGTTATATCAAAAAAAGGATGGAATGCCTCAATAAAATTAGAAATAAAGTACAAAGGATTAGTTATTAGTCATTGACAATTTATTTAGGTATATTTCGTAGATATATACTTAAATACATAAATCAATCTAAACACCAGAAAATGATTAATATTAAACTATTCAAGAGTCCCGTAGGCATTCATAATCTTATTCCTAAGTTATCTTAATTGCAGAACAATCAAATTCAACATAACAAATAAATGTATCTCCAAATAAAAGTCCAGAAAGGGTAGAGAAATTGATAACAGAAAAATAAGATCCAAAGGAATAAAGAACTTAAATAACATCTGTAGATAGAAATTATGGTGAAACTAATAAAACATATGATAAAAGTCCATATGCAACCTTAGAAAAAACAAACAAAGTAGAGAAAACGGGGGATGAGATATTCAGTGACTCAAAATTATAAGAATCAAATCGTTATCCCTTATTAGTAGTTGGAAAAAGTATGATTATAATTAATTTTACTTAGCTTAATTATTGGACATCAGACCGTAATAGGATTTAATGTCATTGTAATAAAAGGTTAAGAAGGTTCAAAGCATTTTAGGAGTAGATTTACTTGGTTAAAGACAGCATGCTTATCCTTATTAAGCTTAGAGATGCAACTCTGCCTCTAAGAGACTCCCTAAAATAAGTTCAAAAAATTTAAACTTTAGCATAGATTGAAATGAATTATATTATCAACATTATCATAATACTCTTTTAATATGTTTAAACAAATTCTAAACTAACTAATGATGAATATACTATATAAATAAAATTAATTTTCTACATGCTGAATTTAAAGAAGCATTCTGAATAAGATGTGGACTCTTTGATTGAGTCAATGCTTAGATTGATTGAATACATGAATAACAACCCTTCTATATAACGTTAAATTTTCGAATCATTCAATTAAGAAGACTTATAGAAAATATTGAAGAATTTGAACGAAAAAAATAGCCTTCTTCTTCGTAAAGTTTCTTGCATATTTTTATGTATTGTACTTTAGAATGAAGATAATTGTGAAAATTTCATGAAACTTTGTGATTTGCTTCCAATCAACTCTAAAATCACTTTAAATGGTATTCCTGAAAAAATGAGTCAATACATAACTAGTGATTTGTTATAAAAGTTGAATTAGGTTTAGCCTTCTGCAAATAGTTTATGTTGGTTCTACACATTATAAATGGCAAAGGACAGGTTGCCAAACTTAGCTTATTTTTAACTTAACACAAGAGAATTGAAAAAGTCAATTAATGATTTTATTGATCCTTCCGAATGCATGATTGGAACTACGTATAGAAAGCTTTCCGTAAAGCCTCTCTAAACAGATACTTAGAACTGGAGCAATAGGAATGAACATCATCATAAGATGAACATTTCTCCAGTGAGCAAATAAATGGCATCATTGATCTTGCCATTGAAAGAAATAAACAATCCAAAATATTATTAAAGATATGTAGCTAAATCTATCAATCAACAGCAAAATAAGAACATACTTTCAAATACGGCTAGGGCAGACACATCCTATGATAAGCATTAACCAAGATCAGAAGTTTTGAAGAATAGGTATTCATGATGAAACAATTCTATTTGAATTTACAGTTTGTATCTATAGATGATTAAATATAATTCCATATATATTAACACTTAGGCTTCTTTCAATTTTAATTTACAAAAAATACCTATTATTAAAATTATTATATAGAAATATGGATATTAATTAGAAGAGAAAATTAAAAGTCAAAACCATTTCTCAATAAGTGTTTGAGCTTGAAGTGCCACAAGATGTATTACAAATATTAAAATAATCCTAGATTTCGATCGCAGACTTAAAAAAGGAAATTTTTACTAAATCTTAAGTTCCAATAGATAGACAAAGATTGATCTTTTTGGGAAAGGCTCTTCTAGATAATCAAAAATTAAATGAAATAAGTATTTAACATCATCTATCCATTAGTTAAGGAGGATGATTAAACAATTCATTTGATGGCCATTACTAATCCCCAATAACCTCAACAATAACCAAATTAAAATTAAACTTAATAGTAATAATAGAGATTGTAATTTATGCCTGGCATACAAACAACTACATAAATACATATTGGAGCAGGAGGTAAGTCAATTATCTATATCTCAATTTAGATGGTTAGCCATTTATGCCCCCAGATTTAGCTAATATTCTACAAATTTTTGGTCCACAAATGGCAAGGTCTACATAATAGCAATAGTCATAATAATAATAATAAGCTCAACCAACTCAATAGACATAATAATAATAATAATAATAATCATAATAATAATAATAATAATAATAATAGTAATAATCTTAATAATAGCAATAACAAACTTAGCCAAATTAGCCTGACCCTAGACAATAACCATAAATCCCACAATAATAAAATTAACCATAATTGCAGTAAGTGACTCTTTTACCAAATAATTAATCTGCAGTTGGAATACACCTTCCTTAAGAATAAATTTAATAATTGAATAACTTATTAGGTAATTTTTATCAGTCATAATTCCTTGGATTACAATTCTAACTACCATAGATGACTGAACATAGAAACAACGTTACTGTTTTAGGCCATTACCTTCATTAATTATGTTTTCTTTTTTAAAGAACTCTACCAATATTGTAAAGGGTATCAGACTTGTTAATGAGGGAACCCTTTTTAGCCTCTGAAAATGAAAGAAGAGAAACAATGTAATTAGCCAGAGACTCATCAACTATTATGTAGGGAATTAATAGAATGACTGCCGATTTGTTTTCAGCTCTACTTAGATTTTTAGTCCTTGGAAATGCTCCAGGTTAATTTTCATTATAGGTCCCATCCTAATTATTATAAAATCCTCACCACAATCATGGATCTATTAACATATAACATTCACATATAACTAGAAATCCATAACAATAATAAACTTAATAATAATAAAATCAATAGTAATAATAACAATAATAATAGTAGTAATAATAATAACAATAATAGTAATAATAACAATAATAACCATAATAAAACTTATTAAGCTCTTTAGGATAACTATTGAACTAATTCTCATAAAATCCAAACATATAATAAAATAATTCACAATAGATATAAGTTGAATAACAGGGAGATTAAATTATTATTGATGCATAAGTTTTAGAAATTGATGCAGGAAGTGAGTTAGGCTCAAATTAAGAAGGAGATCAATAATAAAATAACAATCCTTTAAATGCTATCAATAATTTAGTCAAGTATGTATTTTTTATTATATAGCAATTTGATAAATTTAGAATAATAGTAATATTAGCCCCAATAGTAATTCTAATCTCCATAACACTAACAATAGCCATAAGGAAATGAATAATAACACTAATAGCCATAATAGCCACAGAATAATTAAAACATCCCTCAATAAGCCTAATCAATGATGTCTGGTTTACTTGGAAATCTTGGCCTTGGTGGTTAATAAGGAGGAGCTAATTTATTTACAATGACTTTATAGGAACTCATGATGCAAAATTATGCAAATAAGATGGAAGATGGTGAGATAGAAATTTTATAAATATTTTCGTAAGTCAAAGTAGGAGATATAATGGCTGCTTAGGTCTCCGGTAATTATTCGTTTTTAGATGGATTGCAAGGAAATATCAAAGAGAATCTACACAATTTAATTGGAAAATTTGAAGGCAGAATTGAATTAATTGAAAAACTTGCAAATTCATTTTTATCAACAGTAGTTCCTAAAGGAAGTCATCAACATCTAGTAATTGAAGGATTCGAACCAAGAATAACAGCTTCTGAAGCTCTTGTAAAACACATAAAATAATTTTTTATGATTATTGATAAGGACTATACAAATAGTGTTGAAAAGTTTAGTGATGCTATGGTAAGTCAATTTTATAAAATGATTGGAGAAACTACTTATGAAGTATCAGAAGGATTGGTTCATGGCCTTGATGATTACAAATTAGTTATTTAGTAATTATTATTTTCATACTTAGAGCAAACGTCGAAGAATTATTAAGGAAGACTATTGGTCCAGAAATTGGTGTTATGTTTGGTGGTATGTTGTTTATGATGCTTTGGAGTGTGATTGAGAGATCATATAATTAGTATAAAAAATCTCTTGAATAATAATAAACAATAATATAATAGGAAGATGTATTAACAGAAGAATAAGTAAGTCGAATTGAAATGATATAATAGTTATTGAAAGAGATCACTGAGGCCAGCCAAGCATGTAAACAGAATATTGAAACTAATTTTTCTAACGAATATAAAAAAGGAGATCCAGGGTATAAAGATTTCGATTGATATATATCAAATTTGTGCAAGAATATAATCATAAATTTATCTACTAGTATAAAGAAATATTTTGAATAAACTAAAAATATTGTTTATAATCTAGTTGATAATGGAAGGAAAATAAATATAATTAATTCAATAAATAAATAGATATCATCCAAAAATTGCTTTTGATAGAGAAAACCCCTTGTTAGATGGCTTTTGTGTAATTGGTTTTATTTATTGCTTTTTAAAAAACAAATATTTTTGAGTGTTATAAAACAAGCTATTAGCATCTTCTGGTAACTCTTGGTATTTCTTTTTTAGTTTCAAATCGCTTATTTCTTTCTATAGTCTTTCAATTTTTTCGTTAATATTCATTTATTTAATTTTTTAATTATGAACTTTTAATTAGTTTATTCCTAAGGAATTTTGGAAATACTATTTCTTATCTTAAATCCTTCCTATAAACTAATCTTATACAGAAGTTTAATGCTATATTTTGCTTATAAAGCGGATCACTAATTTTACAGGAATGATTCACAGCAAAATATTAATAAGAAAACAAAGTTCAATTTGGGGATCCAATAGATACTCATAACATTTGGCTTTTTCATAATGTATCCTTAGCCGCATCTAATTTTGAGAGAATTCATAAGCATGCTATTTATGCATTTATTGGTGTAGTAATATCCAAAAATGCTAACATTTTGCGAATCATATGCATTATCTTAATACATAGTTGAATACTATTAGTTTAATGGATAGCATATGTTTGAATACTTATCAGAGTTAGTTTTAATGTTATCAATATTATCTTTTATATTGATTGTACTCATTCATTAAGTCCCCATAAAAGAACTAGCATTTTGGTTTACATTCATTGCAATTTTTAAAATTAACTTCTTTTCTATCTACTATTATCTATAATATAGAGGACATAGTTTAGCAATTTTAATAAATGAAATAGCTACATATGAATTTGGGAAGTATTTCTTTTTGTAATTTCTGGGACTAATGTTGGTGATTCCAATAAGCTATCTCAATTTAAAGAAAATTATTTAAAGAAAACTATTTCATTTCTAGATATTTTTCATTATTTTATTAGGAACTTATTTGAATAGTAATTACACTAAATTGGCCTTGGCAGTATTTATTTGGTTTTTCGTTGTCTTTGAGGGATTGAGATAATATTATAGAAATGATATAGAGATTCTCAACAATTACTCTAAATATTTGTTATCATTTTGTGACAAAAGAGATTCAGAGCAATTAATAATAACCTAAATATATTTATTGATGGGCGTGTCACATTCAGTATTTTTTAGTAGTACAAATAAATTTATTGGGTATATTTTTATATGAATTAAATAGAATTATAATTTTAGGAGTAGGAGATTCATTTGCTGCTATTATTGGATCTAAATTTGGAAGACTAAAATACTAAAATTAACGATCAATTGAAGGAACATTAAGTTTTATAATTGGATGCTCTATAGCAAATTATTTCTTGAATGGAAATATATAATTGTGGATAATAGCGGCTGCAATTGAAGCATATACAGCATAAATTGATAATTTGATTTTACCAAAAATTTAACTTAATTAAATTGTTTAGATGATTTAATTATGAAGAATCGATTAAGTGTTTGAAAATGTTATTTATATATACCCTGAATATGTAGAATTAAGTCTAAATAATGTATTAAATATTTTTGGTATTAAGAATAATAGATTTTTTTAATTATTACTATTAAGTTTAGTATTATTAGGTAATCATATTTGAAAGTGTATCTATTAAAATAGCAATAAATCGAACTCCTCTAGTTATATTTGCTATGGATTTATTTATTTTAGTTATTATTTCTCTGATTAGTATAATTATTTAATTAATTTTTTTAAATAAAATGTCAAATAAAATAGAAGAAGAGAAAGGGCCTGCTTAACAACCGCAACAAGTACAAAAAATTTTTGATGAAGATGATGACGATTTTGAAGAATTTGAATAAGAGGGTAGCTATCTGTATATGAAAAATTATAGATTTGGAAGTGAATCATGATTTGAAAATTGATATTAAATAATGGAGAGAGGATTGGGATGATGAGGATTTGACAGATGAATTTTCAATTTAATTGAAATAAGAATTAGCCCAAAAATGATATATAATATTAAAAATTATGGACTTTTATTAAATCGCTGCTAGAAATTAGTTAAATTCCGATTCGGCTGATTATGACATCATTAATATTGAATATGCTGGAAAAGATTGTCCTGAATATGAGTTAGACATTAAGTAAGTTGAATCCGAAGTGAATCTTACAAATATGCCATAAGAATATTTAGATAATTACCAACCTCAATAAGAGAACTTTATTTATTATAAAGTGGAGATGAATGATTCTATTTTCGGATTGGAGCTGAAATTTGAAATAAGGTAATTTCTTAATTCACAGTGATTAGTGCGATCTAAATTTTAAGATTAAACAATTTATCTGAAAATTCTATATATCCAGGAATGACATTAAAGATACCTATGAAACATGTTCAGGGGAATCCTTTAAAATAGAATCCAAGTAAAGAAGAAGCCTCTAATTACTCAGCCCTTTACATAACTCAAATTGGAGCTATCAAAGGCTCATTTACGATAACATCATCGTTTGTGTCATTTGAGCCTGAAAAATATTGTAGGTAAAACGATGAAATAATTCTCAATGCTTAAATTCGAGATATTGATAATTTACATCTTTAAATTCTATTGAAACATATAGTTTTAGTAGAATAATAAGAATTATCATAGTTTTTTCAAAAGAATGTTGCATTAAATAAAAATAATGTCATCACTATTATTGCTTAAACAAAGAAATAAAAGATTGTTGTTTTGAAATTAATGGAAGATAATCGTATTGATGAATTTTTAACTTTAATTAATTAGAAATTGCAAGAGTATTACAACAATTCAGGAATGGAAAGCCAAATTAATTAAAGTACAACAGACTATTATGATTAAAAAACAATCATTCCATATCATTTTGAAATGAATGGGTAAATATAAAATATAGAACAACCAAAATGTATAGAGATTTTTTATTATTAGAGGTCATCTGTCGAGATTCTTAATTAACATAACTGGAATCCAAATCAGAAATTGTAACAAGAGACAAATTCATAAGTATTTCTTCCCATTTACCTTTTCTATTCAAAGGGTAAAAATGGTAGTGTATTTATTCTTCTACTCAACATGGTTCGTCAATTTTAACTCTAATGAGAAGAACTGAAAATAAACTTCCATCGGTTATTTTGATAAGAGATTTAGACTCCTATTTATTTGGAGCATATCTATCTGATGGAATCAAAAATAGTTATGGAAAATTTTATGGAAATGGTGAATCTTTTCTTTTCACTTTCAAAAATAGTTCAGATATATAAGTTTATAAATGGACTCATATAAATAATTATATTACATTATGTGATACTGATGGATTAGCTGTAGGCTGTGGAGATAAATATGGTTTATTTGTTAATTCCGATGTATCTAACGGATATAGCTGTCATTGTGAAACATTTGATAACGAAGTGCTGTCAAAAAATAACAAATTTATAATAGAGAGATTAGAAATTTGGAGCATAAGTTATAATTGATAATTATTCATATATGCTTAAATTATAATCAGAAGTTTTTTAAGATATTGAAAAAGTCCTACGGCACTTTACTTTACACAATTATCTTTCTTTTGTTCTTTTGGTTCTAATTTCTAAAAACCTTTTTTAGATCACAAGTGTTTAGTAATAATAAGTCTAAAATTCTTTCAGTTGATTATGGATGCTCTTTCTACCCACCACTTTTTATTTTGTTAAGGTCTTCTAAACATTTTTCGATGCTAAAGTTATTTTATTTTGCATTTGCATTTTCAGAGATCACTGGCAACATAGGTACTTTGATTTTATCAGAGTTATTATGCTATGGTGATTGTTTCTTGGTCAAAACTGGAAGAGAATATCTTTTCGGTTATTTTTCTAAATTATAGCTATTCTATATAGGGTTCTAAGAAGAATAGTTATAATATTTACAGAACCTCTTTAAGAGCTTTTCCTATATAGATTTTATTATCCGCCATTTATCGATTCTCTTAAATGTAATATAAACTTTTTTCTAATGTTTTTATTTTCTTCAATTCTTCCATACTTACATCAACTGAACTGTTGTAGTTTATGTTATATCCACTCACGTCCCTGTTGAATTTTATTGTTTTATTTTTGTTTTGATGTGGTTAAGTTACTTTATATATCTAATGAATGGTAGTCTTATCAACTGACTTTCTAGGACTTAGGACAGGATGTTAGGTATTTACATGCACAGAGTATTTGCTATCACGATATATTTGAGTATTATCAATGGAATTTCTTAAACGAAGAGCTAAGCTTGATCTCATAATATTGGTGTAAAATTTAAAGTTAATATATCAATTATTTTACTCAATTTATTAAATAAGAGCTATTAATTTTCAATTCTTTTATACTTTCATTATAAGTTCTTTACGATTAGGAAGTATTACAAGTAAAATTTTAATTCCCATATTTCTATACGAATTTATAAATCACCATATCAGAATCATTAATTAATTATCGATACTAATAGTTAAACTAAATTGTGTATTATAAAATTATAGTGAAACTTTAAAATATAAAAGAGATACATTGAAATGTTAAGGGATTATGAAAATTATAAAAATTGATAATTATAGTATAATTGATTTTATTTTTATTATTTATGAATTCCAATCAACAAGAAGGTAGCTCTTTATTGAAAGACTTGGAGAGAATCAAAAAAAAAACTAGGATTTCTAATAAAATAATAAATGGTTAGTTAGATAAAATTATAGCAGAAATTGAAGAGGCAAAAGTAAACAATGATTACTCTTAATTAAAAGACAAATTACAAGTATTAATATTGATTAAGAAAGAATTAAAAACCATTAACAAAAATTAAATAAACAAATAATGAATGCTATGCTTATTTTTCGAAGATGGGTAAAAACATGGATAAATTATTTAAAAACAATTTATAATATGGCCAAGAACATGTTGAATTGGATTCGAAGGTGTTAACAGAAGTAAAAATTACAATTATGGATTAAGCTAATAAAGAATCATCTTCTAAGAGATGGAGAGTTTGAGGCTTATGAGTTATTAGTTAAAGAATCAGACTCAAAAGAATCACATTTTCATTAATTCTTTGCTGAAATCTTGACCATAGTTCAGGATCTTAAACAGAGAAAGTTAGATCCTGCTATCCTATGGGCAGAAAAAATGCATAAAAAGTCTCCTAACATACTCCTTTATGAATTGTTGAAATAAAGAGTATTTCTAATAATTATACTTCTAGGCAATATAATTAGTATAAACTGAAGGTATTAATGCAGCTATTCATTTTATGAGAAATAGTGTTTCATTTTAAGAATAAGCTCAAAGTAGATTATACGAAATTTGCTTAATTACTTATTCAGTGCTTATATGGCCAAATGTAGAAAATACAAAATACTAATATCTATATGATGATGAGAAAAATTGGCCTAGAATTCTGAATCTATTTTTGGAAGTCGCTTCGAAAACTTAAAGTATTTAAAAAATTGATTCTAGGTATTTTGACTAAATCAGAAATTAGAACTGTGTTTTCAGCTGGCTGTTTAGCAATGCCTAAATTAATCAAATATAACTAAATTACAAGAAGTAATAAAATAGAAATAATAAAAAAGATAGATCATCTGAAGTTCTTACAAATGATATCCCAATAGATATTGAAATTGGAAAGGATTATAAATATCATTCATTCTTTGTATGTCCTGTCTCTAGAGAAGTCACTAATACTGATAATCCTCCAGTGTTGTTAAAGTGTGGCCATGTCATTTCTAAATTATCAGCTCATAAAATGATTGCAAACAAATAAAAATTCAAATGTCCAACCTGTCCTGTTGAAACCAAAGGGGTTGAATTACCTGAACTTATATTTATTTGATAAATACGATCCCTAAATTAGGATTTTTATTAGAATTAATATAATATAATAATTTCAAATGGGTAAACCGTTAACAGCAGAGCTTATAGTCCAAAAAACAAAAAATGATCAGCTATTCTAAATTAAAAATCTAAATTTATGGGGAAATGACATTGACGATTTGAAAGCATTAAGACAATTACCAAATTTGGAAGTGCTCTCATTATCTGTGAATAAAATTTCAACTCTCAAAGATATAGGGTGTTGTCAAAAGTTACAAGAACTTTATCTCAGAAAAAATTGTGTAAGTGATATAAAAGAATTGAGATACCTAGTACATTTACCTAATTTAAGAGTTTTGTGGTTGTAAGGTACTCATTTCAAAAATTACTATAGATAATCCTTGTGCAGATCATCCTAATTATAGAGAAATTGTAGTCAAATATCTACCAAACCTAGTCAAACTTGATAATACAACAATTACTAATGAAGATAGATAGAATGCATAATCTGTCAATATTTTAGAAGATGATTTTGAAGAATAAACTTAAAATAGCAATATTTTGAATAGGCCGAAATCTAGTTTAAAAGAATCTCCCAAAAAATAGCCATTTGTTTTCAATTAGCAAGAATAATAAAGGCCTGCAACTCCTGAGATCAATTCAAATCAATAAAATAACTTTAATAATAATAAGAATATTGAAAGAAATGAAAATATACTTTGTGCTGTGCTTTCTTTAATTAAAGAACTTGATGATAGTTCTTTGGAAGTCGTTAAGAAAGATATAGATAGAAAAATACAGAAAAATAACCTTAAGCGAATTCTTTGAATTAATATAACAGAGCTCATTATTCATTCCTTTTTTTAGCTAAAACTACACAATTAATTATTAATTTTACTTTTTAATTTAATTGCATTAAGCTGCTGGTCCTCTTCGGAATCCTATTCATTCGGAGATTACTTTTCAATTTCAATGTTCTCTACTTCTTTATCCTTTTTTTCAACATCATCAGTTTTCTGAAGTTATTATGTTTTTAGTAATGCTTTGATTTGAGCAATGAAATCCTATTTACTCTATAAAGGCAATTACACTTTCGATTAGTCATCTATAGGTACGATATTTTGCTATTAATCATCTTGGTTAATCTGTTATGCCTAAAACTAAGACTCTTGATTTGCCAGTGAGTTTTGGTGGATATTGTCATCTCTAATTTATTCGTTACCTGTTAAATTTTATTACTAGTTATTGTTGTTGTTTTTAGTTTGTTCATTTTCATTCTCAATCTCCATATTGGATTTAATCATACCTCTATCTAATTATTGATCTTATTCTTTTGTTGAATTTTGATCGACTGATGGTTTCTCCTAATCATTTTTTTAATTATCTTTCTCTTTAATGTTTTCTTTTATTTCTTTATCCTTCTCATTTTCTTTCTCTTTTTCTCTATCTCTCTCTCTTTCTCTCTCTTTTTCTCTTTGACTCTCCTTCTCTTTTTCCTTTTCTTTTTTTTTTTACTTTTTCGATATCTTTTTATCATTCGATTTGCTTTTAGATCTACTTCTAATTAAATAGTAATTATATTTTTACTTCTTTTTCTTTTTTTTGTCTTCTTTTTTCTTTTCTTTTTCTCTTTCCTTATCCTTGTTTTTCTTTTTTTCCGATTTATTCTTTTTGTCTTTGCTCTTTTTTTCCTTAGATTTACTTTTTTTTTTAATACTTTTTTTTTCTTTATTATTATCAGGCGATGGCTCTTATTTATCTTTATTATTTTATGTTGGCTCTTATTGTATTTATTATTAAGGCTATTAAGATTATTATTAGGATGGTTAAATAGAATTCTACTTTTTTGTTTCTAAAGGTCTTTCAATCTTTTCAAGCAAGCCATAGATTTCGCTATGTTAAATGACATAAGCTACTCTATTGGCTTTAGCTAAGATTCTTCTTGCTTGTCTAAAATCCATCTTTTCGAATTCATAAATATTATATATGGTGGCAGCTACTTACTCTACCTATGCCAAAGTAGCTTCTAACAAAATCCACCATGGTTAAGTGGGCATGGGATGATTACAGACCCTCAATGCTAAATACAATGCTCCTGCTGCAATAACTTAAGGTGGAAAATGTACGCATAAATCAGTCATGTATGAATCGTTCAAGTAATACCAAGCCTTTTGAGCCACCTGCTTATCGACCTTAATAAAATGATAAAATGATTCTATGAACTTATGCGGATGATCTGAAACTCTAAATAATTCAAATCCCAGTTCCTTAAGAATTAGTTTTTCTTATTTAATTATGATGTCCCTTCACATAAATACTAATTTTACAATGGAGCTTATTTTTGTTTTTGAAACACAGAGCTGAATGCACCTGCTATATACCATGTTTTCAGTAATGTTTCTTCAACCTTGCCTGCCAAATACAATGAAGCCATTGAAATTTCGCGGTAATCAAAATCCACGAAAGAATTCCTATATACTTTGACATCACTTGCAATACTTAGCAAAAAATCTATGAAATATTACTAAGCTTGTAATGGCTGTTGTTAATGGTAATTTTAAGTGATTGCAGGCTTGGAAACAAATTTAAGCACCGTGCATCCTAAGAGCCTATTCATCCTCATAACTTAAACCATCTGCTTAAGTCGGAGTTTGAATATCCATTGGTATATAAATGTTTTCATGTCCCTCTGGGGTAATTGTTTCTAGTGATAAATCCTAGCTATGTAAAAATCTCTCTTTTAAACGATGAAATAAATATTTTTTTTCATACTACTCTTTTGTAAGGCCCACATTCTGCTCTTTGCTCAAAATCTTTTGACGATCATGACCTTTGGATGACATAAATTTCTTTATTTAATAAATTATTATTAAACAATATATTTCAATTACTCTCCATTAGATTTACATTTAGGTAAAATTACCTTAACTGTGACCATCAAGTAAATAATTTATGGAGCATTAAGGATTTTTATAATTATTTTATAATTTTTCTATGGTTAATATAGTTCTTCAATATAACAATATGTTATACTATCCTTACTTCGATACTTATTTGACTAAAGGGTAATCAATATCTTTAATTGAACTAAAAAACAGTTAAAATGTTCTGAAATTATTTCTCAGAAATTTTAGTTCATTCCAAAAATAGGTTTTATAGTGTTTCTAATTCTCCTCTGGTAAAAATATATTCTGTTTCTGTGGCTTCATTAAAAGTTGTTGGAATGGTTATGATTTTATTATAAAAATATTAATAACGTAAATGATTAGTTCTAAGGAAATATACTAAAATGTGTAGCTAACCTATCAAATTTATCATTAGATTAGATTCAAAATTTAAGTAAAGCTTATTTTCATTTATTATATAATTTTTCTTAAAAATAGAGGCAGTTATTTTTAAGAGTATTGCCTCTATTTTTTATATTCAAGTGTAGATATATATAAATATTAATGTCAATCCTTCTAAATATCTATACCAAATTATTTGCATATTTTTTATGGATAAACTTAATGATTAGACGAGGAAAAGATTAATGTGAGATCCTATATAAAAATGTTATAATCCTTGTCAAAATTAAGCTTCAATATATGTTGATTCTTATGTCTGGATGATTACAAGATGAATGGGATTGTATTATGTTAATTTTCTTTTATAATTTATAGAGAAAAGTAGTAAGGATTAAAGAATATGACCTCTAATAAATTGATTTCTATATCGATATTTAGTAAATAATGCAAAATCCAAGTCCTAGCTAAAAGTGTTATATGAAAACACACTAAAAGTGGCAATTCTATGAAAAATTTCAACTATATTTATTTGTTTGATTGATAAAAAGAAGAGGGGTTCAAAACAGAAGATCAATGAAACGTAAAAATATGAAAAGTCTTTTTGAATGTTAAATTTTAATATTTAAGCATTTTAAATTAAATAGGATTATAAATTCATTACCTAATTAGAATAAATGATGAGTATAAATTGGTTTTTTCTTTTGGATTTAATTTTTATTTATTTGGAAATAAATTTTATTTAATCATGTACCTATCAGCAAGAACACAAGGAAGATTAGCAAACTTAATCATCACAATCGCAGAAGGTGAAAAGAAAACAGAGATGGTGCGTTAAGTGTTAGCAGAACAAAAAATGTTCGAACCATATACTGCCTTCAGAAGATTGGATCAACTTAGAACAGGAGAATTAACTGTTTCTGACATAGTAGAGTTCTTGGCGGATAATAAAATTTATCCAACCAAGGTCCAATCTGATTATCTCTTTAGGAGACTCGATCTTAATAGAGATGGAAGAATCACTTATCCTGAGTATTATATTTTGTAATGTGATTAGCTTCGTTAAAGCCATATTGCCAAAAGAAGACTCGAGATTGAGACAAATTGCATCCCTTAGAGACAGTTACTACATTGAAGTCAATATGCTNTCTTTAATTGAACTAAAAAACAGTTAAAATGTTCTGAAATTATTTCTCAGAAATTTTAGTTCATTCCAAAAATAGGTTTTATAGTGTTTCTAATTCTCCTCTGGTAAAAATATATTCTGTTTCTGTGGCTTCATTAAAAGTTGTTGGAATGGTTATGATTTTATTATAAAAATATTAATAACGTAAATGATTAGTTCTAAGGAAATATACTAAAATGTGTAGCTAACCTATCAAATTTATCATTAGATTAGATTCAAAATTTAAGTAAAGCTTATTTTCATTTATTATATAATTTTTCTTAAAAATAGAGGCAGTTATTTTTAAGAGTATTGCCTCTATTTTTTATATTCAAGTGTAGATATATATAAATATTAATGTCAATCCTTCTAAATATCTATACCAAATTATTTGCATATTTTTTATGGATAAACTTAATGATTAGACGAGGAAAAGATTAATGTGAGATCCTATATAAAAATGTTATAATCCTTGTCAAAATTAAGCTTCAATATATGTTGATTCTTATGTCTGGATGATTACAAGATGAATGGGATTGTATTATGTTAATTTTCTTTTATAATTTATAGAGAAAAGTAGTAAGGATTAAAGAATATGACCTCTAATAAATTGATTTCTATATCGATATTTAGTAAATAATGCAAAATCCAAGTCCTAGCTAAAAGTGTTATATGAAAACACACTAAAAGTGGCAATTCTATGAAAAATTTCAACTATATTTATTTGTTTGATTGATAAAAAGAAGAGGGGTTCAAAACAGAAGATCAATGAAACGTAAAAATATGAAAAGTCTTTTTGAATGTTAAATTTTAATATTTAAGCATTTTAAATTAAATAGGATTATAAATTCATTACCTAATTAGAATAAATGATGAGTATAAATTGGTTTTTTCTTTTGGATTTAATTTTTATTTATTTGGAAATAAATTTTATTTAATCATGTACCTATCAGCAAGAACACAAGGAAGATTAGCAAACTTAATCATCACAATCGCAGAAGGTGAAAAGAAAACAGAGATGGTGCGTTAAGTGTTAGCAGAACAAAAAATGTTCGAACCATATACTGCCTTCAGAAGATTGGATCAACTTAGAACAGGAGAATTAACTGTTTCTGACATAGTAGAGTTCTTGGCGGATAATAAAATTTATCCAACCAAGGTCCAATCTGATTATCTCTTTAGGAGACTCGATCTTAATAGAGATGGAAGAATCACTTATCCTGAGTATTATATTTTGTAATGTGATTAGCTTCGTTAAAGCCATATTGCCAAAAGAAGACTCGAGATTGAGACAAATTGCATCCCTTAGAGACAGTTACTACATTGAAGTCAATATGCTATTACCAACTGAAGTAGAGTGGGGCCTTTCTAGAGTATTCTAATAGGAAATTTAGAACTATAAGTAATGATATAAACTATAATTCAGTTCAATAACAGCTGCCTAAGAAATATTAACAACTAGCGCTGACTTCACATCTCTAGATGCATTTAGATGCATTGATTAAGTATATTTGGGATATATTACCATTGATACGTAATAGATTTATAATAAAAAATAGTCTCCAAGATTTTTTAAGATAAAATGGAGCTAAATTGTCATTTGACGAATTGACAGCCTTTTTCAGAGTTGTTGATTCAGACGAGGATGGAAGAATATCCTACTCAGAATTATTAGAGGCATTAACCTTTGTCCCAGATTTCTTCCAACAAGAGAGATAAATAGCTAATGAATTGAGAAGAAGTAGAGAGAGAATCATTCAAATCGAAAGAGAAAGGGAAGTCTTAGAAGATTTAAAGAAAAGCAGAGAGAGAGTAGAAGACCTAAGAAGAAGCAGAGAAAGATTGGAATATATGTAGGATTTGAAGAGAAGCAGAGAAAGAATTGAGTAACTAGACGAGCTAAGAAGAAGTAGAGAAAGATTGGATGACCTTAGAAGAAGCAGAGAAAGATTGGAGGACTTAAAGAAGAGTCGTGAAAGATTAAGCCAATTAGAGGAATTAAAAAGAAGTAGATAGAGAATGGAAGAATTAGAAGAATTAAAGAAAAGTAGGGAAAGATAAGCCTAAATTGATGAATTAAGAAAAAGCAGAGAAAGACTCGAGGATTTGAGGAAGAGTAGAGAAAGATTGGAACAATTAGAATAGGAGAGAAAGAATTAAGAAAAGATTGAAGAACTCAGAAAATCAAGAAGCAGGATTGAAGAATTACAAAAGCAAAGAAGAAAAGTAGAAGAATTAAGAACCAGCTAGGAGAGATTAGAATAATTAAAGAAACAAAAAGAAGAAATTGAGTTAAGAAGAAGTCAAGAGAGATTAGAGGATTTAAGAAAAAGCAGAGAAAGACTTGAATAAATTGAGGCTTTGAGATAAAGTAGAGAATAACAAAGAGCATTGGAAGAATTGAGATAAAGCAGAGAAAGAGTAGAGTAGTTGAGAAAGTCTTAATTGAGAATTGAGTAATTAGAAAATGAAAGAAAGGTACTTGAGAGAAGCAGACAATTAGAGAGAGTAGAAAGAGAATTAGAATATGAAAGACAGAGAAGCAAAGAGAGATTAGAAAGATTGGAATTAGAAGCTGAATTAGAAAGAAGAGCTAGAGACAGGGCATTAGAGTATGAATTTGCAACATAAAGCAACTTTGTTCAAAGCAGAATATATGATACTCCAAAGAGATACAAATGATATAACATATCAATTTAAAATAATTTTTGGATATTCTTTTATAAATTAAGCACATTCTGTTCTGTGTTTTTTTATTAATCATTCTTCCAAATACTTCATCTACCCATTTTTAATAACAATACCTTTTAACTTTATAAAATCTTAATTCATATTTCAAAGATTTCAATAGAATATTTCATTCAACATATATTTTGTTATATAATAACTTATCGTTATCTTAAACCAAAAAATAGAGTATTTAAGTTAAAATCATCCGGGTCCAGATTTTAAACTATATTAATACTTAAAAATAGGTTAATTTCCCCATACTTCATATTAATCCAGTTAATAATCAAAAATAAAAAAAATAAAATGATATTAATTATAATTTGATATTGTCATTTCTATCATTTAGACTTTTTAATTATTTGTTTTTTTTTGATTTATTATAATTAAATTTTTTTTTTAGGATTTGGTTCTTCTTCTTCATCATCGATTTAATTATTATTATCATCATCCTCGTACTCGAAATCTTTTTATACTTTTTATTAAATTTTTTTCTTAGATTTTTGAATCTTATTGTTTTTTTTTGTTTATGGCTAGCTTTCAATTTATTAAACTTCTTCTTCATCTTCATCTTCATCTGTATTAGGAATTTAATTTCTCTGTTTTAAATATGCATTTATATCAATACTAGAATGTTAAGATGTGTATTCACCTAATCATATAAGGTTATATAAATACCATCTTGCTCAATCTCATCATCCTCCTCAACTTTAGAATCCATTTCAAAATCTTAGTCATCCTCATCATTATTAGCTAGATTGTCATCATATATTTTAGCTAATTTTTTTTTGTTCAAATCTTCATCAGAATGGTTTTTTTTGTTTTTTTTTTGTTATTTACTCATTATTATTTTCATTGTTAAGATCAATTTGCCTAATACATATATATTATCTATTCATGGTATTAATTATCTTATATTATAATTATTCTAAATATATAAATGCTAATTATAAACATAAGAAATTAATAGTCTAAATTTCAGTAGACTTAAATAAATTGAATTAAAATATGTAAATAATATTATAAAATATAAATTAGTAATCAAAATAATTGTATATTTTCTTTCCTGGAAGTAGATTAACCCACTGATTTATAATGAATTTATTAAAACTTCCTTGCAATTTTTGCCTTCTAATTAGCTATATGATTAGATAAAACATAAAAGTTTTTAGATTCACCACATTGATTGTTTAGAATATTGCTACAATTATTAGACCAATTATTTTCTCTTATTTCTCTCTTTTACTTTTCAATTACTTAAACTTCCTAAAATTCAATTGGTTCTGCGATTGGAACTAAATATTATTTATAATTTTTACTATTATCATTTAATTCAGCATGTTCGGTGTGTTTTTATTTTGGAGACTCTAACTCTAAATCTTAAATTAAGTTAACTTTGATTCTATCATTTATTTGTTCAACTGGGAGTTATACTGATTAATATTTTGGTGATGGACTTATATTTTTTGAGTTTTAATCACGCTTTTAAGAAAATGTAGTTGTTTCTGACTTTTTCTCTTTCCGCTTACTTTTAGAAAGCTGTGATTATTTATTTTGTATCAATCTTAAGGTATCAGATCCAGTTTCCTCTTTGATTATCTTAAGTAAACTTGAAATTTTATCGCAAGCAGCTTATTCTCTTGAAGTCTAGTTTAAAGATTTTAAGTCTAATTAATATTTTGAAGATTGTTATGATTGATCCAATTGTTACTTTTATAATAATTATGTCGAGGTTTAAGATTGATATGGTGATTCAAATTGAGAATTATAGAATTATTATTATGTTGATTATTATGATTATACTTATTATTGATGCCTTTATGATTCTGAGATTGAAAATTCACGAATTTCATAAAAAGATTTGATCTTTCTAATTTTTAAAATTGAGGAAATATTTCTAACAAGTTGAGTAACACCTTGGTTTAATTGAAATTATTATTATTTTTATTTGATAAATTATATTTCTTCATCTGAATCTGAATCAACTTTATTAATTTAAGTACTGTGATCACATTTTTATTTTTAAAAGTGTTAAGAATGTAAATTTTAATTACAAACTTTCTTGTTAAATTCATTTTGTTAAAGCCATTACTCAAATGAGTAAGAATTCATACAATTTAATTCATTTGATAATAATTGATGTTGATACTATGATTCTGGCTTACTGGCCTATAATTATTTTTCACTTTTTAACTAAGAATTTCCCTAATATTTACCTTCATCTAAGTTATTGTTGCTTAATGAAGTTGTTACTCTTAATTTTGGAGTGTCTTCAGAATATTGTAAATTGCCATCCGTAAATACTGTAGCATTATCAATAATCCTTTAATCTGTCTACGCTACATCCGACAAATCTACATTTTGAAGTTGATTTGTTTATTACAAAATCATAGGGTCAGTAAAAGACAATGATGATCGGTTACTAGTTAAAGGTATATCCATCTATTGCTATTTCTCTTTAACCCTTAAGGCATTAGTAGAATTTTCCTCTTCTAAAATTTATTATAAATCTTATCTAAATCGATTAGTATCAACTGAAGTTAACTAACCTAAAAAATCATTATGTGTATCTAATTTTTAGAAATTCAAACTATTTATAATTTTTGGAATTTATATTAAATTTCTTTGCTTAATTGTTTAAATTTCTTTTAATTTTGGTTCCTCTTGTTCCAATTTGACCTAAGAATTTGTAATGGTATTAGTCTCTTCAAAATTTTCCTTATTCTTCAAACTAAACTTAGAATTACTTAAACCTTATTAATTTTATTAACTAGTTGTTATTTAATGATCTTAATTTTATTTTAAAGAGAATTTCTCTGGATTAATTATTAAACAATTGATATTAGATCTATGAGATAATCTTTCTTATTAATATAAAGGATCCTCCTAATTATTATTAGCTGTTTATGAAATCTATTTTAGATTTTCTTCAATTTATAAATGGATTCCAGTCTTACTGCAATCAGCCTCTTTAATAAATGAATTTTATCTTTCTTCATTGTTGATAAATGATCTATTGCTCTCTTAAAATTGACTTCTTCTGCTGCTTCTTTCTGAATGTTGCTCAGATTGTTATTTTTACTTTTAAACTGGTTAATATTAAGAAACAAGAGATTAAAAATTTTATGATTATTATGAAAATGTTTATTAAATCTATTCTTTAAGTACATCTTTTAAAGATACTTTAAATTCTTGATAAGAATTTTGTTTATTTTCATGATCGTTTGCTCCAATTTAAACATTTAATTTGGATTCAATTTCACCTATCAATGAAACCTAAATGCCAACATCTAATGTAGTGCAGCTTTTTGAAGATCTTCTTTTATTCAAGTCCTCATTAACCTTTGGTATTGAGTTTCTCTAACTTTAATCTAAAAATTATTTAGATTCTACTGATTTATTTCTAAAGATTCTAGCACTAATGTCAGCATTTGAGCATTTTTAGTTATTTAATTAGACTTCCTTGTGTGGAACTTCTTAATTTGTACTTAATTATTAATCTAAAAACTCCCGAATTTGATTGATTTTATTAAGGATATTTAGTTTTCGTCCGCTATTGCATAATTAATAGTTGTCAGATGCGCATTCTTCTAATTCTTTTATTTTGACAGATTTCTTATTTTTTAGTTCTTAAAAGGATTCAATTATCTATTCAGCAAAAGGATCATATATGTGTTATTTAGTATTAGATCCTTCTTATTATTTGTAATATTTATTCATAATTGTTGAAAAGCTTAGTTCATCATTTTTTTTGTTTTTTGAAGAACTTTATTGTTATTGGTGTTGAAATTGAGAACTCATTTATTATTAGAATTGATTGTAAATAGATTTGTTATTTTCAGGAGTATCCTAATGATAGAGTGATTCTACAAGATAGCGATACTTACTCTTTCTTTAACTTGTTCTTGATCTTTATTGTGATTAGTTACTTAGTTTTGGTTGTAATGTTTAAAGTAGTTTTTCTTTTTCTTGCCTCCAAAACACAGATTTGCTTTTATATTATTGCTTCATTTGATCAGATAAAATATTTGACATTACCATAAAAGAAATCATCCGTTAAATTTTTTTATTTATAAATTATGCAATTATACAAGGTCAATATTTTCTTATATTGTTATTCCTATTCAAGTTGAGTTAATATCTGAACTATGCAAAGTAGTTACAGAATAGCAAAGAATGTTAAAGTTATTAAGGATTCTCTAGTTCTTAATTAGTAGAATTTTAAGTATTTAATTGCCATAATTTATAAAGAATAATTAATTCTTTTTTTTAATCAGCAATCATATTTCTGAATAATATCTACAATAAAAAAGTGAATTACAAGAAGAAGAGAATAATTTTCCCTTATTTTATTTTAATAATACATTTTGTCCTGAAACCTTAAGATATGTTCAAAATAAATATTCTCTATCTCAATATTTTTATTGTGTTCTTCCACAATAACCACATTTTGATTGACTATCTTATGATAATGTGATCATTAAAAGAGATTATTCTTTAGAAAAAATAAAATTATTATTTTGAATAAAGTACTTATTTAATGAGTACTCCAAATCACACAGATAGGCTAAGAGAGGACAAGAAAGAGATTCTATTTGAAAATTTAGATGTAAAAAGCATTGAATGGAGACCATATCGATGCTTTGTAATCCTTTATTTATTCAATGCCACAATTGCATTGCCAGTTTTTACTTTGAAATTGCTGTATTTGTACTTAGGATAAATTGCAAAAAGCATTAGATTCTTCAGAGTTATTCAAGTAATTATCAAATCGATATTGTTTTAGGCTTTAAAGGCAATAATATTCTTCACTTGTGATCTTGCTATGGCATTATCAATTTTAATGATGTATGTCCTAGTAGCATTAAGATACAAATAGACAATTAATTATGAAGATTGGGCAATATCATGCCTTATATTTTTACAATCTCAAATTTTAATGTCCTCATATGTTTTAACAATTTCAATAGATAGAAAAGAAATGGATTTTGATTTTCTAATATCTGATGCAAACATGAGTAAGTTAGGTCTTGGGAGATTGTATTAAAAATTATTGCAACAAAACCTTTCTCCAGAGAAATAGGAAGAATTGAAGCAAGACAATTTATATAAATAGATAAGAGATGCCATGGAAACAGAAAATATAGATAGTACACTTTACTACATTGCCCTTGAATCTGACCCAGGCATTTGTACAATAGATGATATCATATCATTAAGTGATCATTCTATAATTGAACTAATCGAGAGAGCACGTAAAATTTTATAGGGATAACCTGATGTTCCATTTGAGAGGAAGCAATTTGAATAGCCAGCAAACAAATTGAAAATTCTAAAGGAACTAAGAGTACTAGGCTTTCGTGGTTACAGACATGCAATTGACAATTTCTTATGGCCTCATTATGATTACATCAAAGTGAAATAAGAAAAAGAACCAGCATCTATTCTTTTGATTTACTTAGCTGTATTGCTGGCCAAGGGAAGTTTCCCACTGTACCTGTTATCATAAGCTGATGATACTAAAGAGATTGAATTTATCTACTTTCTTTGCTTCTTAGGAATGTATCTAAACATGATCATTTTACTGATTGATTTAATCAAATGTAATGATATCTAAGGGAAAAGATACATATTGAATGTTCTGTAGACAATGATCATTCCAAATAAAGCTCAAGACTAGATTGAGGACGAAAATGATAGTGGTAAGGATGAAATTCCAGATGATTTGCCTTACAATTCAGATTATAAATTAGACTTTAGTTGTAATTTGAGTTTAGAATCTTGGGATAACATGAGAAGATTAACTCTGTTAATAGATAATGATTGGATGGATTATAATGAGGCTTAAATAGCCTTTGTTTTCCTTTACTTCATATACTTGTATATGAATTTGTCTTCTGTATTTCTAGACTTTGATTTAATTCCAGTATTGCATGCTTTCTTTTAAGATCCAATTTTAGAATGGAATATGATTGTTGATTTTACTTGTCTGGCTTTACTATTTCTAAATAGGGTGTATTAAGGGACCTTGTATAATTAAACCTTTGAGAACATTATTGAGTCAATCAAAAAAATTGAAACTGTTTATGATGACAAAAAAGCTCTATTTGATTTCTATTTTAGTAGCAATTTAATGGAAAATATCCAAAATGAAACTTATAGAAAAATAACGTAAAAGATATATTGTTCTGCATGTGATAAAGTTATCTATACACTGGCATCGAAAGGAATCTAAGAAATTCCACTTTTGGTAATTTGCATTATGAATTAATTAGGAATTCTTGATGCTTGCAAAATCATAAGCCAAATAAAGAGTGTTTTAATTATGTGCCACCATGAAGAAAGTCAAGGATTAGATTGAATTTGACAATGATAATTACAGTCATAAGATGCTTGGAATATACAGATCAAATATATGGACTGTTATCTCAACTTTTGGATTTTTAGGATACATATTTTTTCGTGGGAAGATTAAAGGGTATCTTAATAAGCATAAGGCTAAACAACTCTGATTTAAAGTTTAATTTTTATATATAAAAATATATTTAAAATCAAAAATTAGCTAAACTCATCATTGACGCCTCTGGTGAAAAATAACTCAATCTTTTCTTTGGAGTCAATGCTGTGCTAATGGACATCTATGATACTGATTTCCTTTATTGTTATTTGAAAGTCTTTAAGAATTTATTTTTCAGTTAATGCACCTTGGGTGACTTAATTTAATTCAAATAATTGATCTTTTCCATACTCATTACACACAATTACACTTAAGTTCGTTTTCTCATCTCTTCAGCCTCTCCCTTACCAAAATCTAATGGACTATTGATTGGATTTAATGGCTCCTTTAATAACTTATATTACTAATCTATTATAAAGGAAGGAGAATAATTGTTAAATTTTTAAGCTTGGAACCCTCTTGTTGAATTGAAATAGAGAGAACTAGTTCTGACAGATATAAAATTTCTAAAATTTGAGATATCCTTATCAAATCTCATCTATAACTCTGTTTCGCTCTACGAATAATTCTACATCTTTAATTATTTTTGTAACTTTTGAGATTGCTTGGATCTATAATATTAAATTTCAAGTATTACTCCAATTTTAATCTTTGAGCCTCTAATTATTTTTAATATCTTTCAACTGCCTATTGATATAAGCGAAATCTATCATTTTTATGGATATCGTAATGTTATTTCAACACTTTTTTGCATTCCTCAGGAAGAAAAGTTACAAAATCTTAAATCTTTATTTTTAGAAAACATGCTTAAAGGGATTAGACTTTAATGGTGTAATCATATTTTTCACTAAAAAATACCTCTTCTCCAAATAAACAATTATTATCTTGAATTGCTATTGAAATATTTTCATTCTGGAACTTCTTTAGAATCATACAATTTCCTTGTTACAAAATATAAATTTCATTTCCTTTACTTCCTTCCTCAAACAGTATCTCATCACGTGCTAAATAAATGTTCTATTGAAAAAGATCTATATGATTTTTACTTAAAAGCTATAAAATATAGACTCAAGTCTGGCATTCGAATAATTTAACTTAATCTAAGCTTGCATAAATAATTACAGTTGGAAAAAAGCTAAAGATTAATGTTTTCGCTTTGTGTTATGACTAATTAATTGCCGATTCGAATCCTTTTAAAAACGAATTATCCAAAATCAATAATTGCAATTTTTCATTTGATATCGCCGATAGCGACCTTGGCTAATTTGTCAAGAAACTTTTATCGCCAAAACCATCTCCGGATTTCAATTCCCTGACTATATAACCATATTTATTGTAATAGTTGGAACTTTAATAGAGTTATTAATACTTTGTGGAATTAAAATGAAATTATTGCAAGGGTTTATTTCTTAACAAATAGACTGAACCAGACAAGATTAGGTAAATCTTGGAGTTCGAAGGTTCCTTCTCTTGAAATATTAGAGAGTTTTCCTTGAAAGTTTCTAATTTTAATGAATCCATCATCTAATTATTTACATTCAATACTAATATGATGCGATCTAATGGTAAATGTTGAATAAGGATATCATAAAAATATTTAAAATATTGATATGATAATAATAATTAGAGAATGATTTCATTCTCATTGAAATCTCTTTTCGATTTTGAGAGAAGTTTGATAAGTTTCTCTAAGTTATTTAGCTTATTGGAATTGGTTTACAACATAAAAATATAATCAATTAATTAAACATTATTAAATATTGTATTTTAGTAAATAGAAGATTCAATCTTTACCTAAATATATGTCTGTGCAATATGGAATATACTGTATTAGGTCCTAATCTGGCATTTTGAATAAATCATTCTTTTGTTCAAATGAATCTACTTGACTTTAAGCAGCCATCTATTATTCAGGCTTAGCTGTCCCAGTTTGTTTTTTTTATTTTACTCTTTCCTCTAACTCTAACATCTACGATTTCTCATCCTCCTAAGCTTCAATGATTTTCTCTTATTCTTGCTGCTGTCTCAACTTTTCATATTTCTAATTTTTAATCATATCATCAATCATGTTTTCTTTAGCTGCCTTGAATAATTGCTATTTGACCTACTCCTCTGATATCTTCAACTTTACTGATTGTTCTCTCCAAATACGAATAATATATTTTAATCTAACATAATCATAATTGTTCTTCAATTTATGATCGATGATGTGACTTTTCACTTTATGTTGTATTTATAAGTTCAGTTCTTTGGGAATCACTACTTGAACATCTTATAATTATTAAATCTTGCTCTCTATAATGTTCTCTTGTTCTTCTTGATCATCTTGTTATTTAAAAAAAGGATTATTGAAAACGGCCTATTACTTTTTGGATTTCTGGTTGATTTTGTCTAGATGCTGTTATTTTTCCATCTCATTTTTTATATTACTAAACCTAGAAATTTTACTCATAGTCTTGTAATAATATATATATAATTTTTAGTATATAATCTTTAATTCTGATGAAATATCAGTCAGTCAGTATTAATTTTTAACGAAAGCTAATACTGCCTCATGGCTTTTCAGATAATCCTAATGAAGTAGGTCACAAGGTTCACTGCTCTCCAAGTTGATCATCTTTATTTTCTCAATGGTTTGATTTAGCTCCTTAATTTATTGTTTTGCCATTTATAACTCAAGGTAGAGAGTTTATTTTTCCTTATTCATAATTTGTTATCTCTTGTATTCATCTTAGACATACAGTTTCTGATTTTCAAGTTCCTTTAATTTAAATTGGAATCCTTACTTATATCATGGCAATAATGATTTCATTTTTTCCTTCATTATGAAATGAGGAATCCTTTAAATCATCAATTTATGTTAAAAGTAACTTAATTTTATTAGACTAATTCTCAACTATGCTAGTTAATCTTTCATTATCATCTATTAAGGTCTTAATTTAATCGATTGGCAATTTTTTGAAAGTTTCTATTTATGATTCTAACTATCTGTTTTTTTATTCTAATGTTTAGATTTTGCCTTTGTAATCCATATCTTCCAACTACTTAATTTTGATTTGCAAGGATTCATTTTCCTTTTTTAATGAACCCACCAATCTAGTCAAACGAGCAACTTCTTTCTCAGATGTCTAACATTGACTCGTATTTCCTTGATTTGTTGGTGTTTCTTGACTTGATTGTCTTGACATAGCAAATGGATTTAGGGATTTATTCGAATCACTCAATACTCTGATCAGTTAAGATTTTTGCATTTATGATAAAATTAAAAATGAAAGTTTTTGAAAGTAATCATTCACACACCCAATTTAAATCAGAAGGCTTCCAATCTACAATTTCCTTCTAATTAAACCATAAATTGATCTCTTTTTAAGCTGACTCACAAGAATCACTTCCATGAATTAAATTCCTTTATAGTTCAAGTGCATAATCAGCTCTAATTGTGCCTGGTTTCTATTCAACAGGATTTCTGCCTTCCCCAAGCATGGAACGTATTTACCTAACAACTTATTTATTTCAATTATACTATACCATCTTTTCCTTGCCAAATCATAGCAATAACTGGTCCTGATAGCATGTAACAGATCAAACAAGGGAAGAAGGGTTTGAACATGAGCTCTTCATAATGCTTCTGTAACAATTCTTGATTTGGAATGAGCATCTTCATGGCAACCATAGAAAACCCCTTATCTTCAAATCTCTGCATTATTCTCCCTATGATTCTTCTCTGAACTCCATCTGGTTTGATTAGGACAAATGTCTATTCTTTTTCCATTTAGTAGTTAATTAAATTTTTAAATAATAACTTTTGTTTTCATTTTAATTATCATATAGATGAGCATTGATGTATATTAATTTTGGATTTAATTCATATGCAACATGTTCTAGTTTATAGGTGTAAATAGGATTTACTATGAAAATTAAATGAAAATTAAATGAAAAATATAAAAATATTAAATAAGTTGTCAATAATTACTTAATTAATTCTTAGCATAGCGAAGAGTGCATATTTTATCTGGGTTGAGTTTCCATTTCTTTTAATCAAACTTTTGATGGAAAAATTCAACATCATCTGGTGTAATTAAGTTTATGAAGGCATAGCCTATATTGCAATTTTTCTTAATTAGAATAATAAAGTTTACAATCTAATCATATGGCATATATAAATAGTTATACTTTCCTTTAACAAAACTATTGACTTCAATTATCAAATCCTTTAGACTATACTCAAGAGGGATATTCTTCAGCATTAAGGTCGTTCTTGCATCGTGTTTAATGCATAAAGGATTTATTTAGTAATCTTAATTAAATTGTGGCTACAAAGTTTAAGGTTTGGATTACTATCGAATCGGTGAAATAATCACAGAATCTATCAATAATCAATAGTTAATTACATCTAAAACAATCCAAAAAGTCATCATCTGTATCATCGGATTGTTCAGCCTCTTCATCCAAATTTTGAGAATTAACTTAATTTAAATCGTAAAATAATTAATCGTCATCCTTTTCTAATCTAAGTTCCTATAAATTGAGGTTCGCTTATAGCATTTATTTTTTAATAATGTCTTCAAAATTATTTAAATACAAAAAACAAGGCGAAAATTTTATACTTTCAGTCAAAGACTCATAAGAACTTGTCCAACAATTGAGAAATGAACACACACATCTTTCTAAGCAAATTGCCGAGTGTGAAAGGAAAAAGCAATTGATTGAAGACAAATTACGAGAATTATCAATTAAGTTCAATACATTTTACTAATATAGTGATTAACCAGACCTACCCCACATGGTTTTTAAAATGCCCAATGAACCTATCCAAGAAGAGTCAATTACTAACTAAGAAATTTTTTATCAATTAAATGACTACTAAGAGTATATACCAGAGAAACAAGAAAATTAAATCAAAACCAAGAGAGAACTCTTTGATTATTTTAGTTACAAATCAGATGTCTTACAGAGTTTCGAAGATCTAAATGATATCACAATTCTTAAGAAACTTTCTGAGTAATTTGGAATCAAAACAAACAATACAAACAAATTAAAACAATAGTTAAAAATTATTTAATCGTATTTGCAAAATTAATCATTTCCAGCATCATGGAATCAAATTTATAACGCAGAACTATTTGAAAAATTAGAAATTTGATCAATTTATTGAAAACTAATATGTACATCAATTTCTTCTGTGTTAATCAATCTTTTCACCCCATCTTTTCTCCAATCTTTCTAAATTCTAAACTGTTTCATCGTATTTCCTTTTAATGTTTAAGAATTCATCATTTTTCTCAATCAACTCCCTCTGCTTCCTATTATTATCATTTTACAACGCATTGACTTTCTAGGAAAGAGTTAAATTATCTCTTTAAAGATTTTCAATTGAAATTTGAAGATCCTGCTATCTCAAAATAGATCCTATATAAAATTAGAATATAAATTACTTCGAGTATCCTCTTGCTGTTACTTTTTGTTTTATTATTCTTTTCTCATTTCTTCTAAACTTTAATGTAATTGCTCTGTTTCTTCCTTTCTTTTCTTCAACATTTCATTCAAGTGCTATTGTTCTTATTTTGATTAATTTAATTCATTTCTCAAATTACTTATTAAGGCTTAATTTTAGTTTTATAAAATTCCATTTTTTAAGAGTTCTTCTTAAGCATTAAAATTCTGGCCTCTAATTTTTTCTAGTTCTACTTTTAACCCCTCTATTTATTCATTTTTACTTTGAATTTCAACCTAAAGTTATTGTTCCCTTTAATCAAAATCATAAGATGATAATGCATTTCTTTTATCCAGCATTTATAATTATTATTCCATGGTTAATTTAAAGTCTATAATCTCTTATTCTTTAATTTATAACAGTTCTTCACTTTATAGTTTTGAATTCTTTAATCTTCTCTCCAAATCACTAATGCTTTCTTAGCTCACTTTCTTTTGTATCTCATATTGATCCTTCATATCTCTCATTTCCTCAAGTAATTCATTAAATTAATTCTCTTTCTCTTGAGTTTTTCTTCCTTGTAATTAAATCATTTCTTTTAATTCTGTGACTTGATATTTCATATCTTATTGAGTGGCTTAATTAATTTTATTTAATCTATCACATTCCACCCTTAAAGCATTTTCAGTTTACTTCTATCCTTCTATTTATTGAAGTAGTTATTATTAGACTTTATTTAACTATGATAATTGTTGATTCATTTAATCATTTTTTAATTTTAAAGTTTAATTATTCTCAAGTGTTTTTTTTAATTCCTAACTTTAAAACTAAATATCTTAGTTTAACTTTTCAAGCCTTTGTTCATTTATTTTATACTCCTCCTGTATTTTATTCTTTCTCATATCCATAGATTTAAATTCATCCAATAACTTTTGATAATCCTATTTGGATGTCAATAATCTATCATCCAACACTTTCAATTGTTGAATATGATTATTTATCTGACCTTTTAGTTCTCTTTCTATATCATTTTTTAACTTCAAATAAGTGGAATTCTCATTTTCCTTAACTAATAAAGCCTTTTTCATTTATTCAATTTAGGTTTCTAAGTTATGGTAAATCTAAAACTACTATTCTTAAGAAGTTTCTTTTTCCTTTAATATTGATTTAATTTTTTCATCCAACTTTTAGATCATTTCATTTTTACTATCAATCACTTTAGCATCAACCTAATTGTGAGCGATTTCTGCTTTTAAATTATCATTTTCAATTTGCAATTGTAATAATTTAAGTTCCAACTACTCCTATTATTTTGATGTACTTGAATGAATAGATTTCATCATTAAAGGTGATTTTGGTAATTCTTTTGTATTCCCTTTTTCGGTCAATAACTACTTATACTTACTTTCTAATAATTCAAAGTCTTTTTATAGTTACAGATTCTTTTGTTTTTAATCTTGTACATCTTCATTTTTGGTGATGCTTTGATGAATCTTTTAACTGTTAATAACATCTTTTTATTGTAATTTCATCTTGAGTTCTTCATTTTCTTTTTAATTTATTTGTAAACATTCGAATACTCTATTGAATTCCTTATTAGTTTAATTGGCTTTGTCTTCAGCTAGTTGTCTTTTATTTTATTCTTCAATGGCCTTTTGCTCTTGCTCTATCAAATTCTTATTCAGCTACGAGATTAATAATGTTCAAATACTTTTTAATTCTCCTAGACCAAAGCAGTCATTTTACTTTATAACTGCTCAAGTATTGGCTTTAGTTTATTATAATCTTCTGCCATGTTTAATGGTTTAGATTCATTTTCAGAAGGCTCAACATGAGATAGTTCTTCAACTTTTCTAAAACTAGCTAATATCTCAATCATTTTATCATTAATATTATCAGGCAATTTTCCATTACTAGCCATTTTTTAAACACTTGACATCAAATCTCTTAATTACCCATAAATATTTGCTATTTCTGTTGATATTTTTGGTTTCTATTATAAAAATCCATGATTTTAAGATGATAGCCTACTATTTCCCACAGCAGGATGATGATCTGAAATAGGAGATTTTGCGGTCAATCCGTAATTTTCTTTGCTTTCTATAATGGTTCCTTCTTTGTTTAAAGTATTGCTTCTTCTTTCTGATGTAGTGTCTTTATTTCTGTCACTTTAGTAGTTTCCATGCGTTTTATGATATTCTTGCTTGCTTGTTCCATAATGTGGTTTCACATCATTGAATAATTTTATTGTTTCTTATTAATTAGATGGTTTAAGAACATCCAAATTTTGACTTAGGGTCTTTGTATTCAGTTTGTACTGGGAGGAATTCTCTAATTTTTAAGGGGGAGATGGTTAAATGGTGATATTGTTTTAGTTAATGCATTTTACATCTAACAGAGGCGATTACATATAAGGCGAAGGGCCATATGTTAATATTTTAGCTTGTGATTATGTTTTAAGACAATGGATTTATTTATCTGGAGATTACATTGAAAAATTTGCTATATCCTTTTGAACAGGGAACTGTCTATTAACTAACGAGACTTGACTTGGTTTTTGTATAGTTTTCATATTTGTTGGTTATTTATTTTTCGGTTAAAATTAATATGTATTTATTTAGTATTATTTTGTTTACATTTCTTAATCGTAAATGTTTTAAATACTAAATTGTAAAGTAAACTGCAGTTAAAAAGATTTATGGATTTTTGAGAGAGGTTTACAATAAATTTTTATATTTATATATATTTTATATAAAATATAATTATAAATGGACGAGCGGGAAGAAGAGAAAGTATTCATTTAGCAATTGCAAAAATTTTGGGAATAGAGAGGTGTATCTGTTAAAATACCTCAGATTGGTGGTCGAGAACTGGAAGTTTTCAAGCTATACAAAGCAGTCACCAAAAGAGGAGGTCTAAAAGTCGTATCAGCAAATAAATTATGGAAAGTACATTTTTAATTTTGATCCTAAAAGGAAATTGTAGATCAATTCTCGTTTCCAGCCACATGTACCTCTGCCTCATTTACCTTAAGAAATCATTATTAAAAATTGCTTTTGGCATATGAATAAAAATATTTCTTTGGAAAAGAGGATGGCTATATATATGATGAAGAAATGAGCTCCAATAGGAAAAAAACAAAAATAGGGTATGAAGAAGAAAATCAATAGGCAGGCTATGTGTAATAATACAATCTATTTCAAAGCGCAGAAGCTGAAGACAGACAACACTAAATGGAGTTCAGTGGGTAACCTCTTAGTGCTCTTTTGAATTTAAACTATGCAAAGGTGGAAAAAGCTGAAACCATATTTTTCATAAAGAAATCTAAAATATAAGCATAAGCAAGTGAAGTTAAGAGAATCATCCTTGCTTTTGAGAGCAGAATTGACGATGAACTTACATTCGCCATTAATAATTTATTAATGTATTCTTGCAATTACTCAGTATTACAATTAATGTTAATCATTCTAGCAAACCTTTCTTATTGATTAGTATCCACAACTACTTGATACTATTACTACATATATCGAAGATACTATTAAATAAATTAGCTACTTAAATAAATCGTACTCTTTTAAGACTTGTCTTTAATCAGTAGGATAGCAATAATTAGAAAATTTGGGATATTAATAGCGAAAATCTATGCAAGTTCAAATTGACTTAATCAAGAATCAAAATGTATTGGAAAATTATAATTCTCATATATCAGTCATCATGAATGATCAAATGACAGAGATGGTGAAACCAAGTGAGTTAATCTATTAGAAAAAATATATAGATTTGATCTAAGGAAATTATGAAAAAAAAGCAGAGTGTAAACATTTGGAAAAATTGAGAACCTTGTTTGTGGCTCTGAGAAATTTAGCTATGATTAGATCTAATGAAGCGTGCTTTATGAAATAAGACAAGTTATTATCCTTTTTTTATTAAATTCTTTTGTCTGGAGCAGATTAAGAATTATCTAAATCTGCATTGGAAACATTTTCAGTCTTATCCAAACACATTCATCTAAAGTAATTAGTCTTCATGGATGCTTTTATGTAAAAACTAATAGAAATTCTTAATGGTGAATCATATGAAGATATAGGTTTAGTCACAGAAACTTTCAGAAATTTGATATCCATCTCTGATAATGAATCCATTATAGAAGGAGCCATTGGAGAATATATAGATTAATTAGCCAGATTGTTGATATATTAGAATTAAGAACTAAGAGAAATTGTTTTGGAGTTTTTCTGTTATTTAAGTGATTTAAAAATGGCAACTAGGTTATCCATAGCTAAACATCCTAAAATACTATAAAGACTTGTTGCCATATTGAGTACAGGTTAAATTAAGAACAATTCTTAGAAATTATAAGATTAAAAAAGTAACTAGGATAAAATAAATGAAAAACATGTCAAACTAGCAGCAATCACTCTCAATAATATTTCATAAGCACCTGCAGCAAAATAATATTTGCTTATATTTGAGAAGTAAATAATTTATTGTTTATGCTAGGGAATTATTTTTTGTGGCTGCATCTGATGAAACTGTTACACCTTTGCTTTCATAAATCCTTTTTGAGTTATCAATAGCAGAATGAATACATGAATTATATTTTAAACATAACTAATAGATTATATTAATATTAAAAGGCTTTGTATGAATCTTGAAATAAAATTAGTTTAAGATGCATTATACTGACGAAAAATAATTAGATATATCTGCAAACATTAATTTAGCAATTATAATTTATATGTTTTTAAATATAGAAATACGTTTCAACGAACAATTCATATATTCAACTAGATGATTCCTTATTTTTCAACCCTTAGAGTACATTCTGATCTTTCCCGTAGTATTGATACTTATATGTAAAAAATTCATACTAACAATAATTGGCACTCGTTAATTTATATATTTTAACTTGGATCCTATCTTTTTACAGATTCTAATTTCTTAATGAGAAATGCTAAGAACTCTTCATTATTCATATTCTCATGCGTTACTTTATCATTTTATTAAGTTTATTCATGTAGTCTGATACCAGAGATTTGATGAATAGCTTCATTGTCTTTTCTGTCTGTCCCTGGATTTTCCTCTCTTTTTGAATGTTACTAATTATCCTCTTTATTAGCTTTATTTTTTGTAAAATAAGTTGAATTTTTATCAAAACATTTAGCAGAGCAGCTTACTTTTACTAATTCCTTTTTTACAGGCTGCACTTTGCTTCTAATTTCTGGACTTTAATTAGGAGAATCTCTCCTTCTTTTATCTGGAGTAATAGTTCGTTTTTATGAATGAATACTAGCATCTCCAGCAGCTCTATTATTGTAATATTTTTTGAGTATTATTTCCAAATTTCTAATTTCACACCTGTGAGATGGGTCGTATGCTAAGAGATTTCTTATTGCTTCGGTGGAGGCTTCTGAGATTGGGTATTTGAATGTCAATATATAATCCTGTTGATATTGTTGTAATTTTCTGAGTAGGTCATCCATCTCAATCGAGAAGAAAGGAACAATGCCTTGAATAATAAAAGGTAAGGAGATACCAAAAATCATTTCGAAATAGAGGACACCCAAAGACCATAGGTCCGTTTTGTGGTTGTATTAATTTTTTAATAGCGTTTCTGGAGACATATACAAGGGAGATCCAATCTAAAATTGTCTGTCTTCAATTCCGACTTTGTCTTAATGAACTGCAAAACCAAAGTCAGCCAGTCTCACTTCCCCTTCATGGATTAGGATGTTGGATGGTTTAATATCTCTGTGAATGATTTCTAAAATTAAGAAATCAAAGTTTACTTTTTGAATTTAAGTACTTCAATGCTTCACTTATCTGCAAAACATAAGCAATTACTTTGTCTTCAGGCAACGAGCCTTGGTTTTTTAAGATTTAGAGAACGTCTATGGATTATTGATTAGTTGGTTACCTGTCTCACAAAATTCTGTGATGATATAGAAATTGTTTGTTGTTTCATAATAAGCATCCATTTTTAGGATGTATTGATGATTCAGTTGTTTAAGGATATTGATTTCGTTTCGGAGCATCTATTCAAAAATGCCTTTAATTTGTTTTTTGTCAATCTGCTTGATTGCCACTTGTTTCTTGGTCTTCTCGTGATATCCTTTGTAGACGTGGCTGAATTAACCAACTCCGACTTTGCATTCATCGGATACTAAATAAACATATTCTCCTATGACTTTTTCGTTAAGCATATTAAATTTAAAATAATTTAACAATGGATGAATATATAACAGTAACAATCGCTTATACTCTCAATAGTCGAATCGCGATTTGATCAAAGCTATAGATTGCATTCCAGTGCCAGATATTACAGTATCTTCGCTATCTTAACAATCAGCAAGATAGACCAAATAAGAGAGTTCCATAAGAAAGGATTAAGTCATGAAAATCTTGAAAAAGACCCAGCCCCAAGAATAAACTGCAGTCTAACCGAGGGCAAATTTATACCTGAATGCTTTCAATAAATTTGATCCGCAAGAAATCCTGAATAAAGAGAAGATTAATAAGAATACTTAATAAAAGAATCTACTGCATTAAATTTCCTAATTACAATTGTAAGTCGACCATTAAAGAAAGGAAATCGAATCTTAAATAAATTAAATTGCGCTTTTGAATAAACAGACCAACCATTTAACCAACGAAATCCAGGAGAAGAATCTCCAACTATAAATGAATGCTTAGACTATTCAACAGTTGCAGACAATCAATATTCAATAACAATAGATTATAGAAAATTTGTCACTCGAAAACGAGTATAAAAAATAATTCAATAAACTATGCCATAAAAAAGAGTCAGAATCCATTACTGAATTAAAATCCAAAATACAAAATCTTGAATCTGAAATCAATAAAACTAGAGCAACATTCACTTTATTCTCTCCAAAGAATGAAACGTTTCAATCTGATTCCTAATCCTTAAAAAATAAAACATTTGATCCAGAATTATTAAGTGAAGATGAAACTTTGACTATGTTATTGAGCTTACTTAACAGAGTTTCAAAAAGTTCCAGGATGACTGCAATCTTACAAAAAAATGCAGATTTTAAAAATTTAATTAAATTCAAAAGAAATCAACCAAGTGTCAATAGATTATCTATAGCATAAAATAACAAATCTGTGGAACGTCAATCATCATGTAATTAAGAATATTTCAACAAATTGATAAAAAATTAAGGAATAAAATTTAATTGATTGTTAAACATGTGATAATTTATTATCAATTTTATTATAATTATATTCTAAAGAATAAAGAGAGAAGACCTTTAGTTGTAAATTAATGTATTTTAGAGTGTATTAATTGTGTCAATAATTATATGCAAATAAAATTTTATTTGATCTAAAAACAATATGAATAATTGTGAAAAGGTATTATAAGTATCTCTATATATAGCTCTCATTTTTTAAAGTAATTCCCTTTACTTGTTAAACAGGTTTAAGGCTCTATTCTAAACAAAGATTGGGTCATCTTGATTGGGGATTCTTATATACGCAAATTCTCTTTGTTGTTGGATTTACAATTGAGACATTATTGTAAACAAATGTTTTAAAACGTACACGAATTATTAAATAAATTAGCATAAAGTCTTGATTTTTAAGGTGTTTTAGGAGCATTATCAATTTTGGGTACTAAATTTCTATCTAATTAACTATTTTATAATGGAGATGTTGATCTTCTCAACCTGCTATTATTGACATTTTCATCTTTGGAAATAGGCGAAACGTGCTTTTTGGTTTTAATGCATTAAATGATGTTCTGATTGTTTATATATTTGAGTGATAATAGCTGGTCTTCTAAATCGTGCTTGACTTCAAAGTGTTTTTTGGTGCGTATTTAAGACTTTTATTTCGGAGTTGTAGTTCTGAGTGATCCACTAAATATCATTATCAGTTAATAAATTAATAAAATGCTTAGTGGAATATATTAAAAATTCAAAATTTATGTAATATAGGCCAAACAAGCCTCCACAATCAGTTAAGAACCAAATGGGATCATTCTTTCCAAAATAACCTTTTTCTCCTACAAAGTCACATGGCGAACACTTTGTGTCAGAAAATCCAACACCTCATTATAAAAAGTCGTCGTAACCTTATCCATCCAGATAAACATCTTTTAATATTTCAAGTGGGGAAAGCTTGGAATAACATCATAAAAAGAGGCAGAACTCGAATTTTAGTCAAGAAAAGAAGGCTCAAAATCTACTGTTTAATATTTTGTTCAATAACACAAAGCCTAATGATAGTTTTTGCAAAGTCACGTAGATGTTTATTATCATGATAGGAAGAAGTAGACGAGACAAAAGCCAATCAATAACTCAATACAGAAGTGGTACCTTCCCAATCAGCAGAAACTCTCTTTAACAGGACAGAAGAAACAATCAAACATAAATAACAGTATGGATGGATAGCAAACAATGGATTTGAGTTTTGAGAACAATGTCATTAAAGGTTATTAGGATCATAGCGGATTTTAGAGTGATACCACCAAGCCTTTGGATGATTATAATCCAAGAGCCATTAAATTCTTAGAGAAGGGGAAATAATTATTAAGAGAAAAGCAAATTGAAGAGGCTATCGAGTATCAAATTAAATAAATTTAGACAATTAAAAAAATGTATAGAAACCGATTTCAGAATATTGGAAGGACATTACTTTTTGGGAATTGGTTATCTCGGAAAACAACTCTATTAAAAAGCAATTGCAGAGTTTTAATATGTAGTTTAATAGGATGCCACACATAGAAAGAATATCTATTTGCTATTAGCAATATCTCATAAAAAGATTAATGAATTGGATTCAGCAATCACCATTCTAAATAAAGTCATTTAGTTATTCTCGAGATATTATGATGCCTACATTTACAGAGGTAAACTCTTCACAAAACTCAATTAAATTGACAAGGCTGAATCAGATTTTAATATGGCAATTTAACTAAGTCCTCAAAAAGGATTAGGATATTTGGGTAAGGCTGATTGTTTGAGGATCCAAAATTAATATAAGGAAGCCATATCCTATTATTAAAAAGCCATTAATTGTGAGTAAGCAGTTGGCAATGCTGCATTACTAAAGAAAGCCATAACACTTTATGAGAGTTAATAATTCGATGAATGTGCTAAAGATTTGAGTAAACTTATAGAAACTGATCCCATCAACTCTGAAGCTTATTATTTTAAAGGATTATGTAAATTAAAAACAAGTACTTAAAATACACATTCTAGAGAATCCTACTGAAGCCCTATTATGTTTCGAGTAAGCTATCAAGCATAACAACTCTAAAAAAGCTGTCACTAAATCACTGTATGAAATAGCCAAGATGAAAATTGAATAAAGAGATTTTTATGCAGCATTCCACACTTTGAATAGATCAGCCTTGTTAGATACCGAAAAAAGCTACTTGGAGAAATTTCGACTATTCACTGAAGTAATAATACATGAATTGATCATAGGCTGTCATTCATTTAATGAAACGAAAGTTCTTAGAGAGTTTAAACAACTTCCAGGAAATTTAGAATCATCATTAATTAAATGATTTTCTGAAACCTTTGTTTTATGCTTATAGAGCTTATGGCCATTTTTGTCTGTCCAAACATCAAAAGGCTTTGGAGGATTATAAATATTTATTAGAAATTCAACCAGCAGAATCTAGTATTCATTATAATAAGTTCTTGTGTGAAGGAGTCTTAAAGATTTAAGCTGGGTAATTTAATGCCGGCATGGAATTCTTTTAAAGGGCGTAAAAGATATTCTAAAAAAAAATGGAACCTACTTTCTATTAAGGAGTAACACTAATTAATTAAGCATTCAAAAAAAAAAGTGATTAATACAAAGATATTATAAAGGGATTGGAATTGCTAGATAAGGCTCAAAGTTTGAATGACTAAAATGCCAATTTATATTATGTTAGATCCATTGTAAAATGCTTTTTGGGACAAGTCAACGAGGCCTTAGTGGACATTGAAAGTGCTATACAAAAATCAGAAGACAATGTGGCTAAGTACTTTTATTTTAGGGGAATGGTGTACGGAATTCTAAAAGAATATTAACATTCTCTAAATGATTTTAGTATCTGTTTAACATTGGACGAAAATTATGCTGATGCATATTTAAATAGAGCGAAATGTCATTTTTTAAGTGGAGATTCGAACTCTGCCTTCTAGGATTTACAATAATGTATTCATATATTATAGGATGATCCAAGAATGCATATGTGGGCTGGCAATTTCTTATTTGCAAATGCTGCTATTGAAGATGCAATTAAAGCCTACTCTAATAATAAAGATTTCAAAAATAATCCCAAATTATTACAATTGAGATCAGAATGCTATTTGATTTTAAGTGACTTAAGTCTTTGCTAGGAGGATGTCACTCGACTCTTCAAATTGACTAAGAATTAAGCTGCTGAATTTGATAAAGATATTTTATCAGCTTTAAGACTGGTCTTTAAGGATGATCAACAAATTTATTTCAATGAGGAAAGTGAAAGTGAACAAATGGAATTTAAAACTAATTTAAGTAAAGCCGTGAATAATTTAACATAATTAACCAGAGGAAAGGGGAGGTTATTTTAGTAATTCCATGTTTATATTTTTCGAGGAGCCTTTTACTTTCATTTGGAGAAATATGAAGAAGCATTAAAGGATTTCTAAATGGCCAAAAGTCAAAAGGAACTTTAAATAAATGAAAAACGACTCAAACAAAGAGGAAGCTAAACAGATTTATTTAATGATGAGGAATAGTTTGAACTAACTGAAGACGAGGAAGATGCTGATTTGTTGGAGATCTTAGAGATTAAATTTAATGAACTAATTTGCTTAGTTATTTTGAAATAATTTAAAAAAGCTAAAGAGATATGTAAACAATTAATCGAGAACATAAATGAAGCTAAATAGGAAGGATTATAAATTCTATTGATGCACATAGAATAAATCTTAATGAAGGATTAACACCCAATTGATTATCAGAGAGTGATCTGTCTGTACGATGAGCCTAAAGAAAATATTATTTGTTTCTAAGTGCCCATTGTATTTATAGACGGATTAAAAATTAGATTATCATTTAGCTTGCCAAAGTTATCTCCTCCATCATTATCAATCATATTTGATAAATAGTTAATTAAAAATATTGGGGTAATCCATTATTCTCTATTTTTTAGCCTTTGTCTGTTGAAAATAAGCCCGAAGCTCCATGGATCAGAAGGGAACAGCAAGACGATATGATTATATTCACTGATAATGTCTAATTAATAGATGATATAAGATTGGAAACAGAAATAGAGGACGACCATCAGCAATAAACATAGGCACAAGTGTAAGCAGTGGAAATTACTCAAATAAAAAATAATTTAATGTTGGATAAGGATATTGAAGAAAAATTGTAACGATTTTTTTAGAATAAACAACAAAAATGATGTTATACATAATTAAATATTCTTATCATCACTATCTTTATAATTAAATTAATCTCTTTTAGTAATATTCTACTTCTTATTATAGAGCCAGACATTCTTAGTCTCTCCCATTTAAAATTGCTTTTAATTTTGAGTTTTCAAGTAAAATTTATTGTAATTTTCCATCTTAAATTTCACAGTGCTATTTATATTGTTACAATTCATTTTTGAGTAATTACTTCTTTTCCTTGTAAGATTTCTTCTCCTTCTATAATCCGTTGAAATTCAGATCCTTTTATGGTAACATTGAATTCAAGATCTTCTTTTCTTATTACCATTACTCTTTTTCCAAATGATATTAGGTTTTTAGTTAAGTTAACTCTTGCTCTTAGTGCAATTATTTATCTAAGATTCCTTTCATCTAATTCCTTAGATCATTTAGAGACTCTACGATCAAAATATTATGATACCTTTGTATGCTTTTTTTTTGTTTTTATATTTATTAATGAGTATGACATGCTAAGGTAACAGTTATTATTATTATGATGTTGACTGATATTAGGTTTATTGGAATTGAGGATTGTGAATCTAACAATATTGCATATTAAAATATTAAATAATTATTCGTTAAATTTTTGGAAAAAACAAGCAATATGAATGTTATTTATAAATAAGTATCATTTTTTAAATTAACAACTATCTAAACTTAAATTTAGTTTGTTATTTATTCTTTGTTTTGGTGTATTGGAAAATATTGATTATTTCATCTATTTAGTTGTCTCCTGTTCTTATAAAAAGGAATCCAACTAATTCGTCTTCTTTTGATGAGTTTATTACTTAGATGAAGTAATTTATTAGGTTGCATAGTAGGTAGCATTGCTATTCTCTTCAATCTTATTGATACTCTTTTGTAATGCATAGTATTTAATCAATAATCTATCATACATGGTTCTGCACTCTTATAATTATTGTTCTTTGTTTTCTCGTTTTTCAATTTCTAACCCTAGCTCATTTAATGATTTCCTAAACAGTTCTTGTTAAGTCTGATTAGTCAATTAATCAACCAATTTAGTCATCTTAATGTATAAGGGATGATTCATGATAGATTTGATGTTGAGACAATCGTTGCTTTTGAGATTACTAATAGATTCAGGAATTTAGATCTACTGCTTTAAGTTTTAATTTTCATACTCCAACTCCATAATTTTGTTTTGGTATTCTTTCATTTGCTATTGCTATTGTTGATTCTATTGATAATGTAAAATATAATACAATCTGACTATTGATTCTATTTTATTCTTGTGAGATTTGATCTTGATTGATCATTTACTTCAACTATTCAGTCTCATTTCTAAAGTATTCGCATTATTAGCATTCCTGTTTGTGTTGTTAAGAAGCATATTGATGGTGTTGTAATTTTTATTAGGCTTCTCTCAATTCCTAATAAAGTACCTGCATTTTCTAATGAATAGACTGTTTGTACTCTTAATCACTTTGTTTGACAATCGTTAATTCTAGTTGATATTGAACTAGTTTCTCTTTCAGTTATTAGCACTCCTCTTGTTTGAGACTTAATTATTATTCTATGGTTCTAGCACTTACTTTTTGAGTTGTTTATTGCTTTAATTGCATTGACACTCTTTGCCATTTTGATTGGAATTGCATGCTCTATTCTGAGAGCAATTTTACTTTTTATTCTAGTTTTTAATTTTCCGAAATTTGATGATCCAATTTTCTTTGTAATGTGATGAAATTATAATTTGCATTATTCAGCTATTCTTCATTTTTTTTGGTTGACTGTAATTTTGAAACTAATTCATTGTTCAGTTTTTCTGCTTGTTGCATTTTAAGAAAGGCTGTAACTAATTCTTCATCCTTTTCTAAAATCTTGTCGCTATATTCATTGGTCAGCTGCTATATTTGTTACTAAAGATAATCAATTTGTTCATGCAATTTTATTTTCTCTATCTCCATAATTTCGATTGCGTAATTAAAGTCTTTGTGCATTCCCGATTATTTTTTGTCTGTTATATATAATTTATATATATATATATCTGTTATTATTTAATATATGCAAATTAAACACCCTGTTTAAGTTTTAAAAAAGAAAGTAGACGATAGGATTGAATATAAAATCTAATGGAATACAGGTTCAATTACTTATGAACCTATGATTGAACTCACGCCAGAAATGCTATCACTAGTAAATCGATGGGAATTGCAAGAACATTAAAAAAAGGATTCGAAGTCTTCTGAAAAGATTTAGTCAAAAACAATCAAAATGGTTGAAGAACAACTAAATTCACTAACGGAACTTGAAAAACCCAAGCCGTCTCCTCATAAGGAGAGAAGTTCAGAAAAGGGTTATGTGAAATCCTTAAGAAAAAATGAAGGTAGAATTGAATTCTGGATATATATACACGAAGAAGGTGTGGAGAGGTGGGTTTCTTTGGAGGAAGTCAAAAGCAGAATACCAATTGCTCTATGTGACTACCTATTATAAAAGATAAAGTTCGGAGGAAAATGAAGATATAATATTTAAAATTCATCTTAATAATTATCTCTTTTTAAGATAATATCATTGTGTAATGTTATTGAATTCAATTCTGAAGTTTCCAAATGAATGAATCTAAATGAGATAAGAGATTTCTATGAGTATTAAGATTTCTGAAAATTTATTAGATTATTTATTTACATTAACAAGGGGGAAACATGTCACTCTTCTTAATTTAGATCTGGTTTTGATAGTTTAGAATGGAGAAGACCTTGTGTTTAGTGAAATTGACTAAGAATCGGAGATGGGATCAATTGATATACGGTGTTTGTGTATGATAAAGGGAATGAGGAGGAGGGAATGAGTTTCTGGAATGGAATATTTGCATGGAATCGAGCAGCCATTAAAATTTTAAATTAAATTAAATCTTTTATACAAATAAATGTCTTTGGTGTTGGAAAAGGCTGATTCATTCAGACACATTATTCGTATATTGAACACAAACGTTGATGGAAAATAAAGACTTGCTTATGGTATTAGAAGTATCAAGGGTATCGGCAGAAGATTTGCTATCTAAATTTGCAAGGTATTTGATGTGATTTGATTCAACGTATAGGTTCTCCGACTTGATCTCACAAAGAGAGCTGGTGAATTGACTGATGATGAAGCTCACAAAATCACAGAAGTCATCAAATCCCCAGAGGCTTACAACATTCCAAGATGGTTTTTGAATAGACAAAGAGATTTCAAGGATGGCAAGAACTATTAAGTCACAACAAACGAATTGGAAACCAAATTAAGAGAGGATTTAGAAAGAATGAAGAAAATCAAGTATTTGAATTAAATTAAGTTAAGGTGTAATCGTGGTTTGAGACATCATTGGGGATTGAGAGTCAGAGGACAACACACCAAAACCACTGGTAGAGGAGGATAAACACTCGGAGTCGAAAGAAAGAAGAAGTGATTAATAATTTATTAAAAAGTACATTAAAAATAATAATAAATGGACAAATAACCATTATTACACAACTTTACAATCACTCCTAATGACTTATTCTAAATCATAGGTTCTTAAAACACTTCATATACAGCAACTTCTCTATCGCAAATGTTGGACACCGATCTGCAGGTATTGAATGCATTATTCTTATTACAAGATGGGACTCGACTCCTCAAATCTTTTCGATCTAAACAAACGAAAGAAGCAGTAAAGATCTTGAATTATAATAGGTTTGGCACACATAAAATATATGATTCACAAACTATTCGATATCAAGTTTAAATATTGTCTAAATTTAATAGTTAGTCATTCAAATCATCAAGAATAAGTGGCATTAAATCTTCTTTGCTCTCACTCTAACTAAATTAGCATTATCTATGATGTTTACTGCCTCCAAAAATGTACCTAAACAAAATATTATAGGAAAGAATGGAATCAATATTTATTCTGGTATTCTCCTTATTGCAATTGCTAATACGAATATTTAAAACTGATAATCAGGAACTGCTCAATAATTTACGCCAATTTCAAAACAAAAAAGTTAAATTAAAGAGAAAAGATAGACTCATTACTATATCATCTGACTAAATTGTAGTCGGAGACATCCTCATCTTTGGGGAAGATTAGCTGATTGAAGTAGATGGCATTCTTATTCCCAATTAATCAAACCAAACCTTACTCTTTGATACCAATACTAACAGACTACCATTTATACGTTCAGGCTCTAAAGTGTTATAAGGCAATGGATAATTACTAGTGTTGGCAGTGGGAATCAATACTTATCATATGAAAAAATGTGATTTGAATTTGTAACACGAATACACAACGCCTCTTTAAGAAAGATTAAATTATTTGCAATAATAACTAATTAAGCTCTTCTTTGTACTAGCAATCATTCCTTTGGTAATTCAATTTATTAATTATTGTTATCATATATCGATTTATGAATACTCTTTTGATTTAGTGGAATCCATTCATTCAATTATTAAGTAAAGTTAGATTTCCATCTTGCTATTGTTAATGGTGATGAATGATAATCTATAGAAATTTGTATCCACTTATCTTCAATATAATTAAAAGAGAATGAAAAGAGATCGCATCAAATTTCAAAGACCGAGTTCCTGTGAAATATTGGGCAGAATCAATAATATTTGCACAAGTAAAAGTTAGATATTAACAAATGGCAACACAAGATTGGTACAAATATTTGCTGAGGAATAACTGCTAATGAAATTCGATATCAAAAAATTAAGATATTCTACCATTCAACTAATTCAGGAGAATATTTGCTTGAATTCAACTGCCAATCCAAAAATTAGCTATAGATCTAATGATATTACTGTTTTTGAAAAATTTGGAAATGAAATCGATTGTGCTCTACTTGAATATTGTCATGAATTAGGATAAGATTATACTACTATAAGGAAAAGTTATTAAAATTAAATTGTATAATATTTTAAATTTAATTCTGATAGAAAAATGATGAGTGTGCTCATTTAATTATAAAATAAATATATATTATACACTAAGGGAGCTCCAGATATTATTTTAGAAAATTGCACAGACTTTATAAACTGCAAGGGAGAAGTTCAAAAGTATTTTATAAATCATATCTTAAAGATTAACTGAGTAAAATAAACAATAAATCTAAAATTAAATCAAGAAATTTGGTGAAGAAAGTTACAGACCCTTGTGTTTAGCCTATAAAACCATAGAAAATAATCTAAATCCTAAATCACTAAATGAAAAATAATTGGAGAAACAATTGATCTTCGTAGCATTAATAGCCTTAGAGGATGAAATAAGATAGGGAGTGTAAAGGTCAATCTAATAATGCAAAGAAGCAGGAGTTATAGTGAGAATGATAACGAATGAGAGTCTAGAATGTTCAATATCATTAAGTAAGAAATGTGGAATATTACCAATGAACTATTAGCATCAGAAGGACTCCAAGAAGGTTATGACTGGAAGGATTTTCAATGATTTAGTAAAAGGAATCACTTACAAGAAATAAGATGGTTAAATTATACCAAAAATCGGTGATATGGATGCCTTCGCTTAGATTGCTGCTGAGTTGCGGGTTCTCGTAAGAGCAAGTCTAGATGAGAAATTGGCCATCATCCAAGGATTAAAGGAATTGAATTACGTTGTTGGAGTCTTCAGTCACAGTGATGAGCCTGCGTTTTATCGACTTGCTGATGTTGGTTTCTGTTAGAATTCCAAAATAATACAACAGTATAATTATATGGTTAGTGTCTCCATTTTAGATGATAACTTCTCTTCTGTTATTTATTCAATAGATTGGGGAAGGAACATTTTTGATGCAGTTAGAAAATTCATTTAATTTAAAATAGCTCTTCTCTTATCGTTATCCATCCTACAAGCCTTTAGCATTTTCCATTATTTTAATTAAACCTAATTGTTATGGATCACATTCATTGTTGACTTTACTGCTTTCTTCATGTATGCCACAGAAATACGTAAATTTACATGTTAATTCAATATAGCTAGTAGAAGACTATACGAAAGATAACAGAATGAGAGATACCATTTGATTACATCCAATATGTGGAGAAACATCATTTCATAAATAATCTATCAATTACTGGTTTTATTTATCATTTAGCTCTCAACTTAAAAGTACATTGCAATGAAAAACGGTTTGAATTGCTATCACTTTGACTTAAAATCACACACCCTACTATTTAATACTTTTGTATATCTTTAGATCTTTAATTTATTGATTTCTCATAAAATTCGCAAAACTGATATCTGCATTTCAAATAACAAAAGAGAAAGAACAAAGTTAATCATATAACTTGTGTTGATATTTGCGATGCAATACTTTGTGGTGTAAGAATATAGTTATTGTTATATTTAGAGAACACTGTAATTTTATTTTTAGCTTATCTAAACTTACTTTGAAAGAATATTTTGGATCTCTTTTGATATCCTCTTTTGGTTGTGTTGTCACGTATTAATTAAATCATCTAATTTAGATACCTATTTAAATTCATTAACGATAAATATTTTAATTGGATCACACTATTTAGAAGTTAAGATTAGCGAAATCATTATTCATCTTTTGACGAAGTAATAATATAATATCATTTTTAGTTCTTGTAATTTAAATCAATTCTTCGTTAAATTAAGAGTTATCCAACTGAAAAAGAGGAGAATAGTGAAATTGAACTTACAGATAAATAATGATAAAATTTTTATTATCTAAATAATTCATAATTAATACAATCTATATTTCATCATAATGATAATTTCATAGCCTTTTTATAAAAGATATTATATATTTCAAAATTAATTTTAAATTAATTATTCTGTTACTTTATAATAAATTGGATCTACCTTCTGTCCTATTATTCTATCTATCGAAAATCTATTTTAGAATTTCCCATAATCTTATTTGCATTACTAAATCATCAAGATTAATTCTTTGCAGTTGTTCAAACCTTCAACAATAAACAAAATTTATTATAGCTAAAATTATTCAATTTTTACTTCAGAATTTATTTTGCTGTCAGACGACCTCTATCCTGTTGGTTAGTGTAAATTCAATAGCAACCTATTAAGACCCATGTCTATATAATACATAGCTATCTCATAAATAGTATTACTCTCATTTAGACAATCATTACAAGAAGAACCTAGAATTGGGTCGATCTGAAAATCTTATTTTAAGAAAAAACTATTTACTATTTCTAAGAGCTTATACCAAGGTACTCTAAAAGTGTTTCATATATTTTAATTAATATTCAGAAATTGCTGAACAAAATTCATTAAACTATTCACTTTCTTTGTACCTATCATAATCTAAAAGTGAAAAGTGATTATCCAATTTATTTTCTTTATCCATGATTTAAGATAATTGGCAGATTTTTATGACTATGCATTTTCCTAAGATTAGCAAAATCTTATCTCGAATTTCAAATTAAAAAAATTTAGAATTGGCTAAATGTAATGAAAACTTAAATAAGTATCGACAATAGTTTAAATAAAATAACAGAATTTCATTGTTAGCCTTAAATTCAGCACTTAATTAGGAATTTTATTGCATTCTAATATTGTTATTATTAGTTTATTGATATGAAGTATTTTAAGAATGTTTCATTTTTTATTATTGCAATTAAATCTAATTTTAACTAGATGATCTTTAACTTACATCCTTTTAAACCTAATACTTTTCATTCTATTCTTATAAATCAATTTAAAGAGTGCTATAATCTTTGTTTGAAATTCTTTTGAAATATTGAGTCTAGCTTCTTTTATTCTTCTTTACTAAAGAGTTATTAATAGATGAAGTAATGTTTGTAATTTCTTAGAAAGGATCTTCCTACAAAAAACTATTGAAATGTTTTGATTATATGATTTGATGTTCAAACATATCTTTCACATTAAATCTTAAATAATCATCTTTTTATAAGCATTTTTTAATGAAATCTTTTGACAACTCTGAAACTGATGGTGTCTAAGGTATGATTAATTGTTAATTAAGTATATTAGATAATAATGCTGCTTCTGATTAAGCAATAAAAGGTGTTCTACCTAAATTAAATTTAACAAATTTTTACCAAAAAGCATCTCAAAATACACTACTCCTACAGCCCATACATCTCCTTTTTCAGAATAGTCATAATCTCCTAATGCTTGTGGCGACATGTATAGAGGAGTACCTACATTGATATTTCTTTACTAAATTCTTGCTTACCAAATAGGTATAGCAAATCCAAAGTCAGCTAATTTTGGTTCATTCCCACTTAAGAGAATATTAGCTGGTTTAATGTCTCTATGGATAAATCCTTTTAGATTTATTTCGTTTATTGCATGTACAATTGCTTACAATATTCTAATTGCTTCTGGTTCTTTGATTTTCAAATTTTTTCTAATAAATTTTTCTAGATCTCCCTTCATAAAATCAGGATAATACCGAATCACAAAATTCTGTGATGATATAAGTGTTATTTTCTGTTTAATATACATCAAAAAGCTTAAGAATATTCTAGTGATTGAACGATTTCAACGCTCTGATCTCATTTTTTAATAATTATGTGTGTATCTATTACTTCATGTCGATCACCTAAACGAAGATATTTTTATACTTTAATAGCTACATTCTATGAGGTTCTTTCATCTCTTCCTTTATAAACTCTACTACTGAATCCTTTACCTATTTCTTGGTCTATAGCATATGAATAATGATCAATTGCTTTTCGTTTTTCGTTACGCCCTCTAGCACCTTCAACTTCACATTTGTAAATTGCAATATATACCTTATGAAAGAAGATGTTAAGGCAAATAAGTAGGAGTTTTGAACATATTTTGATATAAATTAATAAAAGAGGGTTCATCGATTGAATTGATCGAGATTTTGAATAATATACGGTCAACTAAATTTTTAGTTTCTATTAAACTATTTTATAAATAAATTATTATTATAAATACATAATTTAAATTTATATTTAAGAAAATTTTCATTAAATTTGATTCTATAAAATGAAAGTCTAACAGATATCATAATTAAGGGATTTTGAGCAAAAGAGAAGGAGGATAGTTGTTCAACATTATTAATCAATTAGTTAAGGATACTTGGATTAATATTTCAATTATTAAAATTCAATATATGTAGTAGTATTTTACTTAAATTTGTGTACTCTTATATACTATTCATAAATAAATTAATTTAGTGATAAAGTTAAATTATGAAAATATGTAAAATATTTAATTTTTTATTATCATGATGCAACATGGAGTTTATTTTTGTTTGCCTTAAATTTAAATCCTATTTTACATTTTTATGAATTATTCAATAATTAATCAATTTTTTTAATGGATTAGCTTTTAAACATGAGGCCCAGTCCTAAATCATCATATTTTCGATCTTCACCCGGATCAAAACTATCTTTTTAAAGTGAAGATGATAGGGATACGGCATTGTCATCCGATTTTACTCCTAAGCCTAAGCCAAAACCATTATAAGGGATGTCTCCTACTAATTTTTCACCTGAAAACGATGAAACATATAAAAGTTCACAAAAACAAGAATCCATGAAACAAGTTAAAAGTATTTCCTCTCATTATCATTGTAGTTCCAAAATTATCTAGATTCAGTACTTAAAGAATAATAACAGTGAATGAAGGAGATAAAGACGAAGAACCAGAAATAATAGACAAGGAGACTTAATAACATTAAATTCAATCGGCTCTGGTAATCGGTGACTAGACTACAGCTATGGAAGAGCAATTGAAAAAGATTGAGGAAAAAATAAAAGTAAACCCAAAACTGAAATAAATCAAATCCAAGCCTATTTCAATGAGAAATTTTAAAAAGGTTGGAGAATCCAAATAGGACAAGCTAATTGATCACCCATTTCGACATCTTGTCTTCAATCCAACCATATCAGAAGAGACCTTCGATAAACACCTACGCATAACTCAGAGAGGTCTAATTTATTCTAAAAGATGTTTAAAAGGTCCATCTGATTAATTTATTGAAAAGAAAAAGATTTCTCTTAATAGAAATAATCCCTACATATTGAATACAATCTTTTTGGATCTTGACGAGACCCTTGTTCACGCTAGTCTCTAAAAAGATAACTCTTAAGTCAAAATAAACTAAATAAATGATGATGGCAGCGAAACAGAAGTAAATATATTTCATTATCCTAGATTGGTATCAACATTAGACCTTATACTCAATATTTTTTGTAAGAACTATCACAATTTTATACAGTATATATTTACACAGCATCTTCATAATAGTATGCATAGGCTATTATAAACTATCTTGATCCTAAGAGACAGTACATTAGTGGAATTCTCAACAGAACTAATTGCATGGAAACAAAAAATGGATTCTTTATTAAAGACTTAAGAATTATTACCGATTTAGATCTTAATAAGACTTTATTCGTTGATAATCTAGTCCATTCTTTCGGACTTCAGATAGACAATGGAATTCCAATCTTGGAATGGAATGATAATGTGGATGATTTGGAACTCAAGTATTTGCTTGAATATTTGGTTGATGCATCCGAATAGCCTAATTTAAGAGAGTTTAACGTAGCTCATATGTAATTAGATCAATTACTTGATTACATAATTAAGTGATGATTAATATCTTTCATTTTAGTCAATTTTATTTGTTATTTTATATTTATTTTATGTATCAAAATCTATATCTTAAAACAACAGTGTTTTGATAATAGCAATATTTTAATACACAAACTGATATTGATAACAAATTGTTAAGATTATTTACTTTGATTATCAAATTACAAATAAAATAAAATAAGTTTTTAATTTTATGAAGATATCTATTTAATCAAATGAGTACTTTCGAAGCTCAGAGAATAATCTAACAAAGTTCTTTCATCTCTATAATTATTATAATCTACGGAATTTAAAAGGAGGTTTAGATTCATTTTGAAATTTGGATTTATAGATATAATATATATGAGAAAGTGGTTGATCGATTTCAAAAAAATTTTTAATCTTTTATATTTTTTTAAATAAAAATGGGCAGAAGACCAGCAAGATGCTATAGAGTGAGTAATGGTAAACCATTCCCCAAGTCCAGATATAACAGAGGTGTTCCAGATGCTAAAATTAGAATCTATGATGTCGGAAGAAAGAAGGCCAACGTTGATGAATTCCCAGTATTGAATAATTAATATGATTTAGGCTGCCATCCACATTGTTTCAGATGAAAAGGAATAAATCTCATCAGAAGCCTTAGAAGCATGCAGAGTCGCCATCAATAAATATATGATTAAGAAAGTCGGAAAAGACGCATTCCATCTTAGATGCAGAGTCCACCCATGGCACGTACTCAGAATCAACAAGATGCTTTCATGTGCTGGTGCAGATAGACTTTAAACTGGTATGAGAGGTGCCTTCGGTAAACCAAATGGCTTGTGCGCCAGAGTCAAAATTGGCAGCATTCTTTACTCTTTGAGATGCAAGGATGCTTCAATCAATCACGCTATGGAAGCCTTGAGAAGAGGAAAGAATAAGTTCCCAGGAAGATAAAAGATTGTTGTCTCAGCCAAATGGGGATTCACTAACTATTTCAGATCTGACTATCTCAAATATAAGGCTAATGTAATAATACAATATATTAATATATAGGATGAATTATAATACTATGGTACTCACGTTCACAAATTGAGACAACATGGTAAATTGGATAAATTGAAGATTTTCTAAGCCCTTAGAAAATGATTTGTTAGAATAATCATATCATATATTAAATTATCGTATTTTAACATAGTTTCTAATCCTGAGTTATGATCCTTTTCACCATTTTATTATTATTATTATTATTCTTAAATAATGATATTTGAGAATAGATCCTTCAATTAAGGAATTTGAAATTAGTAATATAGTTATTAGAGGATAATTTAAATTAATCTATTATTTTTAAGTTATTCACTTTTCCAAATATGAATTAATAATGATCTCATTTTTTTCAATTTATAATAGGAATTCTAAGATTATTCATAATAAAATGAATAAATGGAGGCTTGTTTCTGAAGAATTTATTAAATTTTAATAATATTATGTTATTAAATCTAATTCAAATAATTTTCTTCAACTTATTTGTTTGGATTATAAAACCAATACTTGCCTTTGGACTATCACTTTTGTACTATTTCACTTATTCAACAATCGTATTCACAGATTTTATCCTTTCACTATTTGTAAGAGATTGTGAAATAAGAAATAAAAATTTCATAAATCAAGTTAGAATTAAAGTCAATGAGTTACGTCCATATCCAGGAGTGTACACATCAGCAAGTATATATATTACATTATTAATTAAGCTGACATGATTACAGAGAAAGGATATAATTTAGAAATTCATCAAATCTTAACAGAAGATGGATACATTCTTACCGCTTGGAGAATGTACAAAAAAATAAACAAGGAATATCAATACCCTATGTAAAAATAACACATATTTATTCTTAGTGTACTCCAACATGGTTTGCTTGATAGTTCATGGTCTTGGTTTATTAATAATACTAATGAACAAACTCTACCTTATATCTTAGCAGATAAAGGCTATGATGTTTGGCTGACCAATAATAGAGGAAATAAATATTCTATGGGACACAGCAAGATTCCAGGAGTTCAATACAATAAAAAATATTGGAATTTCAGTTTTGATGATATATAGAAATACGATTTCAAAGCAATAGTAAGTCATGTTAAGAGAGCTACTTAAAAAGAGAAGGTAATTTACATAGGCCACTCCTAAGGTTCAACTTAAGCATTTGCTTACTTGTCAAATAATATAGATTTCTAAGAAAATTTGAAATGCTTTATTGCCTTGGGACCTGTTATTTACATTAAGAATTCAGTATTTATTATAATATTATTATAATAGAAATCAGTATTTCTTTAATTTGCTGTAAAATCATGGATATTTGAATTTACCAGGTTAATTGGCATACCTTACTTTTTTGTTTTTGATGATTGCTTTAATTTAAAAATTGGAGCACTTTGTGATATGATTCCTTGGATCTACAGAAAATTCTTGTTCGCAATTACCAATCTGATTTGTGGATATCCATTATAAAACAAAATAGATCTCAAGAAGTTTGGATTTATGGTGTCACATGAACCTGGGGGTACATCAACAAAAACATTAGTTTAATGGTAAAAGTATATGGTAATTGATTTTAGGATGTAATTCTATAGAAATGGAACATTTTCATATTTTGATTATGGCAGATCCAGAAATATCACTGAGTATGGTTAATCTGTTCCTCCAAAATATAATGTTGAAAATCTTAGTTAATTAAAAATACCAAAATATTTTTATATTGGATCCAAGGATGTAATTGCTGATGAAAAAGATCTTCAAAAAACCATCCCATTATTTGACCCATCCACTCTCTAAATAAAAATAATAAATGATTATGCTCATTTAGATTATGTTTGGGCAATTGATGCTCACAAGAGGCTGTACCCCGATATTTTAGAAAATATCGAATAAAATTAAACATTATGATAAAGTCAATATAAATCCTATAAATTAATAAAAATTATTAGTTAAATAAATACATCTAAAATGAATATCAGTTCTTATGAAATTGAATTGCCTATAAATAAATTATCTCCATATTAACAACTATACCGAGGAAGACACAAAAATGGTTAAGTTTATCTGTTGCACATATTTCCAAGATAATATTTAACCTAAGAAATGATTGACTAAATAAGTTTTAGAGAAAAATAGTTTGACTTTGTGTTTGAGAAAATAGAATCTAAAGAAGCCATACTAATTTCTTATTTAGATAGTGCTTTTTGGATTAATTTGGAATAATAGATAAAAATAGAGTAATTGAAATCTCTTTATTAACAAT